GGAAACTTTTTATCGCGGACTAACTCCTCGAGCGGAATGTTCCCGGGAAGCGCTCCTGACATAAACGCTGGTTATAAGCGAACTTGCCTCGTTAGGGCCTCGTCGCGGTATCGTTGTCGCGGAAAATAAGGAAGAAAGGAATTAAACATCCGCACCGTTGTGAAAAGAGAGGCGATGGCGTCCCTTCACGAGTAGAATGTTAGGTCCTTGAATTATTAACTTAAGGAATGCCAACGTGTGTATATATTTATAAAATAAAAATTATTCTAAATTTTCTCATGTCTTGCAAACCTAAGAGACATACATTTTCGGCCTGTTTTCTGTATTAATAGTCTTCGATATCTTCCGATATATACATAGATATTTTGAAACATTTTCTTTGGATATTATATCAAACGGATCTCGCGTGTCACGTAATATCCTTCGGACTACACGGACATTATTATTTTGATCATTTTGATTTCTTTGATAATCATTTAGAATTATTCAGAACGCAACCGCCATGTTGAACGACTCAATTGTCGTGTGAAATGTTTCGATTTTCACAAATTCATATAAAATTTTTCATTTTTCGCTAATTCACAGAAGTCTTTCACTTTTCATTAGTTCACGCTAGGGAGAAAGATTCATGATCGTTGCCCTGAGCAGCTGCAACGCTTCTCCAATCATCTATGTCGGCGCGCTTCTACTCCTAAAATTTCTATCATTAATAACTCGATAATTATTGCGAATCTCGCAAAACGGTATGGGACTTTTATGTTTGTCTCAACACAATCTACTCTCATACTTCAGGTTGGCAGATAATTATCGGACACTTCGTATGATCTTCATGATATTAATCATACACAATGTCAATTCTTTTTTTTCTTTTGCACATGTTAACATGTTAATTCATGTTATAAATGCGTAACAATGTGCGAGACCGTGCTTGTCAAGTACGTTGTCATGGTTGTAGCACAGACATAAACCTCCTGAAAATGGATGTAGCACGGACTGCCACCGCATGCAGGTTTTACCGCCGAAACCTGAAAGTGAATGTAGCATCGTAGTTTCCCTCTCAAAATGGATGCAGATGGCGCCCTTTCCCAGTGCGGAAAGTCGGTGTCGTCGAAAAGGCCGTGTTGTTGGCCGCTTCACGTTCCTCTCTGGTTCTGATAATCACTGTCAGCACTGAAAATCTATAGTATACGTGACACAAACTATGTATTTTCATTACTGGCAGTGGATTTCGGAACGCAACCAATACCAACTGTTTTACCTACGCCATAGACAAGTTATTAATAAAGACTGCTAGCCCTACGAGATTTATTACCGTATTCATAGTCAGGCCTATATTTAAGGCTTCCTTATATCCATCTTTAGATGCTGCATGGATTATTTTATTGGCTACAGACCATCTGAAGATAAACTTAAGGAAGCTCTAAATATAAGGCCTGACTATGAATACGGGTGCAAGGCCGATATTCATAATCGAGTTATATTATATTTAAGACCATCTTATGAAGTTCACCTTTAGGTACCCCGTAGCCAATGAAGTAATTTGTACAGCATCTGAAGATAAACTGAAGACGATCTTAAATATAAGATCCGACTATGGCTGCGTTCCAATATTCACTGCTAGCATTGAAATTCTATAGTATATGTGACACAAACTATGTATTTTCAGTACTGGCAGTGAATGAAGCGGAACGCAGCCTATGAATACCGGCCATATACCTAGACCAAGCATTCACTCTAAAAAATGAAGCCGGAAATTGGCAGTTTATGACTGAGAGGGAAAGTTGTTTTGCGTCTACTTCTTTCTCACTCTAGCTTACATCAACTGTCAAAAATCGCCATATTTGTACTACAGTTATCAAATGAAGTATACATTTATAGACAAATATATAAAAGAAAAATATAAAATATATGAAACAAATATAAAAAATATGTAAGATAAATATAAAAGTAGAGATAAAAGATTTTATTAACGTTAGCTTGCTATGTTACAATACATTGGTTTTATGTTTCTATACCTGTGAAATTGAATTTGATTCGACTTATGCCTCAAATGTACGTCACAAATGCAACAAAACATCGTATTGTTTTATATTTTATATTGTTTTCTTTTTCTGCACGCAGCATCGGTCCGTCAGCCGGTTATCCGCACGGCAGCATGTGCCATACGGAACAGTCGTGCTGACAACAAATATTTAAAATCGCATAAAATAGCTACTTGTTGGAATTTTGTCCTGAAATGTTTCATAATGATAGAACTCGAGTAGAACAAACGGGAACTATAATCAAAAAGCTTATTATTTATCGATTTCTTTTACTTTCTTCAAAGGGAGGAGGGTCGTGCTAGAATGCGAAGTAAATGCATTTTTCAATTCGGCTTTTTCTGGTCAGTTTTTGGCATTCTCGTTTGAAATGCTATATTAACACTAAACTTACATAGAATTAGCTAGGACAATCGGCGGATGTCATAATATTTTTCATCTTGTACTTTGGATGGAGAAGTGTCGTGCTGGAACGCGTAGTCAGCACGACGCACCTTAATTTTCGATTTTTTGGACAGTTCTTGACATTTTGTTCTGAAATGCTATATTTACATTAAACTTGCATAGAACTGCATAGCTAGAACAATCATCAGATGTCGGAATATTTATCGTCTCCTTGTACTTCTAGAGGGAGGAACGTCGTGCTGGAACGCGAAGTTAGCACGACACATCTTAATTTTCAGTTTTTTAGTATACATACATGCAGAAAATATTTTTTCATTTTTGGAGAACAATAAAACAATGAAAAGTGCTACTGGAACAATGTTTATTTTTTATTAATTCGCAAAACGTCGTGCTAACTTCACAGACACTGTTCTTCTCTTAAGTTAAATGTGCAATATTTTCACATTTATACGTACCTTATCATTTTATTTAAATTCTTTTAAATATTCCATTAATAAATCTCTAATTTTTAAATGCTTTGAATAATATTACGATTCATTATGTGTCCTCATCCTATTTCCCGCTTCGCTGTTCGTTTTTGCACACAGAGATCCGAATGATATTATCAATAAACGCGAAGACAAATGAATTCTTGATGATTATTATAATACAATCAACATAATAACTGACATTCATTCTCCAATTAATTGATTATGACAATTATTGTGAAATAATTGTCATAATCAGCGGCGAAGTATTGTCCAGCCTGTTATGAAACTTTATTCGCGTAATTGCGATTCTATGCGTAAAACGTAGTAAAGTTTTATAAGACGCGAAGTTTTCTCTAAATTATTAGACGGCGTGTGCACTCGAGAGTTCCTCCCTCATCCGCAACTGTCCTTTAAGAATGTGTGTCTATTACCGGTTCTACTCCCAAGGAAGAAAGATAGAAGAAAAGAAATGTAAAAAACAGTGAAACATTCGCGTAGCGAAACTCTCCAGTACGCGCGCGGCCCGCGGCATTCTGTGTGTCGAATCGTCCTGCTTAAGATTCTGTTCCGCAGAAAATAATATCGCTTCGCCGTTTCGCTCCTATGATCCATTTGCCGTCGATGATTGCGCGTTTTTTATAGGCCGTTTTTTACATTACGGGCAAGATGAAAAATATCTTGCGTCGTTTGGCTATTGAGAGCGTCGGCTAATCGTAATATTCCCCTCTGCAGGGAATATCCTTATATGGTCTCCTCGTCCCGTCATCGTCTATTATCTCGATGTCCTGCAACTTCTATAGTTTTTTGAGAAACGGCACGCGGTCATGTTTCGTTACACTCGACTAGATTAAATAAGTTACTCTCATATACTTTTTCTTCTTTGCTACTGTCCCTTCTTTCTATCTCTTCCTCTTTCTCGTCTAGCTTCAGCGATGCTCTCTTCGAGAGCGAACGCTTCAGGATTCTAAAAATACTTAAAAGTTCTATGTTAGTACAAGTACAATATAATTTATTTCAATTCTCAATGGCCAAGTCAATTGGATTCTATTTGATATACAATAATTTTCTAGGTACTTCGCTATTTCTATTGTTCTTCTCTTTTTTTTTCTCCAAAGTCCATATAAACCCTGCTAAATGCGCACCTGATCCGCTCTGATCAGCACTAACCGGGTGGTCAATCGAAACTGAAGTGTATTATTTTACAAAGAGATACTTTTACGGAGGGGCACATAGGAGATCCTACTTCATTAATCGTCATTAATCGTAATATACGTTCCGCTTTATAAGTAATGAGTTTGACGTTGCTCTAGCACACTCGTTGCTTTATATGACTTTTTATACATGAATGAGAGAGTATATGAGAGTACGTATGAGTTTTAATGATAATAGTTTAATAGCGTTGTTTCTCACTTTCCTTATTCATCATTCTTCTTCTTCTGTTTCGGATAAATAGAGTTCTACTACTCTGCGTTCGATTGACCACCCATTTCTACTACCGCTTAAACTTAACCGTTTGAACCACATCGAATGCTTTTTGACGTACTTGTAAAAGAAACTGACGGGCCCTGTCGTTAAGTATCGAATACAACGGATAGACACAATAAATTTACAGATGTGAAAGAGACTCCCGAAGGTTTCGTCCAATTACCAGCCGTGTGGACAAGATTAAGTTCTATCTTTCGTACAAACAGTGTCTACCAGTGGCGAGAGAGAATAATTATTACGAAATCTAATATTCGATCTTGCATTGAGCCAATATTTAGAATTTGTTGAACTATGAATATACATCTATCTGCAAGTAATTGACGTTTCAAGAGTGCAACAAGTTCAATAACATCTCATGCAACTTTCTTTTTATAAGCTTTAAAAGATAATACTTTATATATTTTTATATTAATTTAATATAAATATCAATTATATAAAACATATTCGCGTGGCCATTGATAGTAATATATTTCGTATACCACACGACCGACCACAAAAGTTATATATTGATATTTATAAATATATAAATATATTAATTTAATATAACATATTACAAATATATTAATTTAATATAACAAAATTATTATACTAATGTTGTTAATATTAATTAATATTATATTAATTTCGTAAAATTAATGAGAGCACGTCAGATTCCGTTTACATTACAATTTACGTTAGAAAGAGGTCAACCGTTATCTTAAAAAGCGAAGAAGAAACAATTGGCTGGTTCTGATTCGTTGAGAATTCATTGACGACGGTTCTTTATTATTAAAAGAAATATTACTTTCAGTATGTGGGATGTAAATCGTCATCGACAAACCCGTCCACTGTTTTGCCCGTCCCCATAAAAAAGTTCTTATAACTATCCGTTTACTCATCTAATTTGAGGAATTGTTTAATTGAGGCCTGTACATTTGGCGCATCGTCAGCGTTAGAAATTAATTAATCTCCGTGAGTCACAAGTTTGTCACAAGTGTCCCGAAATTATTTTTTCTCAGAATTGTCTTTATAAGTCAGAGAGTTTCAAGGTAGCGGCAATTTGATCATTAAATTACTTAAAAGAAAGAAACATATAACTCGCGGTTCAACAACAATCAAGAGCGATCGTATAATGGCCAATTAGTATAGAAGAGCAATTACAATCAAATGTCAAACACTTCTAAAACAGCTACGTAAAATAGACATTTAAATTGCACGAATAATTATAGACATGTGCGTCAACAATAACTATTATATCTATAACAGATCTCGAGTCAATACATTGCCCTCGTAATAATAATCAATAATTACACGCATTGCTCTAACGTTCTAATTTCTGACGTTCTAATCGTTACGTAACGTTGCATCGTTTTTCGATAAAGTCTAAAAACATAATATAAATATTTATCAAATTGTACAAAAAAGAAACACTCTCTAAGATATAATGAATAAAATTCGTCCGATTCTCTCTCAGCTGACGATTTAACAGAGACGATAGCTTCGTTAATTAGATAATAATTATGCAATAATGTAACTTCCTTCCCCGAAAATCTCCCCAAGTATTTTGCAAATCAGCGCACAAAATATTTCACGCAATATCTTCGAAATCTCTCAGTTTGGCGTAGCCTCAAAAAGCCAAAGTGAATATTTCTCTCTGAATATCGTTTGTGTCGTTAACTAATGTTATTTGTTAATACGTTGCTGCTCGAACCGATATAAAAATCAACGTGTGCGAACACTAAGTCAATCACTCAGTACAAGAAGAGCGACAAAGAGAACGTCGACGTACTCGGACTATATTTATCAGCTATCTCTAAAAAGTAGGCCCGTTCGTAAAACGTGCGATCGTAATTGCGAATAATTATAAGTTATGGAAAAAAACAGTTTAAATAAACGTCAGTCAAGTTCGTTCAAGCTAAACGGGTAAATTCGTAAAAGCTCCGAAGAATCAACCTTCCGATCAGCCGATCGAAAATAAATTTGACGAATTGTCTACTCAGGGTCCGATAGATCGCAATGATGAAAATTATCACGTATTTTGCGTCTACAATATCTGCATCTCTTTATCTCCGCTCTGAAAAGAGCGGTGGTGAGGAATTGCGCTTGAAAGTCGCTGATAATTATGCTTCGAAGCATCGTTAATTGCGCCGTGTCTTGTCTCGACAATTATCGTCTGAATTCCGCGCGCGTCCGTGCGTGTACAACCGTGTCGCGCGAGTCAAGGATCGTATACGCGAGAGAAGATCCCTCGATGATCCTTCTCGGTATCAGGACAAAACTTGCTTGCTTGAAGGCGGTCACGGACTCTCGTCTCCGCCCATGAGAAATCCTCCGTCAGCTCGTCGACAGTCGTTGCTCCACGAAGCAAACCCGAGTCCCGAGTCGCAAGTCGATGTCCTTTCTTTGCAAGGAACTGTTTTCACAACGATTAGGATCGCTTCTCCCGATGCCTCGCCGGAACTTATTCACTCGACATCAGCTGCACGCTGTCGTCCGCTGAGCGATGAAGTCGCCGAACTTCCGACAACGAGCGAATCGGCGTCGGATGGAGCAACGAGAATGGATGTGAGTGTCGATCTGGAATGGAACGGTCGTTCAGTCAGCAATGAACACAACGATCTCTTTAGATTCTGTCGAGTCGCCATAGGAAATTCCCTAGCCGCTTTTTAAGTTAATCACCGCGCGAAGAAATTGCCACTCGATCGCATACATAAGATTATTATTCGCTGGAGCATACGAGCATATAAATTTACAATTGAAATGAAATCCTGCGGACACGTACAATTGATTGATTGAGATATATTCATAAGCGATGCCTCATCACAAATGCGCCATAATACCGCTTCGCAGAAGATAGCTCTAATGATAGCCAGTCATCGTATATAACTTCTATAATCGCTCTATCGATCCGGCGGCTTCAATAGCAGAGAAAACTGTAGCGATACTTCCTGCCGGCCGGCCGCCTCTGCCGAGGAACCTTAATTTATTCGGGTTAAAAATAAGGAGCTGGCAGAACATGTGTTGTACACGCGAGAAAGAGAGATAGATGTAAGGAGAGAGAAAGACGGTGATCGCGCGTGTCCATAAGCGCAATGCCAAGGTCGCGGACGTGTCTCTTTCTCATGAATGGATCGATTTGCCGAAGCTCCAATCTACATTTCCATCGTTATTCCGTCGACGGGCCGGTCGTTTCGTCGGGACAGGTGGAAAGTTTCACGCACTCCGACGGAATGACCCAAACGATGCCACATCGTTCATCGACTCGAGACCGTTTAATCGCTTCTTCTTCCCATGTCCCATTATGCATAATTTATGATCCAGAATTTATCGGCCAGAAATGTAGTTTCTCGAGAGAAGACTCGACAGAACTCTATCGACGGAAAAGAAAAAGACAAGAACGGCAGGTGGTTCCCATGGAATCTTTCGGAATTCCTTCGTAGCTCACGAAATATCGATGAACGTTCTCACGAGGAGAGGCAGGCTCACCTCTAATATCCGTCGATGGTTCGCTCCTGGAGAGCTCATTTTCATTGCCGCGATGCGAGGGCGTCTTCGACGGGCTCTTCGACGGCGGCGCTGCATTGTTGTCGTTCTTGCCTGGGGTGGTGCTCAGGTCCTGATGGGGAAAGTGGAAGGCCGTGGAATTGGGCCAAGACGCCGGCGGTGGACTGCGCACCAGGTGCTCATGTACCTGCGCGAGTGTCAGCGGATCTGCGTCGCCCAATTCCTAAAAGCACGTGTCGTCAATCTCTCGAAAAGATTGGAGTCACGAGGACCGTTTGCGCCTCATTATCCAACGCACTGGAGCTACCGAGCGGTAAAAAATGACTGGCTTGTAATTTCTAGAAAAAATCACTCCAATCGCGATGCATCCCATATTCTTGATGCACGTTGAATAAAACAACAAACATTGAAGAAATAGACGAACATTTATCCTTGCATAACACATCTTTTCGAAAATCCGTCATTTCGATCGCACTAATGGAGATTAGTCGAGTTCATTGTCGGTAGTTCTAGTATTAAGAAACTTTCGAATTTCACGTGATGTTCGTTATATACGTGAACCGATACGATGAATTCGATTTAGAATGTCTCGGAGGAAGAGTTGGATTTATATATGTATATTGTGAACTTTGAAATCGTCGAGAGTGTGTATATGAGATAATTTTATTTTGATTTGTCTGTTTTTCTTTTTTTTTTTCTGAGATTCTTTCCGACGATACCGAGAAAGAGACTGAGAACAGTTCTTCCACGTTTTGACTAGGACCGGAAGCTTAATCGGAGTCTTACCTGCGACATCAGAATCGCATCGTCAGACTCAGACTCCTCGATCGATTCCACAAGACTCTCGCGACTCGCTAGTACCTGAATAATTACAGAAAATTTGCACAATCGCGTCGATATATTGCGGAGCGACACGTAGAACCGTATATTAGCCGTCGCCAAGAAACAGAAGAGCGCACATATCATATTAATGATTCACCCGTCATTTTTACCAACATAAAGACCGAACAGCCAAAAATTACAACGCAATGTTTCCCTAAGCACTGATGAAGAAACAGAAAACAAGGAAAAAACACCTCAGAGATGTAAACTTTGAAAAAATCGACATTACGAAGATATACGAAAGTGACCAAGATACCACAAATCAGAAACAAGGTCAGAGACGAAATAGGATAAAGTTACAAAGACATGTTACATTTTTCAGCGATTCTAACTTACAAAGTTGCAACGATACTCGCACACATTATAACCCGACATTTTGCACATAGTAAATTATAATTGGACGAATCGTTGAAAAATTTCGTCAGAGAGTCGAGTAATTTTCTAAAGATCCTCGACATCGGACGATAATGCAGTAATCGAAGTCGAACCTGCAGGAAAGGATTATCCTGACGACTCAACCTGAGCGCCTCCATATCCTGATCGATGTTACGCGTTCTACCGGGTGTCAGGGTCAGAATGGAATGCGACGGTGACGGTTGACAGGCGACGACCACGTCCACCGCCGTCACGCTCAAGGTCGACGGAATTCGCGACATAGTGTTGTTATCGTTCTCGAAGCCGTTCCGACGACAAGTAGTGGTGATGATCGCTGCGAGCACAAAAGTCACAAATGTCCATTAGTCGCGCGAATCAAATTAAATTGCGAAGTTTAATTGCGAGACCTCCCTGAGATTAAGGCGGGAGGGATCAACTATTTACCGGGAGTTTCCACCCTAGGCGCGCGTTCCGTTTCTTCGTCCTCGTTAATCTTCATCCCTAACGCCAGCTTTCTCGACTTGAACAAATTCGTGAAGAAAGCCGCACCTTTACGTTTCACCCGGTCATACCTGTGTGCGCTCTCGGACGACACGTGTATCATAATTCGTCTGAAAAGATCGCTAATTATATACAATATGCGATAAAATGAGCGATGCCACGGCTGTATGTGTGTTCATGCTTGGACGACACGTGTATGATAACTCGTCCGGCGTTCATCAGGCACACAAGCAGCGGTGCCTCGCTCGTTTCTCCTGACAATTTTCTCTCATTCTATATATTTCATATAACTACACGTACGCGCGTCGAAATCGCGCAAAACAGATTCTCATCAAAATAAACAAGCCTGTTTTACTCGGCTCAGCAGGTCCGATTAACGCTGTATATTATCATTAGCGAACGTCTTCGACGCTGAAATTACTTAAGTACGTGCGATTGTGGAGAATCAATTTATACATTTGTACGACAACTCGGGCATTTCGCTGGTGCAGAGAAAGGGATGAAACGGTGCGGGATGAAAGAATTCTGCAAGTTATGACCTAACAACACCCGGTCGCACCGGTGCAATCAAGCGTATAAACACGCACCTTGAAAAAGGACTTACTTAAGCGCAGACACTGCTCTCGATCCCTCTCTCTCTCTCTCTCTCTCTCTCTCTCTCTCTCTCTCTCTCTCTCTCTCTCTCTCTCTCTCTCTCTCTCTCTTTCTCTCTCTTAATCGCCGCGATTAAACAACATCCCCATGGCAAGGCACGGAGGACTCGTATTTTCGTCAAGATAATATCGATTTCATATTCGTCGGGAAGCGAGCAGATGACAACGACACTGTAAACAACGGACAGACCGCAACGCGCGAGCGTTGAAAACGCAACGACCGCCAGAAGGGTGTCGCGCGAGGGTCCTCCCCGCGCGAACGACAGGTCTTGACAAACGACAGGTTCGAGCTCGCAAGCCGAGGCGGCGTATACTGCCAATTGCAGTTGCAGAAGGGTGTGCACCCGCCTCTTGCAAGGAGCTCGCGCAGCTGCAGCTGTCGACAAATGCACGGAGCTTGCGCGCGAAAGGGGGTGGAAACGCGGAAGAGTGGGTGGGCGACGAGGGAAAGACGAGGGTGATGGAATCCTTAGAGAACGAAATGAAGTGTTGCGTTATTCCTCTCTCTCTCTCTCTCTCTCTCTCTCTCTCTCTCTCTCTCTCTCTCTCTCTCTCTCTCTCTCTCTCTCTCTCTCTCTCTCTCTCTCTCTCTCTCTCTCTCCTCTTCTTCGCGCTCAATAGACACCTTTATGACCCACATCTCATTTTTTTTTCATTTATGGAATGGGATTGTTTAAGAGAGAAAGAAGAGAAAGAAGCACGTCGCTCCGCACTAAGTAAGTCCGGATATTTTCGGGTCGAGTGGCGATAATACGCGAGTTACGATCGTTCTACTTTCAATCTTCTCGTGAGAGACAAATTCGTGTGAAAAGAGATTTGAGGTGTCAGATCGGGATTGCTTGGATCTGGACTGGTGAGTTCCCTCGCGAAAGAAATTCTCTCCCCCGATGATCCTTGTTGATGACGTCGATGATGGACGGTGAGTGGTAAAATCCACGATGCGTCTTATTAGTCAGTAATCGACATCGGAAGACGAGAAAGAGACCATATCTCGCGAGTTGATCTTCCAAAATCCTAAAACAATACACCGTACATCGGGTGCTTCAGGAAGACGAGTACTTTTCCAGGAGTGCGCCACGTGTGTCGTGCTCATACGATCGATCGCCATGAGAGACTGCGATATACAAGGTGGCTATAACTCCGAGCTATAACGTTGTTGGTGCCAAGTATATTAAATTATTAAAAATTAAACACGCTCCGCTCTACATGAATCATAAAGTATTAGAAGTATTGTCAGCGTGTATAAATATGCGCTATCTACGTGTACGCAGGACGAGTCACGGTTGGCTGCGTTTTCCCTCGAGTGTAAAAATTGGACAAATATCGAGTACGGTCGAGTCGACGATGAAAACTGAAAACGACTCGCCATTATTGCAAATTCAATCATATCACGAGGGAGAAACACAGTCTCCTTCTCTTCCTATCCAAAGAAAACTTTAACCGAGCGAACAATTTTGACGTTGACGCTTTAATTTTCGGCAAAAATTAAGTCTCATTAGCCGTGGAGCCGTAACACTCGACAAGATAATGTTGCTTATTTACTTTACTTTGACTTGTTCCTCGTCGTTTTTTCCATACCGTCGTTGTTAACAACTATACCACCGCGTGGAGCTTCACTCAAAGGAAATGTTTCACGAAAATCTCTCGACAAAAGTCTGAAAGTCAGATAGACACGCGATCAATCAGAGTCTGATCGGAGCTTAAGTAACAAAACGTCCGGTCAAGGAACACACGTTCGCCCGCGAATGTCTCGTCGTCCGCCCGCCTATGTGACTTCGATCGGAGCGTAAGCACCGATCTTTACGATAACAACTTAACTGACAAAACCCTCCGCCGCTCGTCGCCGAAATAATTAACTCCGCCACTCGACTCCACCCGATACGATCGGCAATCAGCGTGAGAGCCATCGTCGCCGTGGCCACTCGTGTTCGCAACGGCTAAGCGCGAGGACCTCGACTCGATCGACCGGCCACACTCGCGGTGTATCCTTCACAAGTCGGCTGATCGTCGCGAATTACCTGAAAGCTCGCGCACCTGCCGCCGGTGCATCTTCGTCCGCGACGCCGAACGGGTTGCGTCGCGTCGCGTCGCGCCGCGCTCGCCGAACGATGCGTCGTGACGACGCCAACAACCCAACAGGATGCGGCGCGCGCGACCCCGACGAAAGGGTGCCGACGACACTGCCGGCGACCCTGTGCGGGGAAAATCAAAGGAAGCCGGCTCGCCCGGCTCATCGCTAATGCGCGGGCGCATACCCCGCCGGGGAAGGCGCTCCCCTTGCTTGTTCGAATTCGCGACCGCACGGGGTAGCCCCGAGACCAGGTGTATCTTTGTAAAAAAAAAGAAGCGCTCCCCCGAGTCGCTTTAGGAACGAAGCTGTCGAAGTTGTCGCAAGTTCACGCGGTTGACACGCTGATTTTCACTGATTATCTCGAGGCTTAATCTAATTCTCCATTACCAAGGATGCGACCGACAAGTGCAATTCACGCAGGTGTCTTTGTAAGTCGCGTCTCGGCGGCTTTCTATTGGCTCTGTTACTTAAACAGTTACGTACCATTGGTGGTTAATTAATTGATTATTGAGCGACGTCAGTGCAGATCACCGTTGGGCCTCCTGTTGGACAATCAAACGTCAACGCGTGCTAACGTAGTTTCTTAATGATTACTGCTGTGGATGAGCGACATTGACTCAACGGGTTGGTGAAGGAGGATCTACCAGGATTGGATCGATGTGGCTTTCTGAGGCTTGATGAATAAATCGGGTCTCTTCGGAGGGATCTTGTGGCCTTAGACAGAACCGAGAGAACAGATTAGAAAAGAGTAAGATTGAGGTAGATATGCCGATTTATTCAAACCATCTGTTTACTTGGTAATTTCGCCAAATCGCGACATTAATATCTCGTAAATTAACGTTCAATCGCGATCCCTAAATCAATGGCGCTAATTACAGCGCGTTAAAGTGGCATTCGCGCGTCATGCGGAGTCGATTCGCTGTAAATGTTACTTCTCCAGGTCACACACTATTGTACTCATTTGTACTTGTTCCTCTTTCCACATTGTTAAGCTTGTGTTTTATCTGGGAAAAAAAGACATTTTAGACAATGCGTCGTCTTGGTATATCCGCGCTGAGAAAAATAAAAAGATAGAGAAACCGCGCTGACGTTACTGCACGAACATATTTATCGATAATATAGAAAATAAATAATACCGCCCTTAAATAAAATAAATAATATATATCCCTAAACAAAAGTTTACATCTGGAGATAATAGGATTTACGACGAAGCGATGACGTGCGCGAACGCTTCCTTTATCGCCCATAAATATTTAACATAAAAAGACTACGAAGACAAAAATTAAATAACAAAAGCAGCCGGCGCGATCGGGACGGCGGCACATAAGTACGGATAACAAAGCTTCCTAAATGAATCTTAAGAACAAAAGAAAGAAATGCACGAAGGTTTGTTTTTCTTTTCTTCCGTGATAATAGGCATGTTCAATTTTCGTTCCGTCTTCCATTCGCTTGATGTGACGATAAAAATGCGTTAATAATCGACGATATAATCCACCCTCGTGTACTTACAGCAAGCAATCAGCAACACTCGAGCTCCGCAACGATAAGAAATAATCATGATCATAATAATAATAATCGTTAATGATAATAATAATAATAATAATAATAATATTAATAATAATAATAATCATAATTTCGTTAACGATATGTTAGCCTATCCGTATAAACACAGCGACATCGAAACATCGTTTATATTATGTGTAGAAATTAATTCATATTCATGTATAACATATGTATATATATGTGTATATATACATATATATATTATATATAATATATAAAACATTTGCAAAAAAATCACAGTTACTTAAAACATCTTATCTCTTTGCTTCCTTTTTCTCGCTCTCATGCTCTTTCTCTCACTCACACACACCTTCTGCTCTTCACACTAGTTCAGTTTTTGCCTTTAGTCCGCATTATGGGGCCCGCACGCAATTATTCGTACCTAACTATCAAATTAATCATTAGCCAAACAAAAAGAATGTCGCAACCGATTTCCGTGGAATTACTCACACGTTTGTCTCTTTTTGCAAGATTCATTTTACAATTATTTTTTCTCATGGTCGACTAAAATTAACAGATACTCAATATAATTCTAATATAACTCGCTACGCCTCGACAAGAATTTGAGAACTCTCAACTGCTTAATAATGTTAGACGAGGAGAAAATTTGTGGAGGCTTACACTGGATAATCAGAGGACCCAATAATTCCCGACAATACAATTTTCAAAGCTCCAAGTGCGATTCTACAAGATCGAACTTCCTTCTAGGATATATTCGAATATTCTCAACGTCTTCGGAAAACAAGCGGATTGTTCACATTACGGTATAAAACCCAGTAATGCTTCCAACTTCGAGCACGTAAATATCTTTGTGGGAGAGAGCCGTATCGAAACAACAGCAGCACATCGATGATGATAATAATAATAATTTAGGAGTTCTTAAGTACCATTCGCAGCTTTATGACGTTTTTGTCACTGTGAGATTAAAATGCCTACCCATGAATTATTTATTCTCTCTCTCTCTCTCTCTCTCTCTCTCTCTCTCTCTCTCTCTCTCTCTCTCTCTCTCTCTCTCTCCCCCTCTCTCTCTTTCTCTCTCTGAGCTGAGTCAGGGAATTTTTGAGAATTTTTGCATAATAATTCAGGATGCTCAATGAGTCGGGCGATTTTGCTATTTCTGTTCGAAACGAAGAAGCTTAATGGCGAGTTTCTATTAATATTAATAATTCACGAACATGATTCGGGAGGAATATTCGTTTTCGTCAATATTAGGGATGTAAAAACTATTGAATAATTTACGAGATTTAATTTCTCGAACTTTTTTGTCTCTCTGAAACTACAAGTTGAAAATCCTCTGTTAATTCATATATATATTTCTCTTTTTTTTTTCTTTTAGAAAACTTTACTTTTGTAGTTAATTAGTGCTTTTAAGAGACGAGATTTATCCAAGCTATTTTCACAGTCAATCGCGAGTCCATAAGTCGCTTTACAATTATCGTTGCTCGATGATCAAACAATCGATTGTTTAATTACACGGCAGTGTTGGCACAAAGCGTAAATATTGGCTGTCTTTCTTGGAGAAGAATGAAAATTTACATTTAAATACAATCCTAAGCACACCCAGCGTTTTGTCCAGCTAAATCTCCGACACGAATCACTATGGCGGCCAACAGAGAACGATAACTATTATCAAAAATTTACACTTAATCCCTCAAATCATTGCTTTTTCCTGAAAGAAAAGAAATACAAAATGTGCACTATAGAAAAATATATATATAAAAGAAGACATCAAAGCTGAGAAGTATATACACCACATGTGGTAACATATATACCAAACATTTATAACAAAGAATGACGATCACTATTGCGTAAAAACTATAATAATTTGCAGTCTGTGTTTCTGAGATGGTCACGCTGTTTCCGATAATTAATTATTCATTCATTCTAGCAAGTGTAACAAGCGATAATTGCCAATCCTCAATAATCGCGACTTCACATCGCCTGAGACGTTTGAGAGATTAATCAACGAAGAAACAAATCGGATCAGTTAACTTCGCCGTGAGTACTTACGATTAGTCTAGAAATATCTAGAGTAGACTTTTACGCGCTACCATCCGCTTGGTAAGCCGAGGACAGAGAAGCCAGTGACGATGGCAGTAAACGTTCACGATTCGATTCGCCGAGAGTCAGTCGATCGCGACATTTAGAAGCTTCGGAATTAGAAAGAACATTATGACTCATCGATTCTAATGAACACGTCGTGTTTCACCAGAATTCGTTATTCCACAAGTTATCTACGAGATAGAATCCCCGATAGTTCATCATGTAAAACTGAAGTCGTAAGCCTTATTTTTCACATAATTCAACATAATTCAACATAATTCAACATAATTAGAATTTCTCAGATTATGAATCTATGGATTTCACTTCAAAATACGAAAATATAGAAGAAAACGATAAAGTTCTAAAATATCGAGGACCAAAATCCGCTGATCGTCCAACGCTGAATTTAAAACTGAGTCGAGGGAAACATTAATTTTGATCGGAGAGGGCGACTGGCTCTAAGCGACTAATCGCGAGAAAAATGGCTGACAGAACATCGATCAATAACTATTTCATTAGCGCTAAGGGGTATGTACAAAATTTCATATATTACACGACAATTCCAATCCGTCGTAATTCAAGCGCTCGCGGAAAGTCAGCGTTAACCCGCGCTCGTGACACAACGAGAGCATTATCTTTTCATAATTCAGTCACTGTCGCGATTAGTGATAGTGAGTCTCGTGATAAGAGAGTGTGTACGTCAGATGCATTTCTAAAGAGTTCAAATATCCGCAGCATGGATAATTCAAGTCTCAAAAGTTCATGCGATCGAATATTCCGAAATATTTTCAGAGATCGCAATAAATTTCACCATTGAATTTAAGAATCTTCAAATTTAAGCATACGAAAAATTTCATACATCGAAAAAACCGCGCGAATTATTTGAATGCCAATCTAAAATACACCTTTAACTTAGTCTTAACTTAGTCTTTATAAGAGTCGATAAATTCGAAGCTCTCAGAGAGAAAGATCTCTAAAAATAGAACTGACGGATACAAGTAATAGAGAAATTAAATGAAATCGGGGTTAATCTGCTGCAGCTGGGAATGTCGTGGATAATCGGTCAGCACTCTCTTGCCACAAACGCTTTAATTATCACGCCGACGGATGCTCGGCAGTAAGGAATGGTTGTCGGAGAACTTCCCTTAGGAGAGAACGTTTACCTCGCGGGGCGAACCGCAAACATTCAACACGCTGTTGGTCGAATTAGGCGTAATCTGACTACGAGCCTCGTTTTGAGCCTGTCGTATCGCCTCTTTGTACGGACCACGTTTCTTCTTATTGTACCGCGTCTGAAAACAGATTCACGATGTAACATTTAACTGCAGATGTAAGATTTCAAGACTGATTTACATTGCCGATAATATGCAACCAAGATCAATCGACAATGTCAATAATGTGAAAGTATCAGAATAGAAATTATAATTTAATCCATTTGTACTGATTATTATTATTATTTATGTCAATGTACCTTAAAGGTTTCGAGGAAAGGACTTAATTGGTCGCAGGACATTAGCGAGCTTGTAGACGATCCGTACCAAGCCACATGAGCTTGAGGGCCGGACGAGGTGCCATCTTCTTTACAGGACACCGTGATACTCAAAACCTGTACATAACGTAACATTAAACGAGTCATCTTATTTCAGGAAATTGTCATCTCCCAATCTTAAGTAACGAAAGAAGACCATAATCGCCAGTTAAAGATGAATTAACTCACTGCAGAATATATCATTTCGAAATACCTCACACGTACCTTGCCAGGCCACCACGGGAAACCGTGAATCTTGCCCCACACAACGTCACCAACGTCCATTCTCCTGCCATTGGCTGTAAGACAGTGAGCGACGGGGGTAGCGGCCAGTCGCATCACCAAGGGATGAGATTGCGGTGGAAAGTCAGGCGCCGTTTCCACTTCCGGCTCTTGCTCACTCAGCTCGTCGCTACTGCCACCGGAGCTCTTGCAGCCGGAGGACGCGTTGCTGACAGGGTAGTCGCAACGCGCATACGCATTCGTGTTAAGCCTCTTAAGCGATATCGACAGTTTCTGCTTCAGGCACTGTTCCTTGATGGCTCTGTAGGATTCGCCACCAGGTAGGACGTTCCAATTCTGCTGGTGCTGTTCCGTCGAGTCCAAGCAAGACTGCTCAGGCTGCGGTTGTTGTTGCTGCGACTGTTGATGTTGTTCTTGCTGTTGCTGCTGTTGGTTCTTGTGCTTCCGACCCTCCTTATGTTTCTTTTTATGTTTCACCTTGTGCTTCCGACGATGATACGAGAGAGGATCGTAAGTGGGATTATATCTAAATAATAGATTAATGGAAAATTGTTGAGGTTAAGAACGCAGTTATAATATAGAATATAGATAATTGCAAAATAAAAATGTGACTGCAGTATCTTAACACGTTCGCGACATCGTGACCCACTGGTAGGTCACACTGGTTTATATTAATAGACGTGTGTGTCCACCGGTGGGTCACACACTATGAAGCATTGCACTGCTTCTGAAAGTCTCTGTGTGTATCGGGGGCTCTATATATCATAACTACGGCTACATGAGAAATGTATCTATGTACTAGCAACATGGTTTGTCGATCAGACAATTATAGCAAAATAACATATTTATTCGAGGAAAGCTGAACACGAACACTGTAAACTTGTGCGTCCTTTAGAGTGAACCAATGGATTTATCGATTGTCGCGAACGTGTTAAACGATAAAATAAAATTCGTTTATATGTGAACAATGGTTATAATTACTATACCTCGGTGATCCATTGCAAGGAGACCTCGCTGGCGACACTCCGCCCAGCATCTTTCTCCTAGCCTCTTTCTTGGCTTTCTTCAGGGCTCGTTTGGCTGCCTTCGCGCTGGCATCCTTCACGCCCTGCTTCTGAGGGTCCACCTGTTCTTGTCCGTCTTCTTCACCCCCCTCGTGATACTCGTAGTCGTTGTCGAAGGATCTGGGTAATTCCAGAGGATCCCTCTCTTGCTGAGTGTCGTCAGGGTCGTCAGTCTCCTGTTCATACTCGGGGTCCTGAAGTTTGGCGGGTATCTTTAGAACCGTACCTTCACCTTGCGCACCAAACGAGATTTTGATTACTGGCGTGGTTCGAGCGGTTCTCGTAGGATCTTCAAAGACAGATTCATCCCAAAGGTCTTCCATCGAACCTACTGAACGTTTCTTTCTCGGTATTCTGCCAGTTCTCAGTCTCATGGTTGAATCCGCAGCAGCAAAAGTCTTCTTATCTTCTTCTTCAGGTACCTTCGCACTTTCCACCGACGAACTACTGAGTCTCCTCGGTGTAGCGCAGTAAGCCATTGAAGGATTGCTGTCGCAATCGGTGGACTCGATTCTTTCTTCTGCGGGTCTCAGGACGTTCCTCAGGGACGTCTCTTCCTCACCTCTGACCGGCCAGTGCGATGGCTGTGCGCTCGCCGCGACTTTCACTTTGTCTGTAACAATCGTCCAGTCTTCAATACATGTTCGGGCCCAGAAAATTAAACGTCGTCTTAGATTGAAGGACTTAGGACGATAAAGTATAAGGAGTTACGTTTGTGACATTTATCTTGCTCACAGATTCATTTTAGCGTAGAGAAAAGATTTACTCCAACTAATAATTTCTGTTTCGTAAGAAATTAAACACTGCCAGAAAGAAGACATAATATGGGCAAATCTCGCGCCATAAACTAGCAGCATCTTTCTCGTTAAAAGCACAATAAGGTATGAAAGATGTAATACCGGAGAATTGACCAGAGCCCTGTATGGCGTTGCTGATCTCGTTAGGCTGTAATCTTGCTAGTTTCGGGATCAGGGAGGCCCCCATTTTCGAGGAGTCGGGACTCGAGGCCGTTGTCTTCGTCGCTTGATTGGAGGTCGAGTTTTCTGTCTGGCATTCGGAAAGCAAAGTCCGTTGGGCCTTCTGCAATTGCTGACCGCAACGTCGGTCGCTTCTTCTCGTGGTACTCGCGACCAACTGGTCGAATTGCAAAAGAAATCATTATTCTTCGACTCTCGTACGGTACGTTATACAGAGTACAGATGACTGTTAAGCCAGAGGTCTAGCATGAGAATTTTAGCTTTCTGAATTCTCAACTCAATCGAGGATTTGTTTTAAGCGAATCTTCTAAGCATCAGGACCATTACGCAGGACACACAGATACATACACATACACATACATTCTTTCTTTTTCTCTCTATCTCTCTTAAAATTCTTCAAAGATTCCGCAGATGAAAAGGAGGACAGCCTGTACATTATTCTAAGCGGCACTTGCGGTACCTGCTGCTGCGGTTGTTGTTGCACCTCTTCATGCTTCCGCTTCCTGCTGACGTCGACGTTCTCGCTATTCTCGTTGCAGATGGACCGGCACTTGCTGCAAAGCACCTGACGTGGTCTCAGTCTCACTGTGGGCCTTGCATTCTTATATCTGGCAGGCGGATTGATGCTCCTGCGGAGATCAACCTTGGTAACAACGGAGGCAGTCGACGACGACAGCGTGCTCTTCCGCTCTTGGAAATAGCTGAAACGCGTCGCGATCGTCGCCAATTTGTCGCCATCGGGGCCTGGAATCGGCTCCGGAGGCTGAACACCGCAGGGAAGGCCTCTGCAATACAATTCGCGCGTCATATAATTACCCTATGGTTTCCGGAATTTTAATCACGCTTGAAGAATGTTCGGAAAACACTTGGAAGATGTTCGAATTAGAATTAGAATATCTTCCTTTCTATCATATCTCTATGTAGATCTCGTGAAAAACGTAATAGTCTCTTTTATATTCATTAAGTCATATATGTGTATGTGTGTATATACCCATAATATCACCATGTATTATTTGCTTTATTTGTTATATTTATGAGCGGAAAAAGATTCGAAATATTCTTTTGTCCCTTTGAAAATAACACATCTGTGCCGGCTAATAGAATTCGTTACATATATCACGATCTTCGATCTTTTCAGCTTAACTTTTTCAAGTTCACCGGAACTTTTCCGAACGTGAAGATTACTTTTCCCCGAGCGGATCTCGGAAAATGGGTTGGATCATTGTTGCGCTGAATGCCTTCGATCGAAACCGCCGGCGAAATGAGAATGGCTGGGCAAGAAGAGTATTGAGCAATGGTTTCGGGTATGCCTCGACGGCGCTCCTCGTGCACCGACAACGCAGCCATGTTATGGTATTGATTCGAGAGGAGCGTACAATGAGCGACAGTCTGACGGTACATCCATTAATATTTTCCGGATTTCGATACGGGCAGACCCTCGAAATTCCGAGTCAACTCGACGGAGAAGAATAACGTCGCGAGAAGGGAAAATCGGGGACCAGCGAATTTGCCACGACGTGAAAGTGATTACGGCAGAGGGTGTTTCCAACAAATTTCCGGCAGAGCTCTTATCGTAAATTTGTTATCTTTATGGTACTTTATTACGCTACATAAACTGTACACCTCGAGACGCGCCGACGCTACTGAAAATCTACAGTTTGCGTCACGTACTTTATAAGTACTCTCGCTTTAATTCCCAAGTCTGAATTTTATTCAATTTAGACTCTAGTTTGGACTTTACTCTCAAACAAGCCGGTTCTCTATCGATTCGGTCGAGCATCGATTTCGTAAACGTTCCATTTCGACAGTAAGTTCGTGAATTCGTATCTTATCGCGGTAGCGCTCCAATTGTCTCGTTAAAAACGACAGCAACAACAGGCTCATTTCTTGAATTAATAAAGTAGACAGTTAACGGACTGTAGCACGCTATACGTGGCTGTTTCTCTGCTTAGTGCCCACATACATACACAGTTTCGACCCGCAAATGGTGGCGTTCTCAGAGACGTCGACGATATTCCCTTTGTTCCTGACGAACACGAAACCACTATATTAGCGGTTCTCAACCCTCCGTGAGCGACACAGCTGGGCGACGTGTTTTGGCTTGCGTCGAGAAAGATCAATAAATACCGTTCCACAGCCTAATAAATTCATGTCCTTGGGCTGTCGTCCACTAATTCAGTCATCGATATCCGAAATCGAACTTTATAAGAATTTAACGGAGCGCGGATTGTTGAGTAAGAATTATTACCAAAGCGATGTCTGCTTGTTTAAAATTAATACATTGTTGAAATAACACTGCCGTTATCATACGGCAACTGATACGGATAATATCGCACGTTTATCGAAGTTTTTCAAAGGTCTCTGCCAAACGTCGCTTCTGCTACTATCGATCTCTCTGGAAAGCGGAAACGAGAGAAGTTAATTCTTTGTACAAATCTATGTTCAGGAAGTAACTTCGCCATTCAGCGCACTAGACATACGAATGTCCCAGCGATGTCTCTCCCGTCAGGTTCTCTCGAGTAGCTAATTGATGTCGGTGTCAACGACTTTTCCAGCATGAAAAGAGAACTTGCAAACGATGGGGCTCATAAGAGAAAGATATGGGAACCTCTACCGCACCATACCGTCGTGCACAACGTGACACAAGCCAGGCCAGGCCTGGTTGGTCGGTGGCCCCGACCAGCCTTCAGGGCCGTAAGCAGATAGTCTGTTAGTCTGTACTGCTTATCTTTTATCTAAATCGGTGAAACTTGACAAATAATGCATCCACCGTATATATTATACAACGGGACGAACGTAGAGGAATAATTAAATGACGCTTAAATATGGAACGCGATAGTACCTTTGATGACCGATAGCGTCTCTTCAATTTTTGATCAACGACTGGGATTCAAACGAGGTCAAAACGGTATAATTCCTCCTGACTGATTATTACCATCCATACTATCTAATAGAATGATCAAGCCGAAAAAGACACAAAGATGTGAAAAAGATATTAAGGAATAATGAATTTGTTCCAAATGATGTCGTTCGTTCACGAGCGAACCAACCCAGAAGACAAACGAAACAGCCAACAGCTCTCATCCTCCCTTGTGGTTACCTACAGCCCTGTCGTGGTTGTGCAATTGCGATATGAGGCACTGGCCATTGGGGCCGGCCGGCTTGGACAAGAAAACCCAGAGCGCGGGGTAAAAAACGGGCAACAGCTGTTCGGTCACAGCGAAAAAAGCCGGGTTCTGGACAGAGCGAGGCAACTAACTCCGGTTACCACGCGTCGAGCTCCCATGCGACTTGGAAAAGAGACTCCATCACTCGTGCACGAGCAGAATTGACGTTGCGAGCGAACTAGTGAGCTAGCGAGAGAGAAAAAACTGACAATTGAGTTGAGCAAAACTGACGCTCGGCCGACCGAGGTCAAGTCTGAGGAGAGGCATCTGGTTCGTTCTCGAGGCAAGGTTCGAGATCGGGCTAGGATTTCGTTCGAAGCTGCGAGTTCGAGGAGATCGAGATTGCAACGATTTCTGATACTTCGATTAGATGAATCACAAGGCGCCGTCGCGGAAAAAAAGCCCATGCATGCGTTGTTGCAGTCCCGCGAGTGGAAGAGATAAAAAACGCGAGATATCTCGCAGAGTGACCATGTCCTCGCGGAATTTTGGCCAATTATCTCGCTGTCGCATGATCCGTAGACCAATGCATGCAGATTCGGTCGATTCTACTCGCAAGAAGAATCAGCAATGTCTACGGCACGAAGGTTGCATTATTATGCGAGACCGTGAGTCACCTCTACGACGAGGTCTCTTTAACGTATACTGGGTGACCCGAAATGTACTATGATCTTTTCGTCCACGCGTTCGTCCCGACTACAGTCCAAGTTGACCTCGCAACAGCCGCAATTTTATTAGCTGGACGAGCTTGTCTACTGCTCGTCCGCGCCATGCTCGTTACTCGTGCGCCATTGTCCCACACGCACTCGGTCTACGGATTTTGAGACAAGTCTACAATTGGAAATGAAGGCAAATTCGTGCAAATTTCAAGCTGAATCGCAATGACGTTGCGCGAAAGCGGCCGCGACGATCGATAGTCTTCTTTCTCTCTTCCCTATTCTCGTCATCATCGCCGAGGAAAAGTTCCAGCGCACGAGCCACCCCCGTCGGGGAATCCGCGATCGGAGGGCAACACGCGTCACTCGCGAACACCCTATGCACAGAAACGTACACGTAAGCAATGTTGAGGACATAACAAAAATGGATGGATAGGATGAAATTCGCTTACGACATGGCCGCTTACGATTACCGCGTCACGCAAGATTTGAAGAAACTCGCAAATTCCACGCTTACGTCAGACGCCGGACGTTGACGCTGGGGAAGGATAGGGGGTGTCTGAAGAGTGAGAATTGATAGATAACGCGTTATCGAAATTATTATCATAATTTTCGGAATGTTCTGTTAAACCAGGTTCACGTAGGATCTCGCTGTCGTGGAAGGCTCGAGCGTCGTGCGCCGTCGGGTCGTATCGCGTCGCCTCCGCTTAATTCTTATCAACGATATCAACAATCGAACGTCTCTATCCTTAATATCCTCCTGAGTGCCTAACTCGAGGTCTTCTCGCTGTATTCAGACATGAGGCAAATCATGATTCGAACGCCTATGATGATCAGAAAATCCCTAGCAAGAAGAGGTCGATCCTGAAAATAACAAGAGAGGAAACGTTTCGAATAGTAATGCGCGATTAGCAAATTTTTCCTTACAGATCTGATGTCCCGTAGATTATCCTATCAATTTACGATTATCTCTTGATTGCGCGGCGTAATGCCTCCTTCATCGAAATTGACGGGATTAACAAAGTAGAACAAGCATCATCGAATTATCGAAAGTGACGCAATACTCGAGGGAGTGAATTACTTGGTGAATTTCTGAGGGTTATTTGAAAAGCAAATGGATTCTTTTGGCGTGTATTTTGCATTCGCTTCTTCTAGAGATGTATTGGGGGCTCGAACACGACAGAAAGATCTTTGCCAAATTCTGAGAACAAAGAGTCACTATCCGAAAGCCGTCGGAACTTTTTACGACCAATCACACTTTTAGAGAGCGATTATATAATAACTTCTAGAATCCTGCCGCTCGGATAACCCGCCTGTCGGACGTTTAAGGTATTTCCTGTTTGAAAGGCCGAACTTATGAATCATAGAAAGATCCCTTTGTATTCCAAGGATCAAATTCGCACAGAACATTTCCGATATTTTTCAACGTAGGATCTTCGGAGTAATGTAACAATGCAAGAAATTATGCAATATTCTAGTCTCCCAGATTCTTAAAATTTTGGATATCCACATTCGGAAAGATTCCGATCCTTCGCTCTTTACACGCCTCAGGATCTCAGAATTAAAAAGAAAATACGAAAAGATCGAATATATCGACTATCCTAGGGAGAATATCGTCGACGCGTCTAATTCGTTCGGTGTAATTATGCTTGTAAATCTGAGCGCGGCTGTTGAAGAATCACTGAGTCTATTATCCTTCGAAGATCTAAGTCCTGGAATTTCGCGTATCCTGGGATACCGGACGTTCGCGCAAAAGAGAAACATTTACCCATGCAACAAGATACTAGAGTACCTATCCAATATTTGTCTCACCAAACATGATCGTAACTATGAGACTTAATCCTGACGGCCAAAAGTCCGCGAAACCTTGGCTTGATACCCACAGTTTCATTCTTAGATTTCCTACAACCAGCATTCTACTATTGCTCAATGTCATTATGCATTGCTCGAGAAATCAACAACAAGCAAACATAGAATCGCCAAGGTTGCCGCTAGTCGCTTTCATTCACGATTCTGATCCTGGCGACCTTCAGATCGGGCTGGTCTCCAAAGATATCCCGTACCGTCGAAACTCCCGAGACCTCAACATTACAATGCGAAACCCCTGCGAGCTAACAATCCGCGTGCGGATGAGACCATCGACATTCAGTCTGCCAAATACAAGAGCTTTCTTCTTTCCCGAAAACAATTTCTTTACAAAGGATCTAAAACCGATGAAGAGCTATCGGAATGATGAATCACTTAATCTCCGAGCGGCCCTTCGTAAAAGAATAGCCGTCGGACAACGGAAACGTGTTTTCATCAGGATTCTTTTGAAGTTGAGAACTGTCGCGAAAGTGGATGTTGCTATCCTAGCTATAGGACAAAGACTCTCGGCAGACCGAGTGAATAGGAAGCAGAGGAAGACGAGTCGCGACACGAGGTCCTTCCTCTCTCTCTCTCTCTCTCTCTCTCTCTCTCTCTCTCTCTCTCTCTCTCTCTCTCTCTCTCTCTCTCTCTCTCTCTCTCTCTCTCTCTCTCTCGCTCACTCATTCACTCACTTTTTCTCTCCCTCCCTCCCTCTCTCTCTCTCTCTCTCTCTCTCTCTCTCTCTCTCCCTCCCTCCCTCTCTCTCACTCCTTTCTCTCAATCTTACCTTTTGGTAGCGTCGAGGAGCACACCTTGGAAGCACTTGGTGCCGTGGACGAAGGACACTACGAGGATGTCGGGTAGCGCGGAATCGACGGTCACGAGGATCTTGTCGCCCGTGGTGAGCGCGAGGAGAGAGGACGGGGCCTCCGCTGCCTCCACGGCCGCCATCTTGCCTCGTTTAGAGTTATTGCGAGCGAGCGAGGCTGGTTAGCGTGTGGTTAGGGGCTCTCCTCCGTGCTCTCTGCTCTCCGCACCACTCAGCTTTGCTGCGCTCCGTTCTGCTCCGCTATGACGGCGAGCTGACCGGGAGCAGCGAGCTGCTCGTCGTCTCGTATCCTTCGTGGTCTCGCGGCTTCGTGCCGCGCCGCTCCGCTTCGCCCCGCGTCGCGACGCTTTGTACCGGTCGTCGTCGTCGCTGTTATCGTCGTCGTCGTCGTCGTCGTCGTCGTCGTTGTCGTCGTCGTCGTCGTCGTTGTCGTCGTCGTAATCGTTCTTTCTCGCTCGCTCGCTCGGCTCGAAAGCCGGATGACGTGAGGAGCGGCGGCTGCGGCTGCCTCACTCGCCTGCGTGTGTGCGGAGGCCATGGGCCGCGTGAGGCAGACGGTGAAGCTTTAGAGTCATGAGGTGAGGGGGGCAAGGAAGCGGCAGGTGAAGAGGGGAGCGGCGGTGCGGAAGAGCACACCGCCTTGCTTTGCTGGCGGCCGACACAGCTGGCCGCCGTTGCCGGTATCGATGCGCGTGCGCGTCTTGGAAGCGGATTGTTTCAGACTCGTACGCGTGCAGGGTGCTCGAAGGGGTCTTTGAAACCCTTACTTTGCCCTACGTCTCGTGAACAATGTTACCAACCACGACTCCAGGCCGCCTGGAGGACCTTGCGCTCTGATAATTATGCTCCGGCAATCGTTTCCGTAATTACTCGTCCAACTTGAGTCTCCTCTTCTTCAAGGCTCCCAAGTCCTAAACTGTCGTGAGCAACAGCAGCTGGAGATGTTGTTGCTGCACATCGACATTTCTGTCAACAATATTGTACTGGTGTGAACGTGACGTAACAACCTCTATCTTCTTTGAGGGTTATACTGATGGGTGCCAGTAACGTAACAAGAAGCTTCTAGTGCGGTTGCATTGCGCTTCTTGGCTTCGACGTCCGCTGCATCTCCGGCATTCGTCAACGTCGAAACGGAACAATCGAACGCTGCATAAATCGGGCTTCAGCACGCGTTTCACGGTAAGTGAGAGCAAGATGACTTTATGCTTCCATAACGACGTTGCATAAGCACTATGATAACGAATCGCGAGTGCGAGAGGGTTGGACCTTTGACGGGTCCCCAGTGCGGCCCTGTGTAGTGGCAAAATCACCCTTCTTCAGTTTGTTGTGTAGTTGAAACGGTTTAGGATAAATGACGACTGTTTAATCAATCAGTCAGACCGTGATTATCGATACAACCGGCCCTCAGAGACAATGCATCCTTCCAAAAATCTGGGTCGTCCCTCGTAGCTTCTAGGAAAGCTACGAATCGATATCGACGCGAATGCTAGAAAAGAAACGTGAACGTGTTAAAAAAAAAGAAAAAGTGTCGATAATATGTATCATGTGAAAAATGCATATGTATACTTACGATAACGTGCGACGCTTGTTAAGCCGTATCCACACTGTAGACGTTGCTATTGACAGCTAAAAATGAGTCGGGGTCGATCAGACAAGCCGTGTGACGTTGGTTAAACAACTGCTAATTCTGGTCCCTTTCCCTTTTCTTATTTGTGCGATACTAAAGAATGTAATTCACGGAAAAACCGCAAATCATCTGAAATCGGCCGAGAACTGAAATGACAAAATTTTAAATGTCACCTCAGTGGAAAGAAGAACGAAGTCTGAAACAGAGAAAAAAAAATCGAATTCATTTACATCTAATTCTGAGAAACTAGCAATTTTATGACGAATTATACCGGCTGAATGCAATGCAAATAAAGAAAACTGATTTTACTCGATTAACTGTAATAATTTCCCCGTTATTACGCTATATTTTAATTAATGATTTATAACCAGCAATAGTATGTTCGAGCTCTCGAATCGTACGCGATTTCGGCCTGCCTTCGAATGATTAGCACCGTCCAAATTGTGCATTGAAACATGGCATTGATAATGTGCAACGTTATTTATCTATAGGATCATGATGTAAACCATCCAGTCGCTGTAACTTTTATGAAACGGTCTCTATTTTGCATGCGACACGTTGCTGTAATTCATAATTAAACGTATCTGCATAAATGCTCTCGTGATTACATATTTATGCCTCTTACGCTCGATTGTATCGTCGGTATTTGATTTCTATACAATTTCAAGAAGGTGCATTTTTTATACACGACTTTTTAAAGATACCTTACTCTTTACAGCTTCGGTTAATTACACAATTAGTTATGCGTTTGGATTGCGTTAAAGAAGGCTCGGCGTAAAATAAACACGTAAATAAACGCGTTTATTTTCCACTTGACCACTATTATCGAACGTTCTACGCATGAAAAATATTGCGTAACATCTCGATGGCGACAAAGAGCGAAAATTGTTTCACATATATTTTAAAAACGCTCAACGCAGTCGCTATTTTCACGCACACAGAGGCCTTGCGCTCTAAACCTATAAATATATCCTCATCTTGTCGGACTTCTTGTAACATTATGAAGGCATGCGCGGGCTTATGCAAATCATATAAACGCATAAAAATGTCCGTCTGTTTTAAGATGCGGTTGTGCATATGTCATTCCTTAAAACATCACTCTCACAAAACACTTCGAGAGATACCCTGTATAGACATTCTTTATCATGCGTGTCAATTACATTGTCTGTTTCACTTACAAATAACATAAATACATGCTTATAACTTATTTTTAAGTAAACATATTGAAAGAGAAAATATCAAATCTTCAGTATTATTAATTTATATCTAAAGAAATATATATATATATATGTACATATATCTTTCCTATCCAAGTAAACAAATAATCAATAGATATTGAAGATTGACTTTCGCAACATCACGTTTAGTGCAGAACGTCTTTTCTATTGTGTTTCACGATATTTACGATGAAAAACCTCGATTAGATTTGTGTGCTGAAACAACTTTCTGACGTCTTCGGGTACGATGACGAACGAGAGACTGGACCTGGACAAGCCACTGTGGGACCTCAACAGCTTCACAGGAAGATGGAAGTACTTCGCCTGGATGACCGACTTCCGCACCTGCGTCGTCTCTGAATCAGCGCTACTTGCTGCCAAAAACTTATGCGAGCAGTACAGGTGACGACAGAAAATGCACTGTGACTGTTAGATGGAAATCTTTTAAGTGGCTGTTGTAAGGCTCGTTAGTTCGCTCGTCAAAAAATTACGCTCACTCCGACAATTTCGTCGAGTAAAGATCTGTACGAAGTGGCTCATAGAGTTCTTCATTAAAAAGTAATGCAGCAATAGCGGGATGTGTACACTTGATATCTTCGATACATTCTTTCTCACTTGAGAATCACTCTACTTTGTAGACTTGGCAAAGAGCCAGCCGATACAACCAGAGAGCAGATCATCTATGCGAAGAAGCTGTACGAGTCGGCCTTTCATCCCGACACCGGCGACCTGCAAAATGTTTTCGGCAGGATGTCCTTCCAGGTGCCGGGAGGTATGGCTATCACCGGCGCGATGCTTCAGTTTTACAGGTATTTCTCATCGATCGTCTCGAAGTATCCCAAATGAAGAGTCGATTTCTTTCCTCGTCACACGTTACTCACAGAAAATTCTTTTATTGGCTTCTATCGTATTAATGATTAAAAAAAAAATCGAAAATTAAAAAATAGAAAAGATCGACTTCTATAGTGTTGCTTCTTATCTGAAGTTGTATTCTTTCATATATTATGTGTTGAACCGATTTAGGACGACGCAAGCGGTGGTTTTCTGGCAGTGGGTCAACCAATCTTTCAATGCACTTGTCAATTATACCAACAGGAATGCTAACAGTCCCATAACCACTAGTCAACTAGGTGTAGCTTATGTTAGCGCTACCGTTGCGGCTATGATAACCGCAATAGGGTGCAAATCGTTTTGGGAGAAACGCGCGAATCCTTTGATGGCTGTAAGTTTCGCGGAGTTGATGCGTGAAAACATTCACGCAGGGTATCCCAAATTTTGCGACGATCAATAAATGATCCTTTTTTTCAGAATGTAATGTTATATGAACTGTAAGTGAAAGAAAAAATAGAATACAATTCGACGAAATTGTAGTTCTTTTGGGACACCCTGTATATACATGTTGGAATAGTTTCCGAGACTAGTCCTAAATTGCGGAGGATATAGAGTGAAAAAAGAAAAAAAAACATTTCAGAGATACGTTCCGTTCGCCGCAGTGGCAGCCGCTAATTGCGCTAATATCCCTCTAATGAGACAAAACGAAATAAAAAACGGCGTAGAACTCGTAGATGACGATGGCAGAAAACTCACGAGATCGAAGGTACAAAGTATTTCCGATTATAAAAAGTCCGCTGACATCTGTAGCAGAATTTTATGATGAATGACATATGTGATTTTAGTTTGCGGCTGTGAAAGGCATTTCGCAAGTCGTTATTTCGAGAATTGTCATGTGCGCGCCCGGCATGCGTACGTATTACAAACGATTTATTTCAAAATAGTTCGTTCAAATTTTTCAGTTTCAATATCGTTATAACAATACGATCAATTGTAATCACAATTAATCTTCCCAGTTATTCTACCGCCTATAATGGAAAAATTGGAGAAGTACGCTTGGATGCAAAGAATTAAACCTATGCACGCTCCAATACAAATTATGATGTGCGGCATTTCGTGAGTGTTTTCTATCTTCTTTTTCTATCATTGTGTGTTTTCTCACTTATTACTATTATTATATTAACTATCGTATTAATTATAAACCTATTCTGTCGGTTCTTTTAGACTCTCAGTTATGGTGCCGACGGCGTGTGCGTTGTTTCCGCAAAATTGGTAAATAATATTTTCATATTTCATATATACATATACGTACATGAATGTTTTTCTCTATGTTTTACGTGGTAAAATATTCATGTATATTATTTTGTAGCTTTATCAAAACAACCACTCTACAACGCTGGGAGCCGGAAAATTACGAACTGCTGAAGAAAAATTGTGAAGGAGGCGCGATACCGGCGTATTTGTACTTTAACAAGGGATTATAATGTTATGAAAAATTCTAGTTCAGAAGAAACTTAGATAAGTGCTATTCCATCCTTTGCAAGTGTCGTGATCTCAACTGATACACTCATGACGAATTCTTCTACTGAATCAGAGTCGAACCCGTGATTGATAACATCATTATCAAAAATCAATTGTTGCAATAGCACCTCTTTTTTTTTAATACATTGTTTTAAAAGGTCACGAGACTTTTAAAATAGTGGTTCAAAGCAATTAACTTAATTTCTAACACCGCCTTGACAACTGTTAGAAGTTAGGATTAGTTACGAAACGTCATATGTATATCCACAGAATGATAGAATGAAATTTCATCGACACGTTGAGATATGTAATAGAAAGTCGTTAACTGCAATATAAAAATGATAAGTAGTGAAGGATGAAACGTTGACAATACAGTTTGGTGCTTTGGTAGACTAATCACAAACCGTAGCAATAATTTCCTTTAAACAAATGTTCAATAGTCTCTCTCTGGCGCTTTAATATTAATTTATAAGTTGTTAATGTTTTCTCGTTGTTTTAATATATTACACATATTTTCTTCAGGATATCGTTAGTCATTGGAATATCACTTAATAACAACAATATTGTTTTTTGCATTTTCGAAGCCTATCGAAAGTAAAAATGCTGCCATGTATAGTGATATGACAACAAACTTTCGTACACATATATAATTAATAAGATATATATTAATATATATAATATACGTAATAAATTATATCAATAAACATTGCTATTCCATGAAATAAAACTTGTCACATATCAACTGGCCTTATCCATTTTTGTAAGATTTCGGATATTCCAGAATTTTATGAACTCAGAGCCTAATGACTAATAAAATATAAATACTTTTTTCTTTATTCATACCGATTATAATCCTTTGTTGTAATAAACCCTGTCCGGATGCGCATGCTCGCCCATTGCCTTTTGAAATTCTTCGTACTCGCCCGGACACATCTTCATTAATCCTGGCTTCATTGAACTTAACAGAAAAAAGTATGTTAGAATATACAGTAAATTAATATTTGAAATTATTCAAAATTATTTCTAGGGAATTTTTACTTACTTTCTTTGCGGATAAATGGCGAGCGCCGAAGGAATCATGACCAACAAGCTGCACAGACGAGTTATATTTATTAAATTGTCTGTTGTGTAACTGTTCTTACTGTCGCGTGCATACGACGCAACAGGTCGCAGTTTGACGCTAGTTCGAATAACGTGATTCGAATAACATGACATAGACCAACGTTGCGCAATGTTTGCTGATACTTGTGTGTGAAAACTTGTCGCGATGTAACGCACTATAAGAATTACCAAATTGTACTCAGGCCTATCTCAATAGGCATGACGACCCATGATCGAAGCTGATAGAAACAATACAGTCGTAGGCGTTGAGTCACTGCAGGGACTAATAGCATCCCTGGTGCCGCCATTAATATTCTGGTGATGATACACTCGGAGATACCCTTGATGGCAGCTATCCGCGACATCATAATGCACTCGTCCCCATCCTTAGTGAAGATTGGAATACCCCGTGTGATTTCACGTTGTCTCATAATAGGTAAATTCACTATGTTGCCGACTGCAACCGCACAGAATGGAACAAAACGCTACACACAACAAAGATAATTTATTATAAAGAAAATAATTTTTCTCAATTACTCTAAAGCTTTCTATTTGTAATTAATTTTCAAGAAACATTTAGTTGTAGGAATTCAGAAATTTAAAGATCTGAATTTTAAAAAATTCATTTAAAATATCTAGAAAATTAAAGTTTAGATTTTTAATGATTTAATATGCTTTTTCCTTATATGTATTATATTTAAATAAAATATAATAAGCTATGACTTCAAATGTTAAAGTTTGCTTACTTCAAAAAGGGCTCCTTTATTAGAAAGTATCTTCTTGAAGCTCAAAGCAGCAGCACAACTTGCAGTAGTGGCTAATGCAAAAGCTTGATGAATCATGCTAACATCTTCTGGATCATCGTTCATGGCACTTCGATTGGTATAATTAACAACTGCATTAATGCCCTGATTAATCAGTTGACTTGCTATGATCCCATAAGTTGATCTATGACAAAAAGATAAAAAGAATAGAAAATAAAAGTATATAAAATAAAATGGAGTAAAATGCAAAAAATAAAAAAAAAATTAGAAATAAATAGAAAAAATAATTAGAGGTATAAAAATAATGAGAAATAAGTCGAAAATTTATAGGATAACTATCATCTTACTTGTAAAATGTCAGCATGGCAGTGGTAAGGACAATGGAACTGGGTAACTGGAAGGACATTCTGCCGAATACGTGCATAAGCTCACCAGTATCAGGATGAAAGGCACTGTCTTTGAGTTTTTTTGCATAGATTATGTCCTTATGTTGCAAGCCAACCGGCTCTTTCCCAGCTCTGAAAAACATGATTTTTATTAATATTACAAATGAGATTTCATCGTTAATTTTCTTTTTCCTGTTACTTCGAAACATCAGTAGAATGATTCGAATGTCACGTTATATCGGCAAACGAAGAAATCACAACTCACTTGTAATCTTCGCAAAGTTTCTTGGCCTCTCGTAATTTCTTTTCTGACACAAATACTGTACGGCAATCCGTGATGAAAGCGTAATGCATCCATCTGCCGAAATATGTGTCCTGACTCCAAAGTGGTTTGTCGACGTCGATCTTGCCTTCAGAATTTTTACTTCGCCGTACAAAAAGATCGCCATTTCTGCTCATTGTCGGTTACGCGAATAATTGCACCGAAACGTACGGAACGAAATATCGAATACTCAAAATACCGTATCGTATGTCTCGAAGAGCCTTTTGACATTCTACGCTTGATGACGTTCGTTAAACGTGAATGACATTGTTGACAGTGAATGGTAAATACAGGCAACACCGTGAAATCGCGATCCGATCGGATGTCTTGCCGCATCGTGAAGTGAAGTGCTCGTGAAACTTTCGTCGCGCCGTAACATCGCGCGCGTTATTCATATGTTTTGCGCGCCAATCACGTGACTAATGCTACTCTTGCCCGCGTATATTTGAATCTTATACTCGATTTTGCACAGATCCCCTTCGCGATAAACGTAAACACAAACGGAACAAATAGATAAGCGACCTCCCCGCGAAACGTTGCGCGATTGCTCGGGAGTCTTCGACGTTCGCATAATCGCATATGGAATGTATATCGTTTAACACCGATAGTTCTATCGCGAGGATTTTGATAATTTTAAAAGTAACCAGTACAGTGACCAAGTTAATAATATGATTTGCATATCAATATTTTGTGTGTTTTGTATTCTGGTTACGATATACATATGGCTCATATCCAAGACTCACGGTGATACAGTCCAGATAATATGGAGAATGCTCGAATTACATGGAAGATACTTCGAGGCTATTTTACGGTGCATGGAAATGCATTTTACTGTTTTGCGATTAACTAAGGAGGCGTCTGTGAGTGAATTTAACATTGGAATTTTATGAAGCAAAATCCAAAATGTGTCTTGATTGCATTCGGTGAATTCACAAAAGAAGAGATATAAATTAAGAGTACACAAAAATTTTCAGACACATTTAGGGATGTATTTTCGAACACAAAAATTATGGCCAATTGGTTGAGAAAAAGAAAGAGAACAAGAGAGAGAATTGATCATTTATTGTGGCAGCAGCATTCACCTCTGCATGTTTCTCTTTATTATTTATACACCAATTCGCTACATTTTTGCTTTCGAAATCAATTGTTTTTAAATTAATTAATCGTTTATACATGGCGATGTTGAAAGAAAAATCGCTATTCGCAAACGACTTTGAAGAGATCGTTTCCCTGATCAATAAAAGTAAATTTTTAATTCTCATTAAATACTCTGATAATTATACTTGAAAAATTAGATTTCTACTAAAGTAAAATATATACACATATCTAAAATTAATTAAAAAAAAAAAAAAAAAAAAAAAAAAATTTGGAGTCTTGTTATTTATGTACACTTAATTACCAGAGAAGTCGTCTGGCAATAAATAACTAGACACTGAGTGTCTTAAATTTTTCGACGGGTAACGGTCGATTTCAAACACGTCGAAGAATACATTAATGGTCAACAGTGTTTTTCGATTCACCTTGTATTTCCCTCGTCTCCTCTCGAAAGTGCGTAACATTCAGAATATCATATCACTCAGAAAGTCGCGATATATACGCGAAATATATCAGAATGTTTACAAAATGAAATAGACGCAGAATTACTGCCCATCTTATCCGCTAGACGCGCCGTGTTCCATGAGAGGTATAATATTGTCAACGTAACATACACTCACGATCACGAAGAGAAGAGACACGGTCAAGACAATGGCGACGACGACGACAACGACGATGACGCGAACTCGAATCACATCAAAACAGTCATACAAAATCAGTGCTAACGGTTCCCTAACTAAGTCGATATTCGACGACGGACAATGTCTAAGAGGTAGTAACATCGCTCTCTCATGGTCAACGCCCTTCAACTGTCTTCCCAATCAATTCTTCCGCCCACCACGTCTCTTCATGGAAGATGTGCATTGAGGGCAGTACCATTTACCTTTGGGTGGTGCTGAGATGCCCACGCATGGATAGTGAAACCATTCGAACGGGCACTGAAAAGAGTCGACCGACATATATAATTTGCCTGTATAAATCTTTTCATTGAAATGTCTTAACCCTTCAAATGCCAAAACGCACACTGGCAATTAAATCATAAAAGTAATATCTAGTATATATAATCACAGTGGTGTGTCTGTATATAGTAATATATTTATGTACGACATCAAAAGGGTTAATGTAACTTGAAGAAAGGATAATATCCATGAGCTTACATCTGAATTATCGCACGCAACCATGTCACCGTAGGACACTTGGTTGCAAATGCAATATCGTGGTTCGTTTGGATCGTATGTCCAATCTGGATTATCTGGATCCACTACTTGTGTGGTTGTAGTTACAACTGGTGGTGACACAGGTTGCTGTACGGTGGCAGCAATCACGCTTGAACTCGGCACCGTGGCTGTGACTTTTCTAATGTGGGAAACGCGACGTTTTTTAATATTACCGATCCTTATAAGGAAATTTTTTTCATGAAATATAATATACGAACGTGCATAAGAATAGTTCAGATTTTACTTAGTAAAAGTAAGAAAGTAGTTTGAATTTCATTCAAAATTCAAATCTGGTAAAGGTTCAATTTAAAAGGTTTAATTTAATAAATATCCAATTTAAGAGAATAAATCTCTTTTTATGTAACATACACTCGCGATTATTTTCTATTTTTAAATGAACACCGTAATTTGTAATCCTTTTTAACAGCATCTTAACATACTTTTTATGTTTCTTCGTGGTCTCTTGAATAGCCGCGATGGCAGTCTGCGCTGCGCCTGCCAGTTCTCTGCTGAACTCGGCAGCATGCACACCGCCAGTATTGATGGCCTCGTAGCTAGCCTTCAAGCTAGCTGATCGTCTGCCTTGTTGCATGGATTGCGTTGCCGCAATCGCCTGTGATGCTGCCGCAGCAATAGCGTTACCACCAGCACCAATGTGACCCAGATTATAGCATACTGAACCCACAGAATTGGCAATAGCTGCGGGCGCAGGTGGCACATTGCTCGTCGCAATAATCGGCCCGGAATTTGTCGACGCAGGTCGTGACTCCGGCACACTCGTTGCCGGAAGTTTCTCAATCGCCATTCTCTTCTCGACTGACGTGGAAGACGCATTGGAGTCTCTTCTCTTCTCCGATCGTGCTAAAATACAAATATACAAGTGAAAAACTATTTCTCTTCATATACTACTATAGATTTTTTTAATCACTTTTTAGGATTATTTAATCACATATGAATTAATAAATTTAATATCAACAAATTTTATAGAATATTTTACCAAAATGCAACTTTACCTCAATAGAATGTTAATGTGACTCTTTTATCAAGTTAAGAGAGATAAATTTATTTAATAATTATAACAACATAATCAGTTTACAAATAAAGGTTATTATTATTAGTTTATATAATCGTCGTAATATTATATCATAATTAGCTTGGCTATACTTACAATGACTGTGATTATCCCGTGTTCTACTTGGTGTGAAACTGTAACGATTCTCTTTTTGACTACTATTTGTGGGTGGTTGATCCAACTCCAGAGACCTCTTCTCTAAGATTTCGGTGATGCCCTTGTTATCGGCTTCTAATTCCATCTTGAATTTGTGTAGCTCCTGATCCAGCCTCCTTAAATACCTATCTACCAAGTCATACATTTGATTGGCTAAATGTACTTTCTCATCGGCATCTTCTAAGGTCTTGTAATATTCTCTTCTTATGGCTTCGTATTCAGCTTCCTTTTCACTGAGTTTCATCTTCTTGGCACTAGAGAAGAAAGTCTTCACTTTCTTCTCCAGACTATCCATTGAATCTAAAATTATTAAATTTCTTATTATTAAATATTATACAATTATGCTAGCTACTTATATTCTTGATAATATAAATATAATTTATTATTATTAGTGTCCAAACAGTTACATACTCTGTACACCTAGATCCATTTCTCTCATTTCGGTAAATCGGTCTCTTAGTTCTTGTGGAAGATGCTCGATCACTGAAATCATAAAATATGCATCAGTAAATAAATCACAATAACTTGTAAATTTAAATTTAAATACAGACACAAACTTCTACTATCACGTAACTTTTGTATCTTATTTAAATTTAATTGTCATTGTTATTTCTATCAATGCTGTGCAAGCAAGACAATACATTATTATTGCAACTCACAATACAGTTATATCACTTGGAGAGAGAATTTCCTAAGCAATTTTTGATTAATCCTAAAAACATGACAATGCAGCAAAATCAACGACAGCTCGCAAAACTTAATAATCATTTATTATTGTCATAGACAAACTAACAATAGCATGTATCGATCAGTCGATAGACATTCGCCTAACCTCTCAGTATAAAAACACATAATTAAATAGACACGATGTTTTATCATTTTGTAATTGTTGTAATCTGATCCTGGAACCGATGTGCAAAAGGACACGCAAACCGACCAGTGGAATATAAACAAAAATGGCTGCGTTCATCGTAGGACTCGTGGGGTTGTGCGAATAAACGATTCGTGAGGTTAGTCGAGCGTCACGGAGAGGTTAGAATCCCACAGGTGAACCGAGCGCGACGCTTTTCACACTCACTTTCCACGTAATCTTCAAGGTAGAGCATCGTTTCGTGCTGTCGCACCTTACTGATCAATATACTGTTCAATATTCACTGCCTATCGCAGTCGAAACGCAGAATTCTCCGCGAATTTTCAAGTAAAAGTACTGACCGATCGAAAGCGTGCTCACGCGTGATCAACCACTCTACGCTCGCGTTTTCATCGAGCTTTTAACGGTCTTGCACCTTTCTCCTTTCGGAATAGATTGCACTTTCACGGACAAAAATACGACTCACGCTATTGTAAGATTCGCAAGAAACGACGTTTAGGGCCAATATAAATTGATTTGAGATTATTATTCGAAACATCGTCATGTATCTCGCCATATTGTACAAAGGGCAGGAGCGTAATTTAAAGCGCCCTTAGACTCGATTATAAACACGTTTAAGGACACGATTTTCTTTTCTCGTCAATATTTAATTAAAATTCACCGATTCTAAATTGTTGATGAAACTTGATCTAAAATTTTGAATTACTAATTTATTCGTTTAGTTGTAGAAAGAGAAAAAATTTCTACATTTTTATCTTGTTTATTTCTTATTATAAGAAATAAAAATCAGTGAATTACTTTACTGAAACATGCAAATAAAAACCAATTTCGGATCTGGTTAAATTTCAAGAATGTACAACATATATTTTACAATTAATTCTCAATTAGTATATTGTGTAAAATTTTCGGTATATTATGCTTTCTTCAGTGGAATGATTCGACGAAGTCCAACGCGCATAGATATGCGTTTGGATGATCTACAGGAGTACGAAGAACTGCAAAAAACACGCGAGGCCAAGAAAAAAGCCGAGAGACAGTCGTCATCATCGTCCTCTATGAATCCTCCCGTATGGGGCGGCAAGGTTCCTCAAAACGAAATTCAGGAACGTATCGGATATGTGTTGCCTCAAAATTCGTCGACGCATAGTCGTATCACAGTTAATGAATCACAAGATACACGAATCACATCATAGCGACAGGATGAGCAATTCAACATTTAAGCTCCTTTTATTTTAAACAATGTAATCATGAATATGAAAATATGATAAAATATAATTAGAACCTAATGAACGATATCTATGGTCTTTTTTTTCTTCTTCATCTTCATCGGTATGGGTCCTGGCATTTTGAACACCGTGCTTAAAAAAAAAATGCAATGATTAATTCATACATTTCATATATAGTAGAAGAAAGAATATGGTTAAAACAATTAAAATACTTACTGACAAGTTGTGCATATTGGACTGAACTTGCAAAAAACTGTAAAAGGAATATGATTTAATGTTATATTTAACATTGATGTCTTAATGCAAATGAAAATTTAGCAGTAGTTATAATTATTAAGATTCTATGTAGAATCCTATAGCACTGAACATAGCAATATTTAAATATTCAGCTAAATACAATCTTATGAAAATATTTACCTAATAAACATATGGAAATATTATGAAAATATTTACCTGATAAACATATGGAACAGACATATCCAATGTCAATAAGTTCCTGATGACAGAAACATGCTGCTCTATAATCGACTTTAACTGGCGGCGGAAGAACTAATTTTGATCTAACATTAGGATCTGGTAGAAAAACCCACTAAAAAATCATAGACAAGTGTTTGTAATATGTGTGACAATCAAATTAATTGTCGTACCAAATTGAGCATGTGAGTTTATCTACCAATAAATACTGCAGCAAACCAGCAAGTTGTGGCACCTTCAAGTAATTGCCACCAGTGATATCACAGCCCTGTTGTAAAAGTGTCAGTTCCTGATCCAAACTACACACATCTAGAATAACATTCTGAAAATCAAGTGTGATTTTTTATTGGAAATATTTTATCAGAAAAAATTTTATATCAATAAAGATCTAACAGAAACAAACCATCTTTTGTGCCGTGAAGAATATATTCATGTAATTCATATACTGTGTAGCAGAATCATTACTGGCAGTAATCACCAATATTCTGGGATGCAGTTTCTGACCAGCAACCTTGTCACGCTCCAGCCGGGCAATATAACATAGTGCCATGCTAAGTGCACCAGAAATAAGGCTTTCAGTATTCAATGGAGTATCCGTAGAAAGCTCGTTGATAACTTTCTGTAATTGCAGACGTACTGTACGTTCCACCATTGTAAATCGTTCATATTGACCATCTATCTGTCTGATTTCTGCTGCATTCTCACATGGATAGAGAAACTTAGCACTATGACCATGACATGCCATCACTGCTAATTCATTGTTGGATGATTGCATGAGATGAGCATTGGCAAAAACAATTGCAGAGTCCAAACATTGTGACAATATCTTGGTTTCTTGCTTAACTATCCTTTGCACTGGATTTACATCCAGTACTATCACTAACAAACTTGTATTTATTTCTGTAAAATATTACAAATAAATAAATTGGTTGCAATTTAGTTTTACAAGTTAATCACATATAGCAGAATCGTAATGTACCATTCGACATTATGCATCAAATATTGCATTTTTTGTCTGTTACATATAATATATAATAATTACAGCAATGATTGACAAATATTCACGACAATTTTGCCCAATTGCTGAGAGGTTACAAATAACCGAAGACGCTGGAAACACTGCTGCTTATAACAAATGTGGCCAAAATTGAAACCATTCAGACTTGTAGAGTCATCTATGATACAATTAGTGCACTCATTAAATTGGAAAATTACTGTCGATAAACAGATTACTATAAAAATATAAATTAGTAGATAATTAGTGATGAAAATTAATAATAGTTTATATATATACACACACACATATATATATATATATATGTTGAATAAAATTATCAATTAATACAATATCAAGAATTCTCATAAGAATTATATTAATTATTAAAATCAGTGATTAAAAGTAAAATATAGCTGTTCAATTCGTTAATTAACATTTATTAATAATAAATACATATGATATCATATATCGTAAGTATACCACGGTTTGTAAACATGTCCATCAGCTTCTTTACTGGCCATATATGTGAAGAAAGCTTTTTTGAACGATATAGAAGGGAATTTCCCAAACTCCATAGAGCCCCATGTAGAACGGGCATGTAAAACACGTGATTTGCGTATTTCACTATGGAAAATCGTCATTTTCTTTTTAATCTGTTTAAGGAATAAGTTTCCAATGATCACTCCACAAATAAACATTTAGTTTAACATTAAGATTTAATATAAGTTGATGATCAAGTAATTACTAAAAAAAAAATGAAACTAAGAAATTAAAGTTAAAAAGTTGAAAGTTCTAATTACAATATTTTCTATATATAAGATCATATTGAAAATTGTGTAATTGATGTAAATAATGAATATGGACCTTTTTCTTCATTTTTTCGGCTTGGTCGTAGGTCAGTTTACGTAACTGATATTGCGTCATGTCCAATGACGGTAATTTGATTTTCGGCTTTGGCATCGAGTCCATTTTTCCCCAAAGTAAAATAGTCTGTCGCATTAAATTTAAGTTTTCTGCAAAAAAAAGTGAAATAACAGTTAAAAAGCAAGAAACAATATGTTAATAGCAAAGTTTAATTCTAAATTGTTCTAAAAACACATTTTTAGGAATATGTACCCAGATAGCACACGTTCTCCTGGGGACGTCCTAAGAATGTCCTGAGGATGAAAGAACATCCCCAGAACGTCCTCAAGACGTATTCTGGACGTCCTCTGGACATCTGTGCTATTAGGGTACTCATGAGCTCATTTTTACCACTTATGTAATTGCTTACTCGATTGCTTACTTGATAACATATAATTTTTATTTTTTAAGAAAAAATCATATTGAAGATGATTTGGAAATTAATTTTCCAAGTATACAAGCAAAAATTACTTTTATCATTCTCCGAGAAAGCGACACCCTTCCTGTACATGAGCCAGTCCTGAAGTTGTGGCATCAGGTAACATTCAGGCAACTTAGCAAGTACATATCCTTCATCAGCCATCTTCTTCAATTCGTCCTAAATATATATTTTGAAATGCATGATTCCTTTTCTTAATTTCTAAATTATAGATACTGATAGAGATATACTTTCATGATCGTCATTAAGTCCAATTTGTCAGTTGGATATCTTCCATCGTCATCGTCGTTCGTTCGAAGAGTCTTATCGTCATCTTTCTTTTTCATCTTTTCGATCGTTCGCTTGTACGACATATCTTGTTGCTGATCACCTTTACCAACTGTTTCCTCGGGATATTTTATCTGCTCACGAGGAACTACAGTGATATTGTTAGATAATATATTTTGTTCACGTTCTGCCTTACTGCTAGTTTTGTTTTCTCTCGGTGAATATGATTCCATTGGTGTCCTAAATATTTGTTTCTCCGCATTCGTACGAATTTTCCCTAACTCGGAATCATTTTCGATTACAGTCATCAATTTCTTCACACACGTTTCCGGACAATCGCGATATTCCAAACGGGACGCATCTTGCTCATTCTCTCCGTAAATCATCTTAAAAGCTTCATCCCTGATTTTCTTCCTGCGTTCTATCTCTTCCTTCAAAGCGACGTTTCTCCTTGGCAACGGACCCGAAGGAATGTTCATCGGTGACCAATGACGATGTGGAGAATATCGCCGGAAGTCTTCCTTGCTCGGTTCTGGCGTTACAACCGGTGTGGACATTTTTAGGCCGTCGACTACTCGTTGGGGTGATGACATGGTGAGATTCTCCGCCACACCCGTTATGCAATACTTAACTTCGTCTGTGTATTCGTCTTCTACCGGGATTCTCTTCACGTCCGATATAATGAACTTCGTCTCCGGCACCATCGGTCTCGAAGTATTGTCGATATGCATGAAAGGTTGCTTCTTCAAGGTTTTTAATTTTTGTTGACGCGTCTTCCACTTCGCCCTTTCTTCATTCCGCTCTACGATCTTCCTCTCATATTTGCATTCACATACGGGCTTTACCATTTTCAATCTGAGAGGTCTGTAATAATCGATATTATTAATATTATTAATATTGGTTCCTTACGAATATTATTAATCTCTGGATTAAAAAATTATTCGATATATTGAAATCATTTAACAAAGTTCAATTGACAAATTTTCCATAACATTAAAGATCACAATTATAGTAAATTGTAGTAAAATAATCCACTTTATACTAACTTGACACTTCGTTTATTCTTGTAGGATGTCCGACAAGAAGCATCATATTTGGGCTGAGTAAAATATTCCACCAATGCTGTATCCTTCAACGCCATCTCCAACCTATCCTCCGGTGATTTGGATTCCATCAGCTTTCGTCGAGCTTCCTTAGTTTCTCTACTCTGACTAACTTCTTTCATGATACCGGTCTTGTCTGTGCGATTGCCACAGTCGCAAGACTCAGACTTTTTCCATATTCTCTCTAACAAACTTTTTGAATCAGGATATTTTTTTAGCAATTTCGGGCTTTCACCTGTATCTTCGCCGACGCATATATCATATGGTGATTCAAGTAGATCGTATTCTGGAATGTATTCCTCGCTTCTTCGAGGACTGACAGGTGGTGTGAAATAAATGACACCGTCGATGATCTTGTTTTCATTCTCCAACTTCGTTCTCACGCCTGCTTTTCTAGCTTTTCTTTCATCTTTCTTCTCCACCAAGCCACTCACATTGTACATAAGCATTTTCTTCTTGCTCCTGTTTTCTCTGCATCGACATGGTCGCCCTCCAAGACGAACTGCTACCGTTTCCAGAGGATATTCTGGTTCACAAAGATACACCATGGTCTTCTTCGCTAGAAGCTCCTGTTCTGATTTCGTCCTCCAACCACAAGGCTCTTTGGAGATTCTATGACTCTCCTTTTCATCGACCAAAGTATCGCGAAATTTTTCTTTCGATTTAGCTGAAAAAGACTGCTCCCATGGAAGAACCGCTGGCTGGACATCACCTAAAGTTCTCGCATAAGTCTCCATCATAGTTTTTAATCTCTCCATCTCTCGCTTTCGGCCATCGATCTGATCAACTTTGTCTATTATCATTTTCTTCCCATCTCTTTTTACAAAGGTATTTTTAAATACTTTGTAAGTCTTGGATTTGGCTGTTTGGCAGATGTCGGCTGTGGTTGACTTTTGTTTCTTCGTTTTATTCATTATTTTGAATCTGGAAATGTGATTTGTTACTTTTACGCTTTCCACATTAGACAGTTTAAAAGGTACTTGCATATGTTTCTTCTTATCCATATTATGCACATATTTCATTCGTTTGTTTCTTTTTCCCTTGACCTTTTTCGCCGACATCTTCGATGATTTCGAGGAGACTTTAGTCAACATTTCTTGATAGATTTCTTTAACTTTAGTATCTTTGTCAGACTTCTTTCTTACTTTGCTTGAAGAGGAAGTGTCTTTTTGTCTTTCTTGTGTCTTTAATAGTGAAGATACCGCGGGTAATGAAGGAGGAGTCAACTTCAAACTTTTCTCATAATCTGTTACAATTTCTTTTGCAGATGGTGCAGTACGTGCTATGTTCCAAGGATCGTCATAAGCAGGATAATTCAGATCAGGAATGAATTTCTCTTTCTTTTCTGAAGTCTCTTTTTCTAAAACTTGAGTCGGTTCCTTTATCTCGATAAGTCCTGTTTCTTTCTTTTCTTCTTTTCCTTCTTCTCCTTTTATCTTTATCAACTTTTTGAAGGGATTACGTCTACAAGATTTATCGCCAGGATACATTTTACAGGAGTAGGCACCTTGTTTGTCAGGTCTATATTTTTTCCCCATGCATAATCCTTCGTCTTTCGTCCAAAGAATGTCGTCTTTACTTACAGAGAAACTTATGTCTTTGTTGAACATTTGCTGAATGGCGCATGTACAGGGTGGCACATTTCTAGGTTGAAAACTAATGGTCTGAGGCGCTGGAGGATCAGGTATTCGCGATGACACATGTACTTGTTCCTTCTGAACACCCGATATATAATATTGAATTTTGCCATTCTCGTTAGTGACGCCGTTGATGATGATGTTTGTTTTGATCTCGTCCTGTGAGGCAACCATCTCCAACAAGTTAATTTCTGAGCCTGTTGGACTCGGTGCTGGAGAATGCAATACCATTGAACCTACAATATACCTGCCAATACCGAAAAATGTCCTTAGATCTTTAAGTTGTTAAATTTTCAAGTCAATTCTCATTCTTGTTAACTCTAACTCATTTTTAAAAACTTCGCAGGAAATTTAACGTAAAATTTCAAATATTCCAAACCAAAATTATCGCTCACTTAATCTCATCCTTGTTCTTCATCACATTGTCGATCAGCAAATACGGTGTCTTAGTTTGTCGCAGCTTCTCACGAGTCTTTACAGTTTGCCGACATAAGCAGCAACTGTCACAAACGGGTTCAGGGAACACGAGCCTCGTAATAGCTCGCACGCTCTTGATAAGCTCATTAGCTTCCTTTTGTAACCGCCTGAACTCCTCGTCGACGTTGAACAGCCATTCCTGCCAATTTCTAGACAAATGTTCTCTGCCACTAGGAAAAATTTTCCTGGGTCCGTCGCCGAGTTTCAGGACCGCGAAGAACTTCTCGTCACTGTGAGTGGGTGTCACATTGGCAATGCCGGTGATCTCGTATGTCACAGAACAATTCGGTGGATCTTCGGATGCGCCGGCTATTATGTAATGAGGTTCCTTCCCACCTAACCAAGACTTCCTACCCACTCCTGGTGGTTTCAGCATGCCTAAAATTTTTTTCGATTAGAATCAAAATCTTTACCCAATTAAGATTTCATTGAAGCATGCATGAAAGCAATAAAATTGCAATAACGTATACCGCATATTTTATATTCCACTGCTGTTGACTTTTCACCGACGCCGCTAAGAGTAAAATCAAACTTTTTATTCTTGTCCGGTAACTGCTGAATATCGAAAGTTCCCGATCTTTTGGAGTACAGACTTTCTTTGTTTGTAATATCTGCATATTCATATCCTGCTTGTTGATCGACGTTCTTTGCATCTATTTCTAAATCAATATTTCAATAAAAATACTTGTTTACGATGTTATTCTCTATTGGTCCAAATATTTTTTACCTTGTTGATCAACGATCTTTTGCAGTTTCTTCACGTCAGTTTCTACAAAATGTTCAGCAGCAATCATTTTTCCTTGTTTTTTATTGAACTCAGATAATACTTCATTACTAATGAAAGGTTTCCTATATTCTTTGAATGGTAAAATAACTTTTGGAATTGGAAATAATTTGTATTCTTTCCGCCATCGTTGTAAATCATGTCGATAGCTAGCCCAATCAGGATATTTGAACAATTCTTCCTTATAAGGACAGCTATTTTTATGCCTTATTAAAGATACAGGTGGTTTTGCTGAAAGATGAATTAATAATGAGTATTTTTTTCAGTTATCATAGTTACATAATGTTCATAATAATTGATTAAACTTACGTTTAGGTGGTAATTTTGGCATAACCACTTTTGGAAGTCTTTTATGTAATTCTATTACTGTCTCTGGCAATGTTAAAAATGCGATGGCCGACAATATTATTCTTTCGTTGCAATCGTAAAATGTTTCTGCAAAATAAATAATTATCATAAAAGACTTCAAGTCAAGGAAAGTATTATTTACTTAATAAATTTCTGTATTATAATTTTCCTTTTTATCACTAATAAGAACATAAGATATACTGTATCCTTCCTCTTGAAAATCATTCCCAGTCAAGATCTTATAAACTTCCCGTAGAAAATGGACACTATCCAAATTACATGATGTCTGCAATTGTCTTATGATACTCGACCTAATCTTGAAGAAAGTTGAAATGATACCAATTGCTATTAGTGTTTTTTGGGTGCCAGTTGTTATTGCCTCCTCGTAATCAGCATGCATTGTATTTTCCAAGTTCATTAAATTCTGCATCTAGAAATTCATAAAATTTCCTTAAGTTAAAACGTATTAATTTAAAAGAAGACTGATATGTTTTTATATCATACTTGTTTTAGAGAGAAATCTTGGTACCATCGTGGATATTTCAAAGGTAACACATAAGACTTTTCTATGGATAATGAATAAAATTAATTAATTCATAAGATTTGTGTTTCTGTATTGAAGTGAGAAAACAAGATATATGTCATATGATAATTTATATATATTATTTCCATATGATGTATCATAATTTATATATATTTATAATATATATATAATTTATATATATTATATATATAATAATACATATATATGATATATATATAATATATATAATAAAGATAATTTATATATATTATTTCCATATAATGTATCATTTTTATACATCATGTGATAATCATATGGTAACAAAAATGTTACATGATATTTTTAACTCAAAGTTTAAAGAAAGACTCACGTTTTTTCTTTATAATTTTAACTATCTTATTATCCATTTCATTATAAATTCCTTGTCTTTCTCTCCAGAAGATATTTTTTGCCAATGCAATCTCATCTTCCAGATACCTTACTGAATCATTATATCTACTATTTTGAAAATAATCCACTCTACTGTTTTTCAGTAGTTGATCTCCTGATATTGATGTTTTACTTCTGGTAAATTTCCTTTTTTCTCGGATTTGTTGAGGTATAACAAATTCAACTTGTAGTTTGGATACTGGACAATCATGTAAAGAAGTTATTATTTTTGGTAAAGAAGGTAACATTTGTTGGTTATATCTTGTTAATGGATCAAAGGTATCTATGGAACAGCAAAACCCAAATGGTTTCAATTTTGCCTCTGCCTCCAATTCTTTTCTAGAAAAATTTATACTATAAATAATATCATATAATTTAAACTAAAATATCACATGAAATTTATGAGAAACAAATCAAGAACAATTTTCCATACAACGAGCAAAAAATATTATAAGAAAATTTAGAATTGTTACTTAGGAAATTCTATCTGTAATTATTATAATTTAGGAAATTTTATCCGTAATTAATTTTCTACTTATAATTTTACGTAATTTTTAAATTTTAATTATGTGATATAATCTATTAATATTTTTTTTATAAAGTTACATGCGTGTCTTCGAAATTTTTGAAGCTCTCAACATTTTGACTAAATTGAGAATATCCAACTATATAATAAAATATATTTTTAAATTAATTTAATAGAGGGAAAGAAATACTTGACAATTTAAGACATGTTGCAAAATAATGGTTATAGCAATTCGATTGAGCCTCACAATTTAGTAATATAATATGTGTGTATGAATGTATATATGAATATATGTATACGGAGTGTCACATAATTCAATACGAGGAATTCGTGGAGACAAATTAAGACAAATATAAAAATCCCATACTGTTTTGCGATATTCGCAATAATTATCGAGCTCATACCGATAACAGTTGCTAAATCGACTGGGCCGCGCTATTGCTCGGGTGGCTGCAACGCTTCTCCAATCATATATCTCGGCGCGCGTTCACTCGTCAAATTTCTGTCATTAATAACTCGATAATTATTGTGAATATCGCAAAATGACATGGGACTTTTATGTTTGTCTTAATCCACTCTATAAATTCCCTGTACTGAATTACCTGTATACCTAATGTATAATGTAACACATGTATATTATGTATACAGATAAATTTTCAATAAATAGAATTTATTCGACATGGAATTTGCGTTTTATTTTTTTTATTTATAACGCATGAATGCAATTTACACGAAACCAAACACACAGCTAATGTCAAAATCAAACTGTAAATAAAGAAACTCTTTTCAATCTTAAGATAACCGACAGATATTAATAAAGACCGTTCGTTTTACAAGATTTAGTGGGGAACATCCCAATTTGATATAGTACGATTGGACACAGCTGATCAAATTGTTGATTAAATTAGAGTTAGGTTAAATTTAAATAATATTATTGATTATGTCCATAGACGATAAGTACATAAGTACACATACAGCTACACCTTTGATTTTATATAATCAAAGGTCAAAGGTTGTATTGGATTAGTACTCTCCCAAAAATGTATCCATGGTTGACAGTCTTTAGTATCATCTTGTCGGTGCTTTTAGTTGGCGATGCGAAAGATCAAAGTGCAGGGTGCATGTTATACATCTACAATTTTGTAAATCTAAGGGGAACAAAACGGGAGTAGATAACGTTCATCTCATGAGTATATAAAGTTCGTGGAAACCGGGTGCATTCCAGTGCATTCGATGGTAAGTTTGTCGTGAGCGTAGTTGTTTGCCGTAGGTCGTAAGAAGAGGGTTGAGCGGTAAGTCAGTTGCATTGTTGTAATTTTCTGGATAAAGATAAAGGAAACTGTTCGTTTTTATGATTGATCCTTTTTTTCGTCATTTATCGTTCCTTCAATGACACTCACGATCCACTAAGCCATAACGTATCTTCTTCACCGGAAACTAACATGTTGCATCACAAGGATGTCTAGAAGACATTAAAAAAATCTGATAAACTTTGGATGCAAAGTGTTGAATAAAAATTCGGAAAAGCATACTTCGCATACAGTAAAAAATAATTGATTAGATTTACGGAATCAAATGAGTGATAATACATTTACCTTAGACCGTTTTCGGAATTGGATTTTCGAGAACACGTGCGTCTTGGAGAACAAAAGACCGATGCATGTTTCTTCAATTTTTAGTTACAGAAATTTTAGAATTTATAATTATTCCAACATGTAAAAATATTCACTGTAAATCTTTCCTTTAATCGCTAGAATGTCGATTAATGTGTTTAGGTAAAATTAAGTATATTCTAAGATGTTAAATCCTAAAATTTTTATAGCTGACAATTGAAAAAATGAATATTAGCATTTTTTTCTTGTCTTGTTAGAGCTGATATACCAAATCTGTCAGCCATTGCTGAGAACCATTGCTCTACACCACAGCATTGGCAACTCTTATCAATTTAAGCCTATTTGTGTAGTGTAGTATATATATATTTTTTATTTCAAATGCAGGATTCACGAGGGAATGCTACAGTTGTTAATCTTCTATTAAGCGCTATAAGATCTAATAACCCTAAACGGAGTCAAATTGTGTCGAAAAAAGTATTCAAAAGAGATCAAAAAGAACACTTGTTTATAATAAAAGATATATTATCCAATATATTTCGAAAAGTGATACCCTCCAGTGGATCAACAATTATATCCAGTGATAGTCCAGTTGATAATATTTATAATGGAAAACAATTATCTATAAAAAGAGGTATAACATATAATATTATTGTATCAATCACAAATTTAACTTATAATGATTTATAACTAATGATATCATAGCTAATTTATAGTTAATTTAAACAACAATAATGATATTGATATGGAATTTTAAGAGAAACAATCTTATAAAGAAAAAAGAGGCAATATTTTACTCTATCACAAGAAAATACTCCAACGTTCAATGTTTTAATAATTACTATTATATCAAATAGTAATGATAAAAGTATCATTTTGTTCCTGAAGAAATAATCATTACAAAAAAACATAAACATTACAAAAAAACGTAAATATTAACATTAGTTAATATTAGTTAACATACCTGAAAATAGTGTAATCTTTGCTGATTCATTAAATAGTAAAAGATCAAATAATAAAAACAAAGGAAAGTGATATATTTCTCTATTGAAGATCTATCTATAGTATTCATATTAAGTCCATTTTGCTTTATTAAAATAAATAACAATGTTACTTTGTCTTAAAGAAGTCCTAGAATTATGGGAATGTCTTAATATTTAAAAGTGAAAAGAATAACAAAATATAACATTGTATTAGATTCCAAAAAAATTCTATAATTCTTAAAAATATATTTGATACTATAAAATCAAACAACAATAATCAATATAGTACTATGTTTCTAGGGAAACAGTTACCTGTAACAGAAGGAAACAAAATACATAGCACCAAATCCCAAGAAAATACTGCAATCATTTCATCGTATATTATTAAATTGAGTAGTTCTAATATTACGTTTTTAGAACAATTGCCTATAAAAAAAGGAAAGTTAAGAGACAGCAATGTTAATCTAGTCCAAGAAGAAATTAATAATAGTTCAACCAAACAAATCAGTCAGATTAACATACCTCAAATAAACGAACCACCTATAAAAGGTACAAGTGATAATTTACACTACAAGAACATTATATACATCTGTTGTTTTTCTTTCAAAGAGCCAAATAACCAGATTGACATTTCACTTAAAAATATATTGTTTGTGCCTGAACTATATATTGACAAGTCAAATTACAACTCACAACTCAAAAACAAGTTTAGTAAAACTAATAACCAATTGTACAATCAGCTTGATAAACAACCTAATAATCAGTGCAATAAACAGTTGGATAAAAAATCCGATAAACAGTCCAATGAGCAGCCCAGTGATTGGTCAAATAATGAATTTAGTAACCAAACAGATAATCTGAATATTGGTACTACATGCCAGCAAGTATTCTTAGAGGTATCACTATCAAATGAAGACACAACACATGTGTCGCCAACAGTACAGATATCTGTAGATATAGTGGGAAAAAAAGGAAAAAAGTCAAATCAACAAAGTTCAATAAAATTATCAATAGACAATTTTACATATATATTCAACAAGATGCTGAAGAAAGTAAAAATTGTGATTGTTGGAGCAGGAGCATCTGGTATTGCAGCTGCTTCGAAATTATTACAAGGGGGAATAGATGATTTTGTAATATTAGAAGCAAACAATAGGATCGGTGGCAGAATAAACACTGTTGCCTTTGGTAAATAATGATTATTCTAATTCATTTTGAATATCTAAAATTTTATTTTATTCATAATCATTTTATCTTACTTAAATTCGCGCATTTCATTTGCGTGTTTAGATGTTTGTGTCCGTTTATAAAAATGCCTATATAAAAATACCTATATAAAAACCATAAGGTTATAATTTTTTCAGGTGATAATGTGGTGGATCTTGGGGCTCAATGGGTACATGGTGAAATTGGAAATGTGGTTTATGACCTTGCTTCTAAATATAATCTTTTGGGCTCGTTCTGCACTTTATTTGACACCAGTAAACACGAGTTTTTCACCATTAATGGTGAAAGGATATCTAAGGAAGAAAGCATGAAAGCTCTTACGATTTATTTTGATCTTATGAAAAAAGCATCAGATGATCTGGGCAAGGCAGAAGGATCCTTCGGAAATTACTTCAGAGAAAAGTAAGTAACTTTATTATTTCTCGGATTGAGATTATATATTTGCTGAATTATTGTAGTAGAAATTAACTGGAAGATATATTCAAACATAAACTGACAAGAGAAAAAGTAATTAAAAAGTATCAACATATAATATGAGAGAAAAATATATATGTTTCGATATCATACATGATAATGGTCATATGAGTTGAGATTATTCTGTTAGTCTAATCGAAACCATTCCAAGCATCTTCGAGTTTCATGTCAAAATTTATGCAAAAGAATATTGTTCACGAAATCGTCGATATCACTCTCGCGAAACCATGCTTGTAGCGTGGGATGTAGATTCGCTCGAACGACAGTATAAACATCCTTATCAGGCACGATGCATCTGATAAAAGGAGGAAAAATATCTCATAGACAACGCGTTTAATCGTTTTATATACTTGCATATTAATCTTGCGATAGAGAACACAATATTTTATTGGAAAATATAGATATGCGTGTATGTACGCACCTTACGCGATTGTTGCAGCACTCGTTTGTCATGTACTCGTACCTCAACAAAGAATATATGTACTTTAAGTACTTCATGTCTAAATTGGTGTGTATCTTTTCGCCTGCTTTCATGATATTATTTACTGTCTCAATGTATCCTTTGGTTAGTATTGGTATAATATAATCGACCTGAAAGAGAAAATGCATTGAACCTTCACACGTTTAAAACAAGTACAATTTCCTAATGTGACGTTAATTTAATCGAAAACAAATCGACTTATATACATACCTGTCTAAAGCAATCATCTATAAACTCTTCAGCACGACTATAAACGCCTTTCTCTTGTTCTTGCAATATAAGCACGCCGATCGGCGGCTGCTTGGATCGGAATATCTTCGCGATACATTCAGCAATTGCTAAACCGTCTCTTGCGAAAGTCAGCATAACTATACAGCTGTACCTTTGTTTGGTATGCTGATGCAATATAAAAGATTATGAGTATACGCGTAATTATATAAAGAAACTTTTATTCTTCTGCGACAAATTGTCAAAAATGCTTTAATTAGAAATTCAGCACCTTCTGTTGATTATCCTGTGGTGTGTTTTTTGATTCACTTTTTGCAACTCCAGCCCTGCCTTGTTTTGTTAATATTGGACTCAGTACTAATGGTGCTCTTGGTATGTGTGCTGGATGGATTATTTCCAATTCTATAAAAGCACCAAAGGAATAATTAGTCTAATTAGATGTAATCATTATAAATTTCATCCAGCATCCACATCTGATTTGTAACTTATTCTTTTATTCAGAAAAGAATAATGGTTTTGTTTATATACTTAACCATCGATGGCGTCTTGTGACACAGCACTGACTAAATTATGTACGTAATCCTTAATCTCACATATGACATCGAACCGCTCTATCTTTTGTAAAGCACTCAGAATTTTATCCATTGTTGAATCTGAGGACTGCACAAAGGTCAAAAGCACATAATACGTTGGATCCTGAAGTCCTTTGAAGTCGTAGTCTATACACTGAGCACAATAAAATAATATTATAATTATTACATTAATATCATAATTAGTATTTCATTTATAATGAAATACAAATACACACACACACACACACACACACACACACATGTATATAACTTAACATGCATTCGTGCATATTTACCTACGAGCATCAAATTTTATCAGATATCTTACACGTATTTGCTCCATTGTTAAACCCATGTGTGCTGCAAACTCTTGCCATCCGTTATAAATCTTGCCTGTTGCCGTAGAACTCAGTAGCAAACAAAGTTTTTGCAGCATAGGCTTGCCAATATGCTCGAATAAAAACGCGGCATGAATACGCGACGATTTTCTCTGGATATTCAAAGTGACGGTATCCAAGTTTGGCGGTCCGTCCACTTCATTCCTGAGCTTCTCTAGCTCTGGATCGATTTTTCTGAAATATTATTCTTGTTATTCTTTGTCATTTTCGCGCAATGATTATATAATATCTTAATATGTACGAGTAAAATTTCCCGTCGTGCTCGAAAAATTAATAATACGTGACATCAATACAAAAGTCGGAGACTGCTTTGTTGTTGGTTACCTCTGCGCAAACATCTTGCTGCGAGTTTCATTGAAATTTGTCACAAGTCAAACCGATCTCGCTCCATTTTTGTTGTGATCTTTCCTGCAACGGATTATTGAACGATACGTGTTATACAAGCGTCATATTGGTATAGTTGAGATGAACACGTCCAAGATATTACGTCAATTTAAAAGTATGAATTATACTTCCTGAACATGTCAGAACACTACTTACCATATGCTGTTGGTGGTAGTCAGTGTCTTCTCCCCACCACGATTTAGTTCGAGGTTGATGATGATTCACACTCGATTCTTGCCCGCCTGTTATTTGAATTACAGAAAAGTACTCAAAAGCTTTTGTCACCCTTCTCTCGAAACAAAATTGGATAACATATAAATTAAAACGTATAAAACTTATACGAAATATTATTAGGATAACTAATCTATAAATCTGAATTTAAAGAAGTGAAATATTGATAGAATCAAAAGTAAGATACAGATGTAAAATGTCACTGATCAATAATTTAGATTAATAATAATCTAAAATTATTATCAGTATATGAGATACATTCTTTATGCATAAATATTTGTGTTTCGATATCAGTTGTTAATCGTTAATAATGTTGCAGGTTTTATAAGACTTATATGGAAACTTTTGCAAGCTACTCTAGAATTTCTGAATTGTTTTCTTGGATAGAAAAGATGGAATGTTCCATAGAATGCAGTGACTCATTATCTGAAGTTTCCGCGAAACGTTTGACGGATTACTGGGAGTGTGAGGGCGATAGTGTTCAGAATTGGAAGGAACGCGGTTACAAAACGCTCTTTGATCTTTTAATGGTATTTTTAATAGACTAATCGATAAGCCAAGAATTTCATATTAAGTATTTTAATATTGATATTATTGTGCTAAGTAAATTTTCATTAATATACATTTCTTATAAGTTATTTTTTTTTTTTTCCATAGAAGAAGATCCCAAATGCAGAAAATGGCTTACCAGTTACGGAGAGGATAGAGTTGAAAAAAGTTGTGACAACTATTGACTATAATTCAGGGAAAGACGTTACAGTGACAACTAGTGATGGCTGCAAATATATTGCATCGCATGTCATTTTTACTGCATCTTTAGGTGTCCTAAAAAAGAAACACTCCACGTTATTCGTGCCATCTTTGCCATCGAAAATAAGACGTGCGATAAGGGTATGGCGACAGTTTCCTCAATTACAGTAACACGAAACGAAGTTATGTGTGGTACATCGTATACACGTGTACACGTGATGTTAATTAACGTTGCTTCATCACAGGGACTGTGTATCGGAACAGTCAACAAGATCTTCATGGAATTTCCGTGCAAGTGGTGGTCAGAAGATACCGTCTCTATCAATCTGGTTAGCCTTGAGGAAAATAAGAAGTTGTTTGTGCAAAAATATGGCGAAGTATATAAATTCAAATACAATCAGTCTTTCGCTTTCATGAATCGTTTCGTTAATTTCGCTAATTTCCTATTTCAGGAATATCAGTGGCTCTGTGACGTATTCTCGTTTTTCGTTGTTGATTATCAGCCGCGTCTGTTGTGTGCTTGGATCATTGGGAAATATGCTAGACAGATGGAAACCTTATCAGACACCGATATATCTGATGGATTGTATCGATTACTGCAGGATTCGATGGGAAAACATTATCACGTCGTACGACCAACAAGAATATTAAGGTAATTTTCCGTCGGAGTGTGTTATAATTATTCCTGAAAGAAGACAATGGGCTTTCTTTTTTCTTTCTTCGATTTTTAGATCCAAATGGTTCACAGATGAACACTTCCAAGGCTCTTATACCTTCCAAAGTATGAACACCGAGAACCTGAATGTAAAGCCGAGTGATTTAGCCGAGCCAGTCGTAGTGAATGGAAAACCCGTTAGTAGTGATTGCTTAAACTCGTTAGTTCGTGATTGCTTAAACAACTTGTAACATTTTTTGATAATAATAACGTTCATAATTTTGTTTTCTCCAACTTTTCTCTTTTTCTTGACTGTGCATTAAAGCATCAAGCAAAATCAACCTAACGTTGCTAACGTACAATTGCATTATTGTAATTGTTGACGACACCGTCGATTATGTCCGAGAGATAGGGCCAGAGCACAGACTTCTGCATAACGCATAATACACAACGCATAAGAGAATCAAGCAATCAGAGTTCTTCATTTCCCTCCTCAGGACAGAAATGAAGAACTCTGATTGATTAATTCTCTTATACGTTATGCAGAAGTCTGTGCTCTGGCCCATACTGGTTTTTCCTTCACTTTTACCTTACCTATGTTATCTTTTCTCTTACATGACTATTCAGTATTATTTTAAGAGACTATTAACTGTGACGAAACAACATATACAATTATGATATTAGGTAATTCTTTTCGCCGGAGAAGCCACACACGATCATTATTATTCCACTGTGCACGGTGCTGTGGAAACTGGTTTCCGCGAAGCAGATCGTTTACTTGATTTTTATCAGAGGTGAGATTGCACTTAACAAAGCGATATTTGAAGCTTGGTATTAAACAGTACAAAAACACAATACGACAGTGTTTGATAGGATGACTGTTTTGATTATCTTTGGCACTTACAAAATTTGAATTTGCATTTATAAATTCTGTGGAATTAACTGCTTAAAAAACTGCTGTTGAGATCTTTCTCTTTACATCTTTTCTTTTCTTTCTTTTATCGCGGATGGAATTGGTATTGTGTCTTTTGTGAAATTCTGTAAGCATTTATTTCTCGACCTGAAATCGAACTAGGAAATGATTGAAATACCGAATCTCTAATGTACAAGAGTATAACGTATTTCAAAATTAATATTTTTTTTCGTTAATATTGCATGATTTTACGCGTTATGTTCTGCTTGTTAATATCTCGGTTATAAATATTTGATTTTGCATGAAGCTTACAAGTAAAGTGAAAGGTTTCTCTTTACATTGTTGTTTCCGGGTTTGTCGTATCTGCTGGCTTCAAATCTTGCAGATATGATTTTGTAATTATATTTATATTGATTGTGCATGCTCTTTCTCAGGCGGGTAAACTCACATCTCTAACTACACATCCCGCGTAATGAATGGATTATGGTAAACTATAAAATATGCTTACACAACTTGCGATGTCTACAACAGGTATCTTGAAAGCATAGACGACCATCGAACTTATTTGTAAGGTGACAGAAAGAATTTAATATAAAAGAAGAGAATATTTAAAAAGTTATAAGATAATTGTACAAAAGTACAATATATATTACTGAAAACAATATAAAGCAAAGTATTGTACAAAAAACAAAGAAAAAAATATTACTTGTACTTATGATTATTCACGAATATTATATCGAGAATATATGACCAAATAAACAATATAGGTGGCAGTTAAATATGTCGTGTACTCTAGAATGCTTTATTATTACTGTTAACTCTTTGCAATCATATTATCTTAAAATGAACGATGCATTATATCAATAAGAAATTGCCTTCCAGTCCATAAACATCATTTTATAAAAAAAAAAATTGTGCTTGTAAAGATACCTTTTCTCAATTTCACCAAAAAAACGATGCTTTCAATTTTAATTTTGGATTTTCACAAATAATTTGCCGATATATGCTTGATATATAAGAAAAACTGGAAAATACTGTGGGCTCTGCAACGTGCGGATATGTTAGATCCACTAATTTGTGGTGTTTTTGGAGAAATTATCCTTGGTAATGTCTTATCTTTATTACACGGCATATGTAAATTGCGCCAAACAGTAGTTTCAGTTTTTATCATTTTATCTTTCATATTTGTGTCTTGTCTATCTCACTCAGAATAGCTCATTGTCACCTTTTAAACTATCATTATCATAGAGCCATTTTTATAGATGTTATTCTTATAATTGTTATTGTTATCTTCGTCGAATATACATTATTTACAAAATTCAAACCATGCTATATATTCAAAATAAGACAAATATGGTCTACTACATTGTGACATTAAAATTGTTTTGAAATGAAAAGGAAATGTAACTGATATCTCGATATATTGGTGCTTTGCGGCTAGTCCATTTTGTCGATGGTTAAGCAAAATAAATATTGCTGACGAACATGACCTTAGTTGGAAGTCGATTTATATGACTGGAGCAGTTGAGATCTTCGCTAATCATCACAGGACGTATAACTGCAAAGTATTGCAAATAGAGAAATAAATTAATTACATATTAGTTGCTTAAGATCGTAGAAACAGAATGAGCGATGGTTCATCTGATATTTTATAAATTAACTAATTGATGTAGAACGCGCGATTGCTTAGATCAAGTGGTTAACAACATCAACAAGATACGTATAGACGAGATAAGTATGGATCAGACGGATGAATACGATGAGAGGACGAAAATCGTGATAGTAGGCGCAGGAATCGCAGGGATCGCGGCAGCTGCAACGCTACAAGAAGCAGGATGTGACTACATCATTTGTGAGGGTACATTTGCAAAATATTTATCAAGAATTTAATAGCTTGCCGTTCTGTAATATACTTATATCTATATATATATATATACGTAATAATGAAGTGAAGTTTTTGTCTATTTAAAACGATATCAATTGAAAATGGATCGCATGCATGGATCGATCTGAAATTTTAACGATAGACATAATATGTCTTTTCTCGTAGTCCAATATTGCTAATAAAATGTATCGGATTATTCTCGTCTATTTCACAGCACAAGATAGAATTGGAGGCAGAATTTTCTCTGTTCCGGTTGGAGAGACCTGTATAGAACTTGGGGCACAATATCTGCACGGTGATGAGGGTGATCTAGCAGAATATTGTCGCGCAAAGAACTTATTGTCGCGCATTTTCGGTACAGACGGTGAAGGATTACTTTTACGAGATAATGGTTGCGCAATTTCGTCGGGTACAGTCCTGGCATGCGATGTCAACGATGTCATACATGATACTCTGCATAATTGCGAACAGTTTTACAGACACAAAGAAACTGAATACGACATAGCCAATAACGAGAGTGTCGGTAACTACCTAAGAAAAAACTTCGAAAAATATTTAGCCGAATGCAACGATCCCGCACCAATTAGAAAGATGAAAGAGGAAGTTTTCGATTTTAAGATGCGGTATCTCCAAGTGGACAACAGCTGCGATTCGATGTACGAATTATCCTTGAAGTTGTGGGGAAAATATGAGGTAAACTTGAATCATTAATAATGCACATTAAAAAGCTAATAATAAACTGTAGAAACGAGTATTAGTAATGACGATTAGTAATGACGTCATGATCCTCCATAGATTGCCGGCAGAGACAAGTACCAAATGTTCAAACAAGGCTACATATCGTTGTTGAACACTCTCGCCGAGGACATAAGCTCGGAGAAATTGCGACTGAACTCTCCCGTAAAATCCATTCGCTGGCTCGATACTTTACCCACTCGAACCACTGCGACAGTACTCGTGGAAACCCGCCAAGGAAAACGAATCTTAGCCGACGCTGTTATCGTCACCTGTTCACTCGGTGTCTTAAAGCACGTCCACGAGAAGATGTTTGATCCACCGTTACCGCGTATTATGAAATGCGCCATCGAGAATCTCGGTTTCGGAGTGGTTAACAAGATCATTCTGCGCTATGACGCACCTTGGTGGTATTCCAGCGTCACTGGTTTCCAAATATTACCGAGCCACTATCGACCTGAGATGCCACAATTGCCAGAGTGGACCTCGTATATCACGGGTTTTGACGTCCTGGCGAATCATACATCTATATTGGTAGGATGGATCTCGGGTGAGGGAGCACGTGCCGTTGAGCATGTTCCCGAAGCAACGATTGGAATGTACGTCACGTCATTGCTGTCGCGATACATGAATCGTTCAATTCCTCTTCCGGTAGATTGCTACACAAGTACATGGTTCTCTAATGAATACATTAGGGGAGGTTATTGTAATATCACGACAAACTGCGAAGCCGCAAATGTCTCAACGTCTACGTTATCTGAACCGATTTGGGCGAAAGTAAAAGACGATTCTTCAGTCCAGGTGAGATTATTGGGCGAGACGCTTTCAAAAATTGATTTTTTTTGTTCTTTGCTAAGTTTCACAATCCTCCAAAGAATTCCGAATTATCAATATTTCATAATCACAGATGTTTGAAACTGTCTCTCTTATTTTGTTACGTAAAATAATACTTGCAAAAGATATCATTTTTTTATGACTCATTGAAATGATTTTCTTTTTTTCTGTAAATGTAACAGGTCCCAGTTATACTGTTAGCCGGCGAGGCCACGCACAATCGTTATTTCTCGACTGTGCACGGAGCTTATGAAACCGGAATTAGCCAAGCCAAACTATGTTTGCTACATCACAGCGTTTCCATGTAAATATGCTAACACAATAGAATTTTGTTCATATATGTTGCGGAACGAGGTATCCTCTATTTATTGCGAAGTCGCTTAAAAACGAGAAATTCCTGTATGCTATATACACGTGTTATTTGCTCTGTACTAATTCATTGCTATCGCTATCTTTTATTACTAATTGTAATTTAATATCGACTCATATTGTCGGTTGTGCACATACAGTTTATTTTAGTTATTAAGCGACTCCGATCTCTCTTTCACTTCCATTTCTGCATTGTTTATTCGTCTCCACTTTCTACCCCGAGAGCACGTTGCTTCTACGTATTGGTGGGTAATACCAGATTAGTTTGTCTTTTTCCTGTTACTCTCCTTATCTCGTCAATTTTTGCGGGCCAGACTGGTTTATCCGCTCGTGCTACGTCAGAACCGGTGTTTCCCCGCTGACCAATCGGCTGTCGATTGGAGACGAGCTACACGCGTTTGGCGCTTAATCTTGGTGAATGTCCCTTTGTTCATTTCCTTCGCATCTTTCCTTCTTTTCACTCATTTAAGCACGAACGTGACAGGAGACAGAGGTGAGTCTAGCATTTAAAGGAATTTAATTTGTTGACGCTGACTTAGATGTTGAAACTTAGATGTGTCAGTGAGAGATTGATATCCGCAATCGATAGTTGAGTAATGAAATAATCATGCCCGAGGGAGTACTGGAGATATAAAAATAATTTTAGTCGTGGAATATATCATCAGGTACATTAAATGTCATCGACATTGTGTTGGTTATAAAATCATCAACCCATTTACGCATTAATGAAACGTTTCCATTGTTATCAGTGGAAAAAATCAATGTTAGTATCATATACGTTGTGTTTATCACCACATTGTGATTTACGATTATGACGAAAATACTTTGAAAACTTATTCGTTTTAACAATTACGAGTCATCTGTTGAAATTGGTCAGTAATTAATATGTAACCATCAGTCTCAGCATCAAAGTGAAAGGAAAAGTAATGATATAATTACGTGTGTCGTCAGCAGAGATTTTATAGCTTTAACTTGCTTTATCATTTCACAGTTAAATTTCGCTGAATAATCTAACATCTTCAGTGGACTGGGACGGAGAATCGCAACATATAGTTAAGACCTCCCCCCACTTCGAGCTCCTCTGCGTGCTTCTCTTCTCCTCGTGCATCTCTCTTCTTACTTTTTCATCGTCTCTTTCGTATACTTCGTACGTAGGATTAGGAGGGAGAGAGCCGATGGGCTTCGCATAATTATCGGTTATCTTCGCCTATGCCTTGACATTAGCATACAATACCCCGTGCATCCTCACAAGTTCCTAACAAACAACCGACGCGACAGGGCCGTCGTTCACGATGAATCTTCGTCTGTTCGTTATTCTTCTGATCCTTGGAACCTCCGTCTGGTCCAGCAAAAATACAGGTGGATTCTTATCGACGATTGTTTCGTATGTTGTCATTTTCTCCTTGTCAGTAGGTCACAATTTTTTTCACAACAAACTGGCCTTTAGTGTTGTTAGATTAAATCATTACTGTGACGATAATATTTGTTTGTGTTCATTGATGTCATTCGAGAATATCATCCGGATTGTGCAGGATTCTCGTACTAAATGATTTATATATACATATATATAAATCATTTAGTGTACGAGAACACACACACACACACACACACACACACACACACACACACACACACACACACACACACACACACACACACACACACATATATATATTGCCACAAAAATTTTCGTTAACACCTTTCAGATCCTTAACATTTTAGGATCCTTAAAATTTTTTTAAGGACAATGTTTTATATTAATTGTAAATTCCAACTTTCGTATATCTTTAATTACTCTCGATCCTCTGAAGTGTTTTTATTGGAAAATCTTTTTTAATTGGGTAGCATATATATACAGGGTGTCCCATTTTAATCCGGCCGGCTAAATAAAATTCGAGGATATTTTCCAGAAAAAAATGTCAGATAAATGTTGCTCAGTTCTAAGGCGGACATTCGATGCCATCAACAATTTTGACCTCGGGTGAAGGGTTCAAGGTCATTCAAGGTCAACTTTTTTTTCTTAAATGGGAACCCCTATTTTTCACATCGGCAATCGATTCTACGTAAAAAAAAAAATGAAACTTTTGTCTGAAGCATTTTTTTTTATAACGCAAACTAATTTCACTTATTCAGCCTCCAAAATTGAAATTTTCAAACTTTCTGAATTTTTCACTCGAGAATGGTGGGGTTTGGGGGGAAATTGCAGAGGACAAAAAGTTCTTGGAATGCTGCAAGGAATTCACTCGAATTTTCGCATAGTTGATCGTGCACTTTTTTCGAGGTACCTCCTAACAGGTAGAACATTGGCGGAAATTTCAATTTTGGAGGCTGAATAAGTGAAATTAGTTTGCGTTATAAAAAAAAATGCTTCAGACAAAAGTTTCATTTTTTTTTTACGTAGAATCGATTGCCGATGAGAAAAATAGGGGTTCCCATTTAAGAAAAAAAAGTTGACCTTGAACCCTTTACCCGAGGTCAAAATTGTTGATGGCATCGAATGTCCCCCTTAGAACTGAGCAACATTTGTATGACATTTTTTTCTGGAAAATATCCTCGAATTTTATTCAGCCGGCCGGATTAAAATGGGACACCCTATATATAAAAGAGTTGTATATAGAGACGTATTTATATTTATATATAATTTACTCTTTATACATTTTCCAGGTAACCACGCTTCATCAAAGAAAAAGAAGAACACTACCAGACTCAATGCAGGCATTGAAAACAATCCCTTCCTTCAACAACCCGTGACGCTTCCTCCTGTAGAAGATAATCCTTTCTTGTTGCAACTTCATAGCAACAAGAGCGAAAGTTTATCAGGAATATTATCTACTATCTCTCTACCGACAGAGAACCAGTCTTCATACATCGCAATATTCAGCAGTGGCAATCCCTTTTTAAACTTTGGACCTGGTTCAAGGATTGATACCGTACCTTTTAATGCTTCAGGGCCTTATGCATCTGCACCCTTTGCGTCAGTTACGCAAGCACCTTATAGACCACCGTCTTATAACATACCAGCACCTCTCAGACCTCAGCCTCCTGCGCCTCAGAGACCTTTTTCGGAAGAAGTTAGACCTCCAACCACACCGTCATTGCTGGATCTAATACCTATTAAAATTGGTTCAACGAAAACAAGATCAGAACTCAGTAAGTGGAATACACGATCGGATCAGTTTTATAAGATTATAAACCTGGAAATTAAAAAAGAGAATAAGAGAGCACAGGCACGATGATTTAAGAGTCTAAGAATTCAAAACGCTCGAGAATTCAGAAACCTCACCATTAGGTCCAAAATACGAAGGGAATGAACGTTTGTGATATTGATTTTAGAATGCGAAGAATACACGAGGGAAATTGTGGGCACAACCGATGTAACATCTCTAGTCGGCACGTCGATCGACGTAGTCAAGGTGAAGAATGTCTGTCGAGATGTAAATCGTCTTGTAGTCGGCGGCACCGAGGCCACGACCGGCGAATTTCCACACATGGTCGCCATCGGCAGAGGCAATTCTAATGACGATTTTACTTTGATGTGCGGCGGCACGCTGATCTCACATGTCTGGGTACTTTCAGCTGCGCATTGCACTTACGGGCCAAAGTATATTCCTGTTATTTTTTTCCTTAAATTATACACAAAAATTTCGACGAAAGCTCTTCCGTGTTTTTTTCTTTGCCATCTCTGTTCGTCTCATCAGTGACTGCAATTAGTGAAATAGATAAAGCCTCGGAAATTACAGACAGATACATACAGATTTTTCTAAGGTTTTTTTCTACACTACTACGAGATACTGTAAACTTCAACAAGTGAAAAATTTATTGACTTGAGAATATTAGACATCAAGGATGTAGAACAGTACAGATTACGAAGATCTGTTCAACAGTTATTTTTTGGGATAATTGGAGAGGCTATTCTTAACGATTCATGTTATTTTGCAGCGGCAGTCCGTCTGTCGCTCGGATGGGTTTTCACTCATTAACGGACCAGCAATCCGGTATCACAATTATCATCAAGACTACGATACGACACCCAGAGTATAATGCACCTGCGATGTATTCGGATATCGCTCTGATAGAACTTCAGAGCGCCGTCATATTTGGCGAGTTAATACGACCAGCTTGTCTTTATCAACAATATGATAAGGTGCCTACATCTGCTTGGGTTAGCGGCTGGGGTGCTACTGAATTCGGTAAGAAACTGAAAAATATCAATCTCAGGGAGTTGCACAGTCCGAAAATTTTAAGAATCTGAGAATTAAAAACAATTTCAGAATTTTACTTCCAGTAGAAATCGATTATTTCTTTTCCAAAACAGTTGAAAATAATCGATTAATGATAAAGGCGTTTAATTTTAGGAAAGAAAATTTTGACATATTTAATTTCCCTAACATCTTCAATTTTTTAATTTTTCATCCATGAGACCTCGATAAAATAAGTGATTTAATTGAAATTCTTTCTATTGTAGAACTTTTAATGAGTCAATAAAAAAATGAAATAATTTAAGTTTAACGATATAATTTCTTTTTCAGCTGGGGATCAATCTGACAAATTGCAGAAAGCTCAGTTGAATTTTATAGACAACCTGGCGTGCACGATACAGTATAATAGTTCCAAAGAGGTTCCATACGGCGTCTCGCCAAGTATGATCTGCGCAGGTGATCCTCATGGCGGTTGGAATAAGGATTCCTGCCAAGGCGATTCCGGAGGACCTTTGCAAGTAGTCCATCCGAATACTCAGTGTCTCTTTCAAGTGATTGGCATCACTAGTTTTGGTCAAGCATGTGCAATGGCTAATTCGCCTGGCGTTTATACTAGAGTTTCCCATTATTTACCCTGGATTGAGAATATCGTCTGGCCGCAAGAGCAATGATCGCGATTTGTTCAACTTTTCAAAAGGTACAAAAAAAAACATCTTTTATTCTTTCCTTGACTAAATCAGACTTCACAATCAGTTCCTCGATAAGTTAGTAATTCAAACGACGTCCGAAACAAATTGACCGTCGCTTGAAAAACAATGTACGAGTATCACTTTTCTGTGTTCACCGTTTCGTAACATAAGATTCATATATCGTACGAGAATAATTTTGCAATTTCAGAGAACGGTCGACGCGTTTGTGCTGACAATTGTTACCCGTAAAGAGAACTATTTTAATCAGTGGTTGCGAGTGGCTAATCGTATATAGTGCTATTTTAATCGATCATGAAAGTGTAATTGAACAGTCTGCAGTTGACTAGAATATCGGAACGGAAAGGTCACGAGAAGGTGTAAGTCGTAGAATGAAAGATTGACATTCGCTTCGTCGATCTTCTGGGCCTTAGAAATCAGGATATTTTACTATCGTGAATGGTTCGCCACGTGAGTCCGTCGCTGTATGGACCATGCGTTGATGGAAACAGGACCCACCACCAACTCCTGCAACAACGAATGAAATAGGTTATAAAGATAACAGAATGAATACTATAATTTGATACGTTTGTGACGATGAGATGATTGAACAAAAAAATACTCAATATATTTTATAATTTGATCTGGAAGTGCCAATAAATAATTCGTATGTTTAACAGTCTATAGTAATTATTTATCGAATAATTTAACGAATATGAATTGCAATTTCTTAATTCGGAAAAATATTTGTTTTTTAACTGCATAAACTTAAAAAAAGAAAAATATTTTGAAATGTAAGAATTTGAGGCGAATGACAATGACAAAACACATACTATTCATAAGTAAATAAATTCATCCTCGCACTAGTCTGTAATATCCGTGCTACCTGTTCTTTATTCCCAAAAACAGTTTCCAGTTCTCCCTCGGTCCGAAGTCATAGGGATTTTGATAGATTTTGCCTTGTGCCTTGTATTTTTGCGATTCTGTGGTATTGATACGTGCTTCGATGCTCGTTTCTCCCCGAGTAATGAGTCTCGCATGGCACAGAGCCAGCGCACCCACTGCGGCTGACGCAGCAACAGTGATCATAGCCGCGAAAATTATCAGTTTTCGGCGCCATTCCTTGGCTTCATTTTCCGCTGCTTGTCTTGCTATTTCTGCCCGTTCCTCCTCAGTTAAGTGAGACAACGACTCTGTCTATGACATCAAATGCATATTAACGTTAATTTTAAAAAGGTAATAAAACTAGATAAAGTGTTAATATTCACAAATTGTTAGCATGAGTGGTAGCACTCACCATAGGAATTATTTCCGAATTATTAAGGCGCACCGGATGACCATCCAGTTCCGGCTCTTGCGCAGGAAAGAACTCCTCGTAAGCAAGCTCTATACCGAAAATCGTGATGAATATAAAGCCGAATATGGCAAAAGCTATGAACTGGAAGAAGTATCGGTGGTTGTAATGACCAACGCAATTGTTTAGCCATGCTGCACATTTTAATTAAGGATGACCAATCGTATGGCATTTTCACGCGAAGATATTTGTTGCTCAACAATGATGTTACAATTAATAGAACAATTTAAATAGATCCATAAGATACATAAGGATACGGCAATGGTGGTCCATCTTGAGAACGCACTTATTGCAGACAGAGCAATGGTGAGTTCTGGGTGGCTTTGGCTTAATGCACTTCTTGCAGATGCTCACAGCCTCTGGAATGAGGCCACCTTGCGGTGGATAGCCCGGTGGTATCTTCAAGCCCATGTAATAGTGGAAGCAGACATTAAGCAGTAACCAATTTCCAACTATTAGTAGAATCACTGTTATGAATGGACTTCGATTCCACCAGTAAGGCAGGCCAACATAGTATGCAATGTATACTATACTTGCAATCAACAAGATCACCATTCCTACAAACGCCTGTGGACTGCAGTGCTTAGTAAATATATTGTGGATATAACGATGTTTATGTTATATGAAATGAAGTACTTTAGGACATTTTCTAGGACTTTCTTATCTACATGATATACAATATTGACATATATGATTTTCAAACTCTTTGTTATGTATTAAACATATACTTTTACATCTATATTAAATAAATTATAAAAAACAAAATGATATTAAATAATGTCTAAGATCTTACAGGACCCAAACAGGCAGTAAAATTCTCGACGAACCAGAACATGGGTTCCATCAATATATCACAAGCGTAACCCCAGTTCAAAAAATCATTATAGAACAGGGACTTGAGAGTGATTTGGAACCGCCATAACCTCTGCTTCAAACTAACTCTTAACATAAATAAAATGAAGTTTTTGTTAAATTCACAGAAGTTAAATACATAGAAGCACACAAAGAAACGATGAGACGAAACTTTTTAATTGAAATTGCACATACAAACATACATATTTCAGTTATTAATTTTTATTAAGAATTAATAAAAGTTTTCGATAAACCTGTTTTAGCAGAATTCAATAATTAGAAATTTAGCAAATTTACCTTATAATTCTCGGCACCTTCGTCAAGGACCATTGTATCCTCGCCATTTTCGCTTCTTTTTTCGAATACCACCAGATATACTCATAATTTTAGCATATTATCACATTTTATGTATTTTGACATCTTGTCACTCGTCGCCATCTTACCCAGTTTTCACCATTCCGCGAACACCTAATATGAAACAGCGACTGATAACGGCTAATAACAATGTCAGAATAACAAGTACGATAACCTCGATCAATCTACGAACCCAGATCTATCCGCCATATTTGTATCAGTCCGAGGAAAAGACCAAGAAAAAGACCAAATAAAGAAATGTATCACTACTAATAAAAATATCATGCGTTGTCAAATAACGCTTGAACGTAGACACAAAGTAGCTCTCACCAACATGAAATGATGGCTGCGTTCCGATATTCACTGCCAGTGCTGAAAATCTATAATATACGTGACACAAACTATTTATTTTCAGTACCGATAGTGAATATCGGAACGCAGCCTATACGCGAGTGGATCCAGTTGAGAATTATCCGCCATTTCTATTACTGGCGGTATTTTCAAACATTATAAACTACAGTTACCAGGAATATTAAAAAATGTATGAAACAATTCAGTAGATATTTTTATAATCACTAATGTAATTATTTGAATACTATTTTCAAATTATGTGTTTAATACTCTGATGAAGAAGTATTTTCTTCATTTATATATGTAAAACTTTGGTAATAAAGAAAATTTGATCTTAACGAGAGATACAATAATTCGAGGTACAAAGGTAGATTCTTTATTTTCGTAATTATGCAGATGTGTACATGCGTTTTAACAAAAGTGCGTCTACGTATGTACACGCTACATATGCTAACCCTGCTAAACACATGTGTATTCAAAGATTTCGTATCCACAACGCTGAAAAATTCGCAATACGAACAGGAATAGATCCATGAAAATGTTTTTAACAAAGTGATCGATAACGTGAAATAGTTTTTTTATAATCGTACAGAGTTAAATCTTAAATCTCAACAATTTTTGAGAACAAGTGTAAACGTTTTCGATATACTTTATCTGCCATGAAAGTTGAATTAAATATCTACAGATGAATTTTTTTTCGAAATTGCAGAATAAAAATTTAGGAGTCCAAGAACACTTAAGAACTTAAAAAAAAGATTAAAACGTTCCAGAAACCTGAAAATTAAAAATAAAAATCTAAGATTAGGACGACGAAAATATTCGAGATTTGAAAGATTTAAGAATATGGAAAACGAAAGATTAAACGATTTACAAAGATCTACAAAAAGTTCGAGATATATTATTGCGTTGTTACTGGTGTCATCCATGGCAGACAACAAGTTGCTTTAATTCTAATATAATAATGATAATTTTTTATTAATATTAATAACATTATGTAGTGTGTATAATAAGGTACAGGATAATCACACGAGGTATCGACCAGGTTTTAGGAGGACAACATTAATTTCCTTCACACTTGGTCCAAGAAGAATATTATTTTCATAACTAATGATTGAAGAATTTGCGAATTCAGTATCATACGATAATATATGTGTATATTATGATTGAAATATTAAATTTTGGAAAGTTAGAGCAGAATTGTGCCCAAAGAATCAATTTATTAATGCGTACCATTAAAGATATCGAAGCTTAAACACTTTGCAATGCTACGCGAACGTAGCAATAAATTTTAAAAATACTTTGAGTAGATCAAAAGAAATCTCTACATTCTCTGAATTTCATTCATTTTTCATGGGTTTCATCCTGCTTAAAAGAACTCATAAAATTTGAGATCGATTTTCGATTTCGTAAGTCATGAATTTGCCTTTACGGATCAAGTTAATATCGACTATTCTTGATTCATTCATTTCTTGCAGGAAATTGAACATCTGGATGAACCCCAACGGTTTATCTTCTGCGATATTATTATTTAATAATTTAATGAAATTCTGTAAATGTAATATAATTTAATAATTTGATATATAATTTCTCAACGATTTCACGTCTCGCAGCTGTAAAGCTTCAACAAACTCTCCGAAGCTGAATTAAATCGTAGGTTCTTTCAGGTCCCTTCGATCGTCGAGCGATGTACTGGAAGTGTTGTACATGAAAGACTGGGTAGGTAAACGGAGTAGTACATACATATTTACAAAGACACTTGCGGAAGGGTACTCCAGCGTCTTTTCCTTAAGATACGTTTCGAGCAATGATATCTCGGCTCGCTGCGTTTGATTTTCTTTCGCTACAAACGGCATCTTGAATTATTATACCTTATATTATTTCAGTAAATCATAAGTTTATGATTTGTAACGAGGTCATAAATCTTGATCTAAGGTCGTAAATTTTTAAATTTAATTAGATTTACAAAAATTCACTTAGATTTTTTTTCCTTTCTTTCAGGAAATTTTTAACTTTCAAATCGATTTTACTTCTTGAACACAATTATTTTCTCATTAATATAACTTTTGTATTTTCTGGTCACTTGTTGAAAAAGAAGTAGAAGAATCGATGAAAAAGTCGAGACGCTTTACGTGCCTCGTTGTTATTGCTCGAAACACAATTGATAATATATTAATGGAATTTCCGATAGAACGTTAAGATCTCATAATACGGTATCCAAAGTATCGAGGCTTCGTAACAATTGCTCGTCCTTCGAGCACCACTGCACCAGTTCTTCGATGGTCACCACGCCGTCCTTATTCGCATCCATTAACTAAAAATGTGCAATATTAATATACTATATAATTAAAGGTCTTGCGATTAAATATATTTATTATTTAATATAATAAATTATTATATTTAATTTATGACAAAAATTCTAAAAAGCAACACAAATGTTTTCCCAAACAATTATTAAGATCTAAAATCAAAAACGAAATTTCACAAAAGTAATTTTAACTTAGATATTTTCTTCAACTATTTAAGAGCGTTTTTCAGAGGGTTTTTACTCACGTGAAAGATGCGATCAACGTGTTCGCGAGCAGCCACGTGTGGTTCGGCAATTTGCGGTTGCGTGTAACGACCTAGCATCTCATAGATGGAACCCACAACATCTAACATCTCCTCCTTGCTTATTAATCCGTCTCCGTCCAAATCATACAACCCGAATACCCACTGCAGCTTTTCCTCCACGGATCCTCTTGATACCTTCGACAGTATGGAGAGAAACTCCTAAACAAAAAGTTTAAAGCTTAATTAGAAACGCAAATTTTCTGGGGAACATTAATGTGACATATACTTAGGAATTTCTATTAAAAAAGTTTTGAACTAATAAATTTCTATTAAAAAAAAACTCTGAACTAATATTTGAACTTGATGAGGACTTCTTTTTATAGATTTTTTCGACGGTAATTATATTTATTGTTGCTTACCTCGAAGCTAATTTTACCAGACGGTTTCCTCTTCATAGTATTGAAGACGTAGTGAGCGTACTGGCTGGCATCTGTATAATACATGGTGTGATTATAAAAATAACACGAAAAAAAAATTTTGTCATATACATATAATTTTGTGACTCTTTCTATACATCGTATATAAAATAATGTAGAATTATTTTTTATTTAAAAATAATAAGTAAGAAAAAAGTTCTATGAACCATATAAAAATAACAATTTTTCATTGTCATCGCTCATAGCAATTAGAATCGTCATTATGATCATTCCCTTATTACCTCCCTGTGGAAAGAATTGTGAAAAGATCTGCTTGAAGGCATCCTCGTCGACCAGGCCAGACGGACACTCTTGCTTGAAACCTCGATAGATCAGCTGGATTTCCTTTCTAGAAAACCTGGTGGTTGCCGCAAGCGTGGCGAGTTCCTCCGGCTTATGTCGACCACCAAGGGCTAATGCAGCGTCCCCGGAGCTCCCTAAAACGCCCCCGAGTCCTTCAAGCTCTCCCTCTGCAAGTTCGCAAGCCCTTCACTCCTAAGACTGTGTTGCGCCTTCGAGATGCTCCCTCTCGCTACTCATCTTGTCGAAATGTGGGAATGACATCCCATCGTTCAGAGGGCTCAGGCAACCCTCCATCCACCATGACGGCTGAGGGAGGGTCCCTGTCTATTACCTCAGTTTTTATTTGGGAGAAAAGATATAACAAGAGTTTTCTCCTTTTACTATAGGTTTCGAAATGTCCATCGAGTGAAACTAATACCCCTGAAGAAGGGGTGACATACTCTATTCTAGGGGGACCTATATAGTGCACAGACTTGCAGGCGGAGAAGTCGTGAGAGGCGAGAGACAACAGGGGTGAAAAGAGATCGTGGGGGTGCTTCGTACTACAGGAGCTTGCTCGTTTCTGCGATTAGAGGTTTTATAAGTCACGTTTGTTGAATTCAAATTTTTGAAAATTATATATATGTATATAAAAATAAGATGATATAGATACATAATTAATACTTCTTTTATATTCATACTTGATGTTCCTTCATTTTATAATTATTTTTAACGAGCGTCTCTACCTCTCTGTAGCGCGAATCAATGAAGGGGGAATTGAGAAGATTGAAAAAGTTCGAAGAAGAAATTGCGAGAGTACATTCTCCAGGTTCTGAGAGTGAAGAAAACTCATAGATATGGTTCTACAGTGCTGGGTGATTGTTCCTCTCTGCAAGAGAATTAATCTGAGATACTTGTTGCAATAAGTGTGATAAGATGCAACATGTGCGTGCTTCCAATTTCTGAAAGGAAAAGATATTCTATATAAATATGGTGTACCATAAAAAATTATATTAAATTATTCTCTAATTCTCTAGAAACAATTTTTTTTACAAATAGGGATATACAACTTTAACAGAATAAAATAATATTTTATTTCTTCTTTTTTAAAAATGTTATCAAGGTGATTAACGAGCTCAAACTATGGTAGTTAAATGCTATACTACTAACTAATCAAAAACGATGAAGATGCGCTATAGAAAAGGACCTAACGTAGTACTAGAAGAAGACTATGGATTGTTTAAGCAATCATAATTCTCTACGGTAACACCTGACGGGAATTTAAAAATACAAAAATACAGGTGAATATAAAGATCAAAGAACAGAGAGAAATATAAAAATAAAGAGACTGAATAGTTAAGTGTCGGAAGATCCATAAACTTAAGGATTGAAAAATCTTAAAATCTAAGTATTCAAAAATTAAAAAACTCGAGGATTGTGAAGTTCAAAGATGTGGTACTCCAATAATTTGAGAAATTGTGTTTTTAAAATCTATGGATATAAATAGATAAAAGTTCACGTGGCAATCTGTACTGCCTGTGATTTATTGAAGGTAATTTGGCAAGAATCACTTTTTAAGAGGCTACGATGTTTCGATCATCCTCTACGCACGCTGCGAACATTAGCTCTGGTCCCGGGTATCCGGGGTTGCCATGGTAACTTAGCAGCTCCTATCCCGTGCTTCCTGACCACCCCTTCCTTCTGCGAAATCTACGCGACAATTCGTGGGGAAACGAGGAGAAGTCTTACTGTCGAGATTAATTCTTCGACGTGCGGAGAGATTTCGTGTTTATTACAAAATTAGTAATTAGCATTGTATTGGTTCTTTTGATACAATCTTTTCTTTTTTAACTGAGTTGATTTGTATAAAATATTAGAAATTATTTTATTATCCAAACAGCATAATTGGACCCAAAATTTAAGAATCTAAAATTGTAGAAGATTAAAAAATCCAATAATCTCTGAGAAATTGAAACTGAAGAATTCAGTAATCTACATTAGCTAGATCCGTTAATCGAAGAATTAAGTGCAAGACCAAAGTATATAAGAAATATACAGAATACTGAACAGATAAATACTGGACAGATAAAGAGGAGACAGATAATTGAAGACACTGGAAGACTCGAGAATTCAAGATTCTAACAATAAAAGAACCAAGAGAAGTTGAGGAATTGAAAATTCAGACATCTCCATAACGAAATCTCAGGAAACGGAAGACTGCTGTAGAGAAACGGTTAGACAACTTGGAGGAAATAAAAGAAATGAATCAAGTCTAAACCTTCAAGAATCTTGAAAGTCTAAATACCAAAAACCCCAAAATTCATATAAAATCGAGAAAGAGAAAAAGGGAGATCATCCAAGAATATCATCCGAGGGAATGCATTCAGAGACTCGAGCCAAGTCTAGACATGACCTTTGACACATTGACAGTCTCTGCATGGTAAAAGGGTTGGATTCAGCCCTGTGCAAAAGCAACCATTCACGGGGCACGTGAAACTACTACGTACGTACAAACAGACAGAGACAGACCAGGCAACCCATGAGCTTTCCAGGGTGGAAGAATGAAAGAAAGAGAAGAGAGGAAGACCCATATCACTGATCACCGCACCTTGGTGCTGCATTCGGCAGTTTAGGCTTATCACCCCCGGCTATCACTCCGCTTGTCAACGACGCTCACCCCTGGGATATCGACTGGCCCAAGTCAATGGCTGTGCACGTCGTACGTCGCACAGTAGTCAAGTAGTATATCGACTGGCCCACGAACACAGTCGTCGCAAACACGAGGCTTCTCAGAGGGAAGAAGGAGATAGCTCGATTGGCACCCTACAGTCGTTGTACCGGTCCGGACTTACTCTTGTCACGGCTCTTACGCGCCTTCATCGGCCACACTTCCTGCCCCTGATCGGCAACGGGATATTGGCACTTGATTCACTGATCGACGCGACGCATCCCGAGACGAACTCCGCGCACGCACGGAGCGGGTGAGGGAAAGAGAAAGAACGATTGTGAGCGAGGATATCAACCACCACCACCACCACCACCACCACCACCACGCAGTTGCGGATGCTGCGCACGAGAAATTGCCACCGTCACAGACGGTGGAGGATAGATGTGGTCGCGCTGATGATACTACACTGAACCGCACCGGACTGACTGCGAAATGTCGCTTTCTCCGCGCAAGTGCGGTGATCTTCGATATTCTGTTAGCATAGTGACAGCTTAACGAGTTCTTCAAGTTACTTATGATATATAAGATAGAACGTGCTACTGAAGCTCCAAATCATTTCAGCTACTTTAACATTTTTCCAAATATTCAAAGCTGAAAATAAATAGAAGTTGTGAGTCTTGGAAAACTTAGATTTAAGATAAATAGTTTTATTTATTAATTATGTGGAAAAAAAGAATAAAAAATTAAATAGGAAAGAAATTGTCATAAATTAAAGTTATAAATCAGCATAAGAGAAAGTGACTCTAAGCTTAAAAATGCTTAAAAACAACATAGGAGTTCCTACAACTTTCAGAAATCTTGAAAGTCTTGGAATTCTTAAGAATTTTATAAAAGCTTGCATGGTCTCTTTTGAAAGCCCAAAAATGTTAGAACCTTTCAGGAAACTGTAAATATCGCATTATATTATGAAAAATAAAACTAACAGTGTTGTTGATGAACTGCTTTATCAGGATTTTGGCTGCCTTATGTCTGTAATAGCTTTCAGTAATAGCTTCCAGTAATAGCTCTATTATCGAGGGAACCTGCTGTGAGACACTCACAGCTGACAAGTTAAATAACTTTAACAACTGCTGGCTGTCTCAATTTAAAAATAGGTACTTGCCCATTAGTTCAGTGAATGATATGATGTTCAAGAAATATTAACATACTTGGCTGATAAGTTGTCCAATCACATGACTGTACATGCGTACTGTACAGTATTAACTAGGAATAACAAGGTTTTTCTTTCAGTTTTAAAATGAATTTCAGAACTAATTTTATAGTTTACGCAAATTTCAATAATTTTGGAAAAAAGACAAGTCCGATATTACCTTCAAAAATTTGTCATTCATTCGAAACAGTCTGTACGTTTATTCCTCTTGGGCACTCTATATTGATCTGCTAGTAAGATAAGCCGCGCAACGATAGACAGAATCAATCCAATCGGTTTCCGTAAAAATAGCAGACAGTTATTTATTCACGAAGTTCGAACACACGTCACCCCTGAGGCATATGAAACGTCGATATCACCTGAAAGTCATTATTGATGAGTTTAAACGTTTCAACGAATCGATTACACTGTATACATGAAGTTGTAGGAACAATTTTGTAAGATGTATGTAAATATTTAAATGACGATTCTTTCTCGCGCATGAATATAATTTTTCGTCAATTTTAATATCCGTTCACGTTCTCTTACCACTCTCTAATCGTTCCTTATATCTCATTCCTTAGTAGACGTACGTAAACTTTTGTCACATAGTGTATGTCTCAATCTCGGTCTCCTGTAAATATTTTACGAACTTTCAGTGGACCTCGAGACTTTTTCTGTGTAAACAAACGTGGCGCAAGTCAATATGTAAAAGTAGCACAAGCACAAACTTGGGTCTACTTTAATGTCGTAGTTTTTCACGACATATATAACAAAACTATATATGTATATACATTGTTATGTTATACATATGCTTCGATAAACACAATTCACAATCATAATTTGATATCACTATACTGTACGGCTGATCCATCACGCGACAAATACGATACCACCTGACGATCATTACAGATGTTGAACTGTCGAACAACGGAAGAAAGCTTAGACACATGTCACAACATAGTTAAACAAGCTCAGTACTGAAAACAAGTAGGCGTTATTCGTGTAGATTTCCTACTCCTTTGCTAGATGAATCCCTGGGGCCTGGAGGGTGTCCTTCGAGAACGGAGAAAGAAGACCGGCCGATCCAGATTGGTGCTTCCGTTCTTCAACAACGATCGGGGAGTAGGATCCACAAATCTGACGATCGATCACGTCTAGATTTCGCGCACCAGGACCAATCGACAATGAAGGTATCGTCGATTGGTCCCGGTTGGCATGCTGACAACTAATGGTAGCAATGTAGCGGTACCAATATAAAACGGCATAATACCGCGTGCGCAATTGAGACACCTTACGGCGCTTTTCGCGCTAAAAGTCAGGATCGGCTCGAATTCGAAATCCGATCGGGGGGTAACCAGAAGCAGACGAAATTCCGCCATACAGTGGTAGCAGCAGCATGAACGTCGCCGGTGACATCGCACAACTGTCCTACAAGGAACTGCAGGCTCTAGCCTTGAGGTACCGCGTGCCGGGCAATATCAAGGTGAGCTGTCATTGTCTTGGCGATCACGATGTCCTTTGACCGGTTCCTCGTCCGTTAATTCTGCTCCTTCCGTTCCTCGTCTGTCCCTATCCACTCGCTCTGTGCGAAAACGACTGATCAGCAGCCTCTGCGTGGATGCAGCTGGATTGCGCTCCGGTTGATGGCGATTGCAAAGTCGATCAAGAGATCCGATGTCACCGAGTCGAGGAGGTCGAGGTCGAGGTTAATCGGCAGCTGACCGCACGATCGTCTCAGTCGAATCGGGATCTGATACAGGAAGAAACGAAGTATTCTAACCAAAAGCGATCGCTTGAAGTTTTGCCGGTGCGACGTCACCGTCGTCGTTGTCACCGTGCGAAGGGTTAGCTCGAGTCTGCGCTAATTGCGATTAACCAGCGTTACACATTCGCGCTGAGACGCCGTTTAACCGTCCTTATCCATCTGCTCCTAGTGGACATGGATGACCGAAGTGGTCGTGTCGCAGGAAGACCGTGACCACCGTTATTGCCGTTACGAGATCGGCCCGCAGCTGGGGAAAACAGTTAACCGAATCTATTCTCTGTATATTCGCATATCTCGATATTAGCATCTAACGAATAGTGGAGAAACCTGATCGGTATTAATCACTTGGAAGCTGCCAATGCGATGTAACACGATTAGTTCGACAACTGTTTATCTCAGTTACACTTTCTACACTTTGTGCCTTTTCTACTTTTTCCTCCGATTAAACGTGCATTTATTATTATATTATAAATGTACAATAGATGTAATAAAGTGTAGCTAAGATAAACAGTATAGCTGCTATGATCGAAAGGGTCGCACGATTAGTGCCAACATCGCACTGTTAAACCGAATGTCTGACTATATCCACTTGTTCTAAGTAGATACGGACGATCATGGTAGTCCGAGAAAGCTGTGGCTGCTACTTGTCGTTATAAAGTAGCTTAGATGAAGCTTAATCGCATGCTAGATATAGTTTTCTTGCAATTTATAATTTTGCAATTATTTAAGGGCGAGATATGTTTGACTTTCAGTTAAACTACATCTGTTTCATACTTGTAAGCTTCAAACAATCATTTTCAGATTTCCATTATTAATTTCTTAGTGCATACATCTTTATGCATGCAGTATTCATTCAGAGACTAATCATTTTTTAAATAAAATTTAATCAAAGTTTCAAAAAACTTAAATAACAAATATAGAGCTATTCTAATCTTATATCCTGTGAATATTCACACACATATAAAAGCTTTTGTCATCTCTTTTATTTTTTTACAACATTGACTTTTATAAATTTTCTCAATTTTATAAATTTTTTCGTCTCTATTTTTTCTAACAAATCATCATGATTCTCAAATTGTAGAAGAAAGTTCTAGTTAAGGTGTTGCAAGCTGCTAGAAGCGGAAATGAAGCCGAATTCAGTCGACTGCTGCAAGAGCTGAGAAAGAATCGAAAAAGAAAGACGAGGAAACCGAAGGATTCGAAGCTCGGGATAACGTCCACGCCGTTGCACAGTCCAGAATATGTAATGGCTGACGATGATTATTATTGTCAGCAACAGCAACAACAGCCACAACAGCAGCCATATCAGTGGGTAAGTTACTGACCTTTACAAATGTTCGTTACAACAACGATTTATCAATAAAATCGTACAGAGAAATAACACAATAAACCTCTCCGTTCTGGTAACCAGCAAAATGGCCACGATTGACTTCGGACAAAGTATTTCCCATTGTTGCAGGTCGGCGCTGAAGAGGAGATTATGAGCAGAGACGACGATAATAAGATCCCACACTACGATGAGTTCAAGCAGTTTTTACTCAAGAGGATCCAACGAGAGTTCCAGACATGCGACACCAACAACAACCAAGATCTAAACATCATGGATCTTCGAACGGCGACTGGCATATCGCCGAACATGCAAGCGATATCCCTCGACATGCCGAGTTACTCCAAGGCGAGTTTGATTAACAATGCGGATCCACTCGCGATGTCTAATATGGATCGACCGAACTATCAAGTGCTGAAAGAGCCCGAAGGCAACTCGCAAGGTCCGTTCTTGCTGAAGAGAATGTTACAAGCGCCGGTGGGCGCTAACTTGGGCGAGATTGCCAGTTCGCTGTTCTGGGCAAGCAACTTATTGGACAATTCTGATACTTTGACTGCTGAGTCTGAGAGTAACGAGAATGAGGATCAGCTGGAGGCTACCGCCAACGCCAATGAGTACTATAGCTTATTGAAAAACGCCAAAGGAGAGTTTCTACTGAACGAAGCGAACCTACGAAACGTGGACGCACTGATGCCTCAGGTCTCCGGAGTCCTCACCAATGAGGATCAATACAGGTATTCCAACGACTTGGACAATCGTCAAAATTATCAAAATTGGACCGTCACCAGTGTGATGGAGGTGCCCGAGAGCGATCTGCAGTCGTCCAAAATGTTTCACACGATTTACTACAACAACACAGACTCCACGCACGGCGCGGACAACAATATGCCGTATCAATACCAGGCTAATACCGACGCCTGCAACGGGAATCAGAACTTCCTCAACTTCGACACCCGCTATCCGACCGGCTCTGACATGATGACTACCAACGATACAGCCGACATGTATTACTTGCAAAACTCAGGCAAGAATGGCGAGGACATTGGCGCGGCATATTTCCGTGGTGTCGAACCTCTTGTGCAAAATTGCACGCAACAGAGCGCCTACTCGAACGGTCAGCAGACGTTCTCAAATGACATACGCAGCAACTCCGAAGCCACCTATCAGTATCTATATCCCCGACTCACACAGGAGACGGATCACACGTTGCACGAGCGACTGGAAAGTCAACAGGCTGATAACAACGTCGTGGCAGGAATGGAGTGTGGTATCAACCAGGCGACCAGTGCAGCGAGTATGCAAGGTTCGGTGAATGGTGTGCGTTTGTCTTAGTTATTTATGTATTTTTACGGCCTGCATAAATTTAACAATCGCATTAGCATGTCTTGAAAAGTATTGTTCGTAAAATATTTTATGTAAAAGTTTCACTTTCATCGCGCGCGCGCGACAAGCCTAACAAGCACAGACGTCCGTTTCTCGTTTTAATTAATTCGCTCGATATTTCATCAAAATCAGGAACAGTGGAACCGTTTTGGCCAAAATGGACCGCTCAAATCAGCAACAATTTAGAGAACATCCTCAACTACAATGTATCGAAACAAGTAGACTACACCAAGCTGGGCCAGACGTCCTGCGTGTATTGTTACGTGGCGCCGATTGTCTCGCAGAGATCCAGCCTAGCGAACAATACCTGCTCGCAAACACGGAGATATATTGCCGAGCAGAGACAGCACTCTTTCTCAGCTTATTGGATGCTCTACAACGATACGTCGCAAGGTATGCGAATGACAAATATATCCAACGATTATCAGCCCGAGCAGTCTGCGACGAGGACGACGACCATGACGACGACACACGCCAGTAATATTCCCAGCAACGACGACCTAAGGGAGACCGACATCGAGGCTCCGATCAACGATGTGTGGATGAATCAGTACGACGAGCCAACGGCAATCGCCGAGGACATCAACGTCCAAGTGTCGGATTCGTTTTTCTGCAACGTCACTGCTGTACGGATCGATGACATTCCTACGCCGGACATCGCGAAAACTTAAAAGCACGCCGTCGAATCGTGGTTCGAGGTAGATACGAGCAACGTTGGTCCGAGCCACGGAATGACAACGAAGAAGGTTTTGATCCACCAGAATAACCGCGATTCTTCCGTCTGCATACCGCGAATCGTTATTACGCCAGCTCAGAAGTGGGACAATCGCGAAGCTTTTCTATCTTTGAGCCGATATCTGAGCAATTATTTTGCGAGATCGCCGGCGGCATACGTTCTTCCGTTTCCATGTCAACGACTGACACATACGATTACTACGCTGACTTGGAATTCGAGCAAGCAATATCCAAGCCAGAAATCAATACCAAAGAGAAATGGAAGCAGAATAGTCGATATCATCTCGCAGATAGATAGTCGATTCTATCTACGAACACGTACGACGCTTCCATTATATTTCTATCTCCTAGAGAGATAAACGCTTCAGGTCTAAAACGACCAATATCATTTTATGTCTGGAAGTGGATAGACAAAACGTATATCACACTCCCCTTCTCTCGAACATGAGGCAATTAAATTTTTATGTTGTTATGTATCCGGACCGTTATTTGCGCAAAATCGTGTGATACCGCGCAATGTGAAGATTTATGTTTTTTTCTATAAGCAAAGGATCTTGAGAATTTTTACACAATGGAATTTACAGTGTGATTCTTATATGCCTTTCCTTAAATCACGCAGTAAGTCTGCAAGATATTGTATATTTTAATTATAAATAAATAAAGTCTAAGAGAGCATCAGAAACCGCACGTGTCTACATTTATATCTAGTAATTAGAAAATGATTAAGGAAATGTATACAAGGAGAGGTAGATCGCATAAATTAATTAAAAACTTACCAAATGAAGCTTAAAAGAAATGAAGAAATGTAGCAATAAACTTTTCACGACTCACCCGATATAGAGTCCGGCTGAAACTGCGAACGGATATAATTCTTCAGCTTCACAGAGATCGATTCTTTTCTTCGTCCTCTGTATGCTCCGATTTCGCTATCCATGTCGTCGGAGTTGCTCTTCCGCTCCGAGGATCTTCCCGGTGTCACATGTACACTGTACATTTTCGCTGATACAGCGTCGATTTATAAGAATTAAATCCTATCGCTTCTTCGGGAAGACGTCTTCCGTTTTTCAGTCAATCTACTTCACTTTTAATGAAAAACTGTCTTCAAAAAATTAAATCTGTTGGAGAAATCAAAAATTAAAATAAACAGAATATACAATAGGAGAGATTGATAAATTTATAAAACATGTTTCTCAATTTGTAACAAATTCAAAATTTCACATAATATATTTCCGTTGACCTCCTTTCCACTCGCTTATTTTTCAAGAGAAATACAGATTTTTCCCATTTCTTTTACTCGCAGTTCTCTTTTACCGTCGGAGCTTAAACGAACGTGTCGGATATCTCCAGATTTCGAGATTTCCTCACGTTTTCTTATTTTGCGTTAAAGTGTCGAGAGTAAACGCAAGATCAACGGTGCGAGTCGGCGCACCGTTCGCGAAAGACTGTGCTTCAAGTGCGTTAAAGGGAAGCATGTAAATGCAGCAGTAGCGTTATGTATATAATACATACGCCGGAGAGTGCAACCGGGTTGTATTCGAGACACGCGGTTTTAATGAGGTGCTTCGAGCGCACCACTAATTATTCCAGCGGCCTCACACACACTTTCGGCGCCTTTCCGAGTACTTATATGCGAGCGCGTATCCCGCAAGGACACAGTAATTAACCAGTCTTAATTAGTCGCGCTTTTGATAGAAGTATCCGATTATTCTCTGTAAGAATTATATATTTTATCGACAATTTCATCATCGAAGACGATATGGAAAAATTATATAGAGTTTCTGTGATAATACTTCTGTCATATATTTTAAATTATATGCATGACAGTCTACTTTAATTATATATATATATATATATATATATATATATATATAATGATGTATATATTATATAGATATATAGTATATATTATATATATAATATATATAGTATATATTATATAGATGATATATTAACGGTATTTGAATTGTCGTTTTAATATTAATCGGGAATATATATTAATGCTTAAGGAACAATCGCGGGATATTCTTTTCGTATTTATTACTTAATAATATGTAATTTTTATGCTTATCATAATCATTTCAATAAGTCTAAAACACTTAGAGAAATAGTAGCTTGTATTTATATTATAGTGATTGTATCTGTCAATGTAATCAAATTTTAAGAGCACAATTTATTTATTCTTATTTTTTCTAAGCAATCACTGGATCAATTTACAAATTTAAACTTATTACTGATTAACAGTCGATTGTGTTGCTACTTCCTCAGTGACTTGTGTCGGGGGATATTTCCCATCGTACCAATTCCCATTTAAATCTATTCCCCGATTGTGATTGACGATATTCGAGAGACATTCCTCAATTGCTGCATCAATATTTTTTGCAGTGATGAAAGTATCAGCCACTTCTTTAACCCTTCTGATCTGTTCATTGGCTTGTTTTTTCAATGTCTCCTGTTCTTCTTCTTTATTCATCATTATTTTAAAGATTTTTTCTTTATAAGCTTCTTTCTCTGCCTTTAACCTGACTTCTCGTATCTTTGCCACACTTGCGTTCCATTCGTCGTTTATGGCACTGCATGCTTGGAAATCTTCCTCTTCAGTTTGCTTGAGTTTTCTCTCATCCAGCTGTACTTCATACTTTTTAGCCATTTGTTGGATATATAATCTGATATGTTTGTATGAAATTTAAAATATAAGAGAATTTTGCTATTTTATATATTATATTTTATAATCAAATAAAATTATAAACATATAAATATAAATTATGGAATAATATGATTTTAAGACTATAGTCTAAGACCTAGATTATATAACATATTTGAAGGCTATAGTTGCATTCCGACATTGCCTGCTAGCACTGAAAATCTATAATATACGTAACACAAACTATGTAATTTCAATACTGGCAGTGAATATTAGAACGCAGCCTATATCTTTCTTTGTACACATACCTGAGTGAAGTCATATATGTTCTATAAGTGTTAAATAAACGTTTGAGTTCTATGCTTTCTTCTATAGGTATAACAGGTCTTTTTGGTATTCTAAACATTTTGGTTTTTCCTGTGGGTAACCAAATTGGCTTTCTTTTCCAACGTATGCTTTGTTTATAGACAGAATTTGGGGTAAAGGATTCACAGATATTTGAGTTCTTCATTATCGCCCTTATAGCCTGCATCATTCTTGAATCTGCCAAAATATTTATTCTTTATTAAGAAAATTGGCTTACTATATATTATCTTTATATTATATGTTTCTTGTAGATTATGAGAATTGTAGTTTATGTAATTAGATTTATTATCGCTATCATTTATATGATATATACTATCTATTTAATAAATAACACAACACACCTTTAAAACGTTTCAATCGTTATTTCCGTTTGTTTCCATTTATCACTGAACTATAATATCTCGTCGATGATATTACCTCGTCGGTGACAAAACTAAGGTTATGATGATCTTCACGCCTATGAATAAAATGTTACTAGAAGAGCTTATCACGTGTTAAAAGTAGATTTAACAGAATGTTTAAATAAAATAAAATAGAATGTATTTTAAATTTCTATACATACTACTTATTCCTACTAATTTAAATTTAATGTTTGGAATTAAAAAACTTAAAAATATCAAATTTTTCATATTTTTTTGAAAAGTCGTTTCGCACTTTGGATTGCACATTTAAACTTGTCCAAATTATTTTACATATTCTGTAAATGTGATTAATAATAAGTTATGTAATATAAGCAACGATAACTATTTTCATAGTAAAACGTCGTTGAATATATATTATTCACTATATATATATATATATATATATATTATGAACTAAAGTTACACATAAAATTTTGGATGTAAAAAAATATATATGAATTCAATAAAAATACATTCGACGATGGGAGAAATAGTTATAATTTATAGAATATGTTTATTGAAAATGATCGTGTATAATGCGACGTATCTATAATATACAACAACAAAAAGGATTCCGCAAACACATTCATTCTCTCGTATGATTTTCCTCTTTTTTTATCTTTTTACTTTTTCTTTTGAAACAATTAATAATAGTGTATTCGCACTATATTAGTTATCCTAATTATCTTCGTTATATTAATGGGTAATTAATTAACCTCATCACCACGCGGCATGACAATATGCATCCAACACAAACACAGATAAATCTTATCTCAACAATCGACTTCTAAAAGTATTATCGCCGTACATTGTTACATTATCGTTATTGTTTTTTCTTTTCTTTCTTTCTTTCTTACAAATATGCCCGAAAACGCGCTGTAGAAATTACTTAAAATATATCTGCATCGACGATAATCACAGATATTAATTTGTATTCTATACAATCTTGTTCCTGTTTCTTTTTTCTTTTTTTATCTTCTCTATTACACGCCATTCGCGGATCAAATATAACTGATGCATCGGTAATAATTAAAAAATCTACAAACCGAACAGGATTGCAACATATATAATTCTACCTGTATCGCGTAATTATAAATGTAATTAAATTACATAAGAAACAATTACATCTTTCGTATGTTCGGGACATTCCGAAAGATTCACGAGCTTCGATCAGTTGAACGATCGTTTTTTTTAACATTTACGATGTTAGAAACATTCTCGATGTTCGTCACATCTTGGATGGATAAAGGATCTTGAAAAAAAAAAAAAGAAAAAAAGAAAACAATATATAAGTTCTACGAAGACTGCGCTTTTCTTTCGGAACACCCGTAATATAGAAATCCTCATTATATACTCGTTATTTTATACTTGTTTTAACGTAGCGTGTCGCAACATCGTATCGTCGGGGTATCTCTTTGGCTTGGACGCAGACAGATTTGTGCTGTTCATCGTAGAAACGCAAGTAAAGGGAGAAACAATCCGTCTGTGTTTCGCAGTAATTCCTCAACGTAGGCGTTCGCAGTAAACGCATCTCGCAATTTTCGCCTTGGCAACATTTTGCCACGATGGACTTCGGAATTGAAGGGCTCTGGGCAGTGCCATGCTAAAACGTTCCCCAGATCCGAGGAGCAATCCTCGTGCGCAATGACGATGACTGGAAAATTATGTCTAACGTGAAGACGATTCTTCAACAAACATCCGTTATACAAACGCAAGACTTTCGCCGCTTGAAGACTGCTTTCACCTAAAAGCAACATTCATTAAAAGTCGTGTTCAAGACTGGCAGTATTTCGTGTGTATATTCGTATATGATAGCTACCGAGGAGCTAGAAGCACTACCGTACGGTTCGGCACTCTACTTACACTTAAGTTTCTTTCATCAAAATCGTTTGGTTACAAACCGACAAACAAGGACAAGCTATTATCGATCCCGCACTTAGCATGTCGACGAGCCCTTCAATCGTGAATTTGTGAGATTCTTACTTCTTTCATTTGCATCAAGTTTTCGCACGGTTTAATGTTATGTATAAAAAAATTCGTGGTTTGCTTCGAGTTGCCTCATCTCTTCGTCGCTTTTATATCCTTCTATGCTACCGGGACGTATCTAAGCACCACAATGATCGAATTATCGTTTTAGAACTCGTTTAAAAATGTTTAGAACTACGGGAAATTTCAAAGTTCGTAGAACCTTCATAGCTTAGACTCCTAAGGTACGTTTAGGGATCGCACTGAGATCCTTAGATCCTCGGATTTCTTAGAGCCTTGCAGCCACTCCTAGATCCTCGGATCCTCACAATGAATGAAGTCTGAATTTTTATCGACTCTTTTTAGACCTAGGTATGTCCTCGGGGTATCGACACTGGTTGAGAAAGTCTAGATTCTCGGCTCGGCCGAAGCTCAGGTTCAGGTTCTTAGATCCGTACGGACTTAGTCGCTCTGGAGTTAAAAATACAGTCTTGTAAGAAAGTGTCCTAAGTTTTAAGTCTGTCCTTATTACTGCACGAAAACGATGGCACATATGTTCCTAGCTTGGCTGCAAGCAAGAATTTGTCGTCGACGAATACTTGAGCTGTGTGTACACTTCATTGGTCGATCGAAGGAAGGCATTGTGTACAGGATGTGCGTCCACCGATTACAGAATTATCCTTCAACGACAGGTTTCTACGACTTCACGTTCGGACACGTCGAACTGATATCTATCATTGAACAAATAATGCGGTAGTCGTCGGACAGCCACTATATATGTATTCAGAGTGCAGGTTTCCTCGAACTTAGCATAAACGGTAACGTTTTACGTTTAAATCCTCATCTCTCCATCTGCAAGCAATCTTCTTCTCTTCGTCAAATCGAAAATTGCTCATTCATTCGCTCCACTATTACGAAGGCTGAGTCGCAACAAAGAAGCGAGAATCGGCAAATACTATCATTACAGTAAACAAGCATTAAACATTTTTTTCTCTGTCCCTCCGTTTTTCCTTACGCGTACAATCAATTAGAATAAAATACATATGCATAATGCCGGAGTATATATGTACAAGGTGGAGAAAGGATACCGACGTCTCCGGTAGTCTTAAGTAACACCTTGTGCATGCATACGTCGAATTTGGTCAACTCTCTCTCTCTCTCTCTCTCTCTCTCTCTCTCTCTCTCTCTCTCTCTCTCTCTCTCTCTCTCTCTCTCTCTCTCTCTCTCTCTCTCTCCCCTCTCTCTCTCTCTCTCTCTCTCTCTCTCTCTCTCTCTCTCTCTCTCTCTCTCTCTCTCTCTCTCTCTCTCTCTTTCTACATATATATATATATATATTTATATATATTATAATATTATCAAATGTATATATAAGAATATTTTGTACGACTATATTTTAATAAAATAGCTGATAAACAGTAGGTATATAATTATTCAACAAGTACTACGTTATAATAACATTGGCGGTTGATTGGAGGATGGATACTGGGATCTATATATATATATTCATTTGGATTATAAATCAATTGCAATCTTTTGTTAAATTTCATGTTTCTCATATAATGTATACATATATGGACGTAGATTCTTAAAGTTCCACATTGTTTTATCTCAAGTCGCATTTTTGGAAAGAGAATTATAGGGTTGTTCTTTTCAATTTAACCTGTAAATCTTTTTCAAAATTTTTGGATATTTATAAGTTTTATCGATATCTGTCGATGTTTTAATCTCTTTCCTCCAACAACCGCAATATAATGATAATAATATTAATAATAGTGATCAATAAGATTAACTAAGAAATTAAAAGATTAGACGGAACGAAAAAATAAGAAAGTATAAGAACAAGAATGTTCATTAGAATTTTAAATTCTCTATGTAAAATAGTTTTTGGTTATAAACTGTAAAACAGACAATATACAAATTACCCATTCGTAATAAACAAATTGTTCTAACGTCACTGTACCAAATTTCTGCCAACGTAATCGCTACAACTATCTCTACAAATCGTTATATAAATACATTTAAATATGATTTTTCACAAATCAGAAAAATTACATCACGGTATTTCCTCTATTTAAATTTAAATACAAAAAGGTTTTACGATTACAAAGGATTATTATGACTGTGTGTGATCCTTACGAATTATTTATAATTGCTACTTGGCAGAAATGTATTACTGTGTCTTTAGAGAAAATCTCCCTACTGTATACACGTGCGTAAAGATAATTCTTATATCCTGGGATTCTTATGTCTTCGGATTCTAGATCCTCAGACTTCAAGATTCCTGGACTCTGAGATCCCTGGAGTTCGAGATCTCTGGATTCCTAGATTCTAGAATTCTCAGATCTCTGGTGCTTAAATTTCTTGTTCTTATATATTCTGATCATTAAAATTTTGTTCCGGAATTCTTTGATCCTCGCATTCTCTTTTGAGATTTCGCAACTAATTAAATTCTAGAATTGATGAATCCATATTCCTCTTGCTCTTTTCTAATTCTACATAGATCTAAACACGCTAAAACACTCCTTCACTTTGGATTCGTAAATCCAGGAATTCAGAAATGTAAGAGACCTTCCCATTGTCCCATGTAAATGTTGAGCTTAACATTCGCGATAAGTAATAAGTGTAGACAGTAGTTTAGTTATCTTACAAAGCTAATCTCAAAGAACAGGGTCGTGACTATGTAACGGTTCCGAACTGGTATCACTGAGCTTAGCAGACCGCGCGCCGCCAATGGGAATCCCCCATCGCGCGCACGCCTATCAAAATAGAAGACCGTCGTTCTATTTTCTGTTCCTTCGGTCGTCGGTGAGACGTGTCGTCGCCTCTCCGTAAAAAATTACATCTCGTAAATAAAAATAACGTTTCTTTCACTTTTGTACGTTGATGGTAGTGCAAGGCCGTGGCACATGTTTTATCCTACAGCAGGGGTTCTCAAACTGGTGGGCATAAAAATCTCTCATATTAAAGAAAAGAAAAGAGAGACAATTGATACATAACTTTGTTAAAATTCATCGGTATTAATATCAATAAATTCAGCGTTTAATTCAAAATTTCAAATACATAATCTACTTTGGATATTAAATATTTTTCTACAAAATAACCTTTGCTTTAGATTATATACCACAAAACTTATTTTCTCAATTTCTTTGAAACGAGCTTAAAAACCTTGATTCTAGGTGTCAAATTTTATATTTTAGAAATGTTATATCTTATTATTAAGCATAATCATTTAAAAATTAAACGACTTTATATAAATTACAGACAAAAGAAACTAACAAAAGATAAATAGTCGATATGCTTCATCCTATTTTGCATTAATATATAACATATAAAATATATATACAATTTTAGATCGAGAGACGTCGCTGTGGATTATATTAGTATTCTATCTATGGATCATCACTGTTACATGGACGTTGGAAAGTTTGAAAACCCCTGTTACTACACAGATTATATCACGTGTCGTTAAATATATAAATAACCCGCAAGCTCTCTCTCTCTCTCTCTCTTTCTCTCCCTCCCCCCCTTCTTTCTCTCTCTCTCACTTTTTTCTCCCCGAGTCGTCTATGGCCGAATTCCTGTTTCAATTATAATTGTTTGATCATTACCGTCTGATGAATTTGGTCCATTCGTCTGGCTTATTCATTCACGTTCTTAAATTGAAGCTACTTGAACGATTCGCGATGTCACACATTTCAGCACAATTTCAGTAACAATGCGACGTTCTCTTCGTTATCTTCGTGATTCAAGCCGATGGAATTATTCGATTGACCGTGGTCCATCAATGGGCATTGTGTGCAATACCTCATCTAGTAACTGAAGTGCCCTATGTAAATGCACCTAGAAAATAAAATAGAATCACTATTTCACGTTTATGAAATAAAATTGTACAACGTTGAAATTATAAGTAAATAGTTTTTCTTAAAATCATTTTGATCAAAATTTTTAATGATCTTAAATATGACAAAGATATTCCTCCATCCCATGATAAACTACATAACCGTCATACCTCGATCCAGCATGGGGTTTCCTTGATGCTTTGTCGCGGGTAATCCGGACCCCAACCTTTCACGAAACTCAAACGCAGAATACAAAGTCTTCGTAAGTCATCAACTCCAATACCCGCAGCTGCGCTGAGACCTTTAATGTAATTGGGATAAATAATTGTTGCTTATATTAAGTATCGCACACATTAAGTGTCAGTATAGATGTAATTTTAATAATTCATATTTAGTTATTGATAAGAATTATTAAAATTTGATACGGTGTTTCTTAAACGTGTCCATAAGTTCTTACTTTTGGTGATAGGTGTCCCGTGCGTAAGATGGCCAGCCACGGCTGCAGCCTGAGCTGCTGCGGCGGCTTGGGCTGTAGCAGCCTGGCCACGGATCTGTTTATGACACTGCCGTAAATCGAACACTTTGATGTACGCCGAAGGATAGATTTTGTGAACAGCGTCACCAGGTGCTCGACCTGCCTCTCTGTCCAGATAGTAGGACTGCACAAAGACACTGTGCTCACTTTGGCATCTCAGCCACACGTCTCCCTCACCTCTAAGGTCCAGGACAACACCTTTCCCTGAAATGATACTCGTGTCATAATTATCGATTCGTTAAATATTGATACCGTTTCTTTTAAGCACAACAATTACCAATGTGAAGACGCGCTCTTTCACTCTGCTCAGTTCTGTGCACATTGCTCAAGGCACCTAAGCAGAATCTGTTACCTCCACTTGGATCCACATAACCATCTATGGTAACAGTGCGACAACCACTGCTGACTTTGAATGTCTCACCAACTTGAATGTCTAGCTCAAAGTATCCAACGGAACACCAGAATTCTGGCGCTGGTTGTGTAGACAATAACCCACCGACGTTCTCGCTAACATCGTTCCCATGGCCTCCTCCCCCTGTAATCAAATTAAATTCCTTATGAATAAAGTAACAGATCGATAAAGTTCATTAACATTTCTTGTGTCGATCTGAAGTTTACATTTCGAAACAAAGACACTAAAAATGAAAAACATAAAAACTTTCTCGTAGATATATTTCTCCAAGGAAAAATTCATCTATATGTATATTGATTATACGTTACGAGTGACTTTAAGATCTTTATATACTTTACACTCTCTACGGTGGTTTTTCATCATATTGTAAAATATTCTTATTATAATTTAATGTGATAAACTCACAGTACGACGTCGTATGAAGATGTCGGTGATCTGGTGGTTGCATGCTTTGAGTGTAAGTAAGAGTATTAGCACCGGTCCACTGAGGTGCCCCGGAGTTGTAAGGAGCGGTGCCCACGGGAAATCCATTGGCATGATGGAGATGCACAGGTGACACGGGAGAACTCTGGCCTTCGCCTGTTCAAGCACAAAGAAACGAACGATGCAGCGTGTACGATCGAGGAAATGTTGAGAGAATTTAAAGAGTTGACAGATTCGTATCCGAGTTTCCTCGTAGAAGTGTCTGTGTTTCAAAAGGATATAGTAGTTTTCGGGTCGATTGGTGTCTAACCGATGTGGTGTCTAACCGGCGCTACTGAACTGATTATATACCTAAAGAAGCGGCTAGCGCGTCGACTGTGGGGGATTGGTTGATATCCTGCGGTGGCGTGGTGGTTCCGTAAAACGTGTCGGTCGACTGTCCTTGCGCGGGATTCATAATCTGTGCGCCGGACGTGCCGCTGGACGCGTTCAATGACTGTTGTTGGCTACCTACGGTGTGACTCATTGGATGTACTACCGCTGCAAAATCAAAATTCATACACGGATGCAGGCAACAAAATTAAAGGCAAAACCGAAAGGCTCTCGCGTAATCATCACATGACTGACTGTTCCGAAACGTGCGTGGACCGCACGAGCCAGTACTCCCCAAAGAGACTCCGAACGCTTGCTAATTGTAACTCGTAGATGCTGATGTTCCCGGAACGCTTAGATTCGTAGATAACAATTCTGATTGTTGTTTCAAACATATAGAACGTGCGCGAAGGCAATGTAAAAAGCATATGTTGAAGACATAGCGTTCTAACACCTATGTAGAATTCTTCTTCCTCCTATTAATTTCCTTTGTTTCAAATTTGCATAGAGATAGCCACTTTAATTATATCCTCCGTCTCGGAACTTAAGGATTCTGCAAATGGCAATTTGAATTCAATCTGTGCGAAGCGCTAGAATTAAAATCTGTGAAGATCTGATTCAAGTCTATGAGAAATCACAAAGAAGGCAACACTGGCAACACTGAAAGAGCGCAGACTAACCAGCGACAAAATTTGTAGCTCTTTAAATAAAATAAGGCATACATGTGGTACATGAGATACGTACGATGGTGTAAATTACGGCCTGCCGAATGATGAGGCGTGGGAATCCAGGTTTGCCTGGGGCAATTATTGTCGTCCAGTTTAGTGTGGGGATTACCATTATTGCCACCCCCACCGGCGCTAAACATACCCTCGGTACTGGCTGTGCCGAACAATTAGAAGGAAAAGAAAACAATGAAGCCAAAACAAAAAACTTTGAATATGCAACGAAAGGAAGAAATTTGCGAAGCGAGTTCTCTGTTTGCCTAAGATCTACATTCGCAAATTACACGAAAGCAGCTGCTCGTTAGCTTAATTCAAATAATCAACCATCGTAGCACAATTAGATGGTGTACCATGGCCAAAGCCCAATTCAAGTCAGTCAATTCATGATATACTCGTCTATTTCTACAAATTTAACTTACCAGCCATAGCTCGAGACATTGTAATGCTAACCTTAATTCGTGTTACACTGAGACAAACATACCTAAATAATGTACGTCAGAAAAGAATGTAAAAGTACTTATCTTGAATAACTTCTGATAAATACGATACTTCTTAGGATCGTGATAAAAAACATTTATACAAAATTTTCTCGGGCTTTAGCCGTAACGTATCTATGTAAATTTCTTTTGGAACGTAACATGTTAAATATGTAACTGCTTACATTAGCAATTCATATCCGAGAGATAAGGATATGTATCACACGATTTGTTAAGGTGTACTCCCATCTAATGGCCAGACATTAATCACAAACAAATGTGCAGCACAGATTCGCACTTGTGTAAAGCCAATTGAATTGAAATTACGACTAAGTAAAAGTTTCGAGAGGAAGAGAGGGAAAAAGAGTGAAATCGAGTCGCAACATTGTACTTACTTGGATTAGGCGGTGGTAAACCCGGTATAAAGCCTTGTTGAGCTTGTTGAGCGTTATTCGAAGCGGCAGGCTGTGCCGAAGGATGATGCTGGATGGTCTGGTTCATCTCGCCGTCCACATCCATCGCAGAGCCGGCCGCGGCAGCTGCAGCCGCGGCAGCAGTGCCGCCGCCGCCGACCGTGTATTCATCTTTGACCAGTCTACCGCCAGGTCCTACGCCTACTCCGGATTGCAGTGTCAGCCCCGACAGGTCTGTAAAGAACGGATCTGTGCGGGAAAACCAACCCATTCCATCACACACCAAGACCACAACAATCAATGATCAATGCTCTAACAGACTGCATTCGTTAGCCCCAGGGAATGCACTGTTTATCTTTATCTTGTTTGACAATTACAGTCAGGAATAATTTCAAATAATGAAGACTAAAACTTAACTGAGCTTAATTGATCTTCTATGATTGTAATGGATTCTATGATTGTAACGAGAATAAAAGATAATGGTCTGAAATCTGAGAGAATAATAAAAGAAAAAGATAAAGATAAAACAGGTATAAAATGGATGCATGCAAGAATATAAAACACAAATACTAACTAAAACAAAGACTATATCGTAATACAGAATACGTCGTAACATACCTATGCCAGGTGACACCACTCGCTCGTAGTGATACGGATTCACACACACTGAGTCGCATTTTAAGTCGAAAGCAAACTGGCAATACTTGACATGTTTCAACTCGTTCTTGTGCAGATCCGGCCATCTCCAGATGCGTGCATAGATTACATGTGGAAATCCTTTTCGTCCTGCTACCTGCAGCCTACCATCTAAAGTTCTTTGGATAGTGACGCATTTGCTGGGATGTGCACCATTGGTGGTGATTGCAGTGATCAGACTATCCAGTTCATCACGTTTTTCCTAACGATACCAAATACAAATGTCATTAATTATGCATGCAACAAAAAATCAATTTTTGTAATTATAAATCGCAGAAATGTTTTTACAATATGATGAATGAAGAGAAAATTATATATTATGCTATACACAAATTTGAATTAGGTTTTATACGTAAAATTAATAACGTATAGACACAGATATAGAACTTACTTTAAGCTTTTTTACCAAAGACTCAATTGCTCGTTTACTGAAGCCTTCACTTTCTCCACCTTGGCGATGGCACATTAATGAATGTACAATACTCAAACAAGCATCGGCACTGGTTGGTGCGCTAGGTGCAATTCCAGTCATTTCTCTCACTTCATTAAAAAATAAACAAGATATAAAAAAAATTAGATGAATCATAACTAGGAAATTTGGTTAATAACTAGGAATCTTATTGCTGATATACTCTATATAACAAATATAATATTAGTACTTACACTCTGGATTAGGCTGCATGGGGGGCGAGGGATACAAATGACCTCCCCCGCCCGCCAATCCAACCATCTCTGTGAAAGCCGTGGTGGATACTGTTGTGCTCCTTTCCTTGAGACACAAATCTTACCCTTGGACTTGGCACAGTCCAGTTCTTTAGACTTTATCATCTAGCAACAGTATTTCATCCATGTGTCACAATAGTTGCTTTCCTGCAAATAATTCCAATTATATTTTACGCAGCCCTCAATCTATACCACAATCTCACTAGCAGTTAGTTAGATTCCAAAACATCATTTACTCCACTACATATAGTAACAAAGGCACGAGTCTGCCTTTGTTTACCCACTACCGTTAATGATATTTTAAATGTATCATTCTGGTGATGATTAACCGGTGTCAACGCATTTATCCACATACGACGATGATGAAAATGTCCTAAAATTCATTACAGTTCGCCCCGGCGAAATATCAAAAACCTAGACTTACATTCGAGTGGAAAGATGTGAGACGCAGCTCAGGCCGAAGACACGAGGTTTGTCAAGCATACGAGATAAGCAAGGCACGTCTAACAGAGATGGCTACGAGACATTAGTAAAACCTCCCAGATGAAGAAGAGCTTGCCACAATTCACCGAACGCAGATACGTCCAATCCAACTTACAAGGATAAGGTGAGATGACAGTTGCACGCGATGAGACGCTCGCGCGCGATGATGTTCGACGTCGGCTTGCGTCGTCGATCGAATTCACGACGTGAAGCGTCGCAGTGACGCGAAGTTACGGGCGGTGCAAGAGTTAAATTGATCTGCGTCTTCTCGGCGGGCCGTTGATCGGCGAGCACAATGCGCGACAGCTTAGCTTTCAGCTATTGTTCACGACAATTCGCGCCGAGCGTTGCTCCGACTTGCATAGGTTAGCACATCAATAATACATATCCGCGGGGCGCGGATGATGTCGCTTCCGCAGTACGGCCAACTTTTGCTGGCGAAACGAACATTGGCAGCAATTCCGCCAATCTGCTCCTCAACTGCATCTCTTTGTAAATTCTCTCCTTGAAGAATGCACGTTTCAAACGCATCTTCGATGCTCAGTTTTATTCAGCCATGATCATGATATGATAAGTTATCTTCTGATAACATCGTTTATTTGAATAATTGATATTAAAGCAAGATACAATACCTGTATTCATAGTCCTTCCTTGAGAAATAAGAATTCCTTATTTTACATTTCATAAACCTTCCTTGACCAAACAAGGAGCCTTACTCAAGGGCTCCCTTATCTCAAGGGAAGTCACTTCCTTGAGGAGGAAATGTTACCTTAAATCTGTGTTCGTTTCCGCTGCACTTCTGAACTAACGCACAAAAGTGCAATAAGCACTTTTAGCACATATGCGCAAAATAAATTAACATAACCTGCAATACTTACTCTTGTCCCATTACAATTTCCTTGTGATGTCGTGCTTTCAAACTGAAAGTATATAAAGGAAAAAAAGGATAATGGGCAAGAAATTTTTAAATGATTTTAGCGAAGAATTTTTTTTTTCAATAACCTCCTTAGCGATAAGCTGCGCCAAGAGCATTCGCTCTCGCTCCGTATAATGTACGTTTTTATTATCTTTATCAATATTACAATATGCTGCTAAACTGGTACTGGGTTATAGCTGCGTTCCGATATCCACTGCTAGTACTAAAAATCTATAGCTCGTGTCACGTATATTATAGAGTTTCAGTACTGACAGTGAATATCGGAACACAGCCTTCCTTCCTTCCTTCCTTCTGGAAGGAAGACTCGAGATCCATTTATGAAATGAAGATGACCTTGGAGATTCAAGGAATTCTTCATCGAGGTTTCCTCCATCCTTAAGATAAAGAAGGATTATGAATACGGGTATAAAGTACACGATTTTGATAAAGAGAGCGTTGTACCGAAGGTATCGACATCTATTCTGAGAATCGTAACTACGAAGTGCTTTGCCGTCTAGGTCGCTTTCTAGGTCTATAACGAACGATTGCGGCACTGAGTGATTGCGGTGAGATGCGGGTTTGAGAATTATTAATTTCATGTCTTCATGATTTCGATTCACTGCAGGTGAGTCTCGCGTACGTCGTCTGAATTGCTGAAGATATATATCATGAATGAGTTATTGCAAGATGTCATGAAACAGTCGTTAAAAGTACCTCGCGATAATGTACCGGACAAAGCACTGTCCCTAATAGAGGTTTAAAGTCATATCACTGTTCTTTGTGTTTTTGACATACGAACGGAAAATTATTATCAAGATTGCCATAAACGCATTCTCGGCATTTGTCGTGGTCAAATATCGTTAAAATAAATATCTTGCATAACGATGTACGGAGTAGCGTGTGAAGTTGGCGCGCGTCGGTCGACGCTTCAAGTTCGTCGGTACTTCAAGCATCCTAAGATGCGCCGTCGTATGCGCAGTAGTCAGAAGACGGTTAGCATCGCGATGATACGTGTCTGAAGAACTACTCCGTACTTCTCGTGATTTTATTCGCGCCGAAAGTGAATCTCGCGCGCGAATTATTGTCTCCGGAGATGCCAAGGGGAAGTTTCGTTTGCTCGTTGACAAATTATCATCGAGCATTCATTAAACGAGCGAGTATCTTGCGAAACGGCCCATCGAGAATGCCGAGCTAAGTGTCGTGTGTAGTTCGGATCTATCGATGCCTTATATATTTCGGACCCATTAACGGAAAATTCGATACCCGCATCATCACCGGAAGCGCTGTAAGTAACTATTCTGCGCTACTCTTAGCAGGATATCATTAAAACATCATCGAAAATGAATATCTCATATAGCAGCATCGTGAGTGTCGAGTGAAGTTGGCGCGCGTCGGTATTTCGAGAATCGCAAGATGCACGTATATGCTGTGAACCAAAGACAGATGGCGGCGCGATCAAGACGAGTCCGAAAATTCGTTTCGTGTCTCTCGAGATTTCGTTTCTCGTCGGAAATGAATCTCGCGCGCGAACTATCGTCACCAGAAATGTCGAAAGTGAGTTTCGCGCGTTTGTTGTGACGAAATATCGTTGAATGTGAGTATTTCGCGAAACAGTTTATTGGCAGTGCCGAATAAAGTGTCGCGTGTTTATTACGACGTAACGGTCGAAAAGGTTTTAAGTCATCGTTTATGACTCGTCAAAAGTCTCGCGTATGAGATATCATTGGGAGTGAGTTTCGCGCGTGAGATATCGTCGGGAGTGTCGAAAGTGAGTGTCGCGCATGTATCGTGATGAGACAATGGGGCGGTTGCAGAACGTGTTATCGAGATATTTTCAAGGATGTTCAACGAAAAATATGGTAGATCGAAGTCCTGATTGCTTATATGCTGATCATTGGCTGCAGGAAATCTCTCTGTACCAATTTCGTAAGTCACATGTTTTATGATATATGATCTTACGTAGAGAAGCTATTAATAAAATTATACTTCCCTATATAACATTATTTTATTATATAAATTATTATTTTTAATTTATTTATTTGTAAAAAAATGAGTAAGAAATATGAAACTGTCGAATGTCTTTCTGTTGGATTATATGTTTTACAAGAGGGGGTGTAACTCAGTGGTAGAGTGTCTGCTTCGCATGCTGAAAGTCCTGGGTTCAAATCCCAGCTCCTCCACAACAATATTTTTTTTTCTATTCTTTTTGTTCATTTATTTAAAGTTATATAATCGATGTAACAACATATTTGATTTCAATTGCAAAATATTTTCAATTATAGTTGATGTAAGTATTCGTCTATATCTTTTCTGACATAGACTTGCTTGAAATTAATACGTAAAATCCAAATATTTGAGACTTATAGTTACTTATAAATCAATAACTTGATAACATTACTCCGTAATAATATTTGACAGTTTGTCAGTTGATAATTGATACAGCAAAATGTCGAGCTGACAAATGTCGAGACGATCTTCAAGTAACGTAAATTTGACGTAACTGCAATGTTCTTGGTGAATCTTCTATTTCCAAGAAACGTAATATATTGCCTAGTGCTGTTTAAATAAATAATTTAGTTTAGATTCACGTAAATTTTTTGAACAGATTGAATTTTAATTATTTTTAAAGATGTATTACTTTGTGTTTGGTTTTATTAAAACAACAGCTACTGCTATGTACGATTATTACCTTTTTTATCTTTAGAATCCATAAACATGTTAACGATGGAAAATCGACTCAGTTGGCTTAATGAATATAGCAAATCTGCAAGTAAATCCATGTCATTCGGTGTACAGAATTGTTGCTCCAAACAACGCAAAATAAGACTGAACATCGCTCCATCCAATTTATTACCTATAACTATAGAGATTTAGATTAAAATATTATCTTTCAAAATCACACGTGTGCTAGATAATTATTTATTATGTAACTTAAGCCTAGAAAATTTTATCCATTCGCGTATTAGAAATTAATATTTTATAATCATTGTTGATTTGTAGAACTTACATTTATTCAAGTCCCTGTGCGCTATAGATCGCAAAAGCTTCGCGTGTAACTGCAAATTAGTATTATTCTTCAAGGATTCCCACAAACGTAGGAATTCATAAGGCGATTCGACATTTTCCAGTCTCTGAAAACAAATTCTCCTGTGACGTATTTTCTTTCATATTTTTTCCTTCTTTTATTACGCAGGAATGCTTCGAGATTCTGAAATCATACCTGGACGTCCATTTCAAATTGATCGTTCTCCTTCCGGTTCTCGTCAACTATCTGATTCTTATTGCACGTTAAATTATTCTTTGTTTTGCTTACTCTCACGGGCGAAATTGATTCTTTATTTTTATCCGCGCGCATTCTTGTCGGTGGATCGTTTTCATCTTTCGTTTCTTTCATCGTTTCCACTCCCGCTTTGTCGGAATCGCCAACTTTTCTCGATTTGTCGCACATTCCATCGCTCGGAAGTTCCTCGATGATAACCGACGATTTACCTTTTTGGGACAACGACATATACGAAAAAATAGACTTCTGCAGGCTATCTTTTACGGCGCTCGGTCTGGGCAGCGATTCGCGACGAATCGTGAAAATGTCGTCGCCCTTGTCGCCGGCGTCTCGCGTTTTCGACGTTTTATCCCCACGAACGGGATCCTTCGCAACAGGTGATAATTTATCGCCGCTCGCAGCGGCGCGCGTTGTCATCGCGTTGCTTTTATTTGCAACGGCGTTTGCTGCTTTGCTGCTCTCGCTGCTTTCCACGCAGTAACTCGCCTTTATGTGCGGCTTCGTCGCGACATTTCGCGACGAGCCCGGCGCTCGGTCGCAGTAACATATATTGCTGTTAACACGCTGTTTCGGCCGCGTGGCGCTCTTCATTTCCACAGTTTCCTTCGATTTTATCGGCTCGGCCTTGTCTTCGCCGTCGCTGATGTTCTCTTCCTCTATCTTCATTCTGTAATGTGGTCGAAAGTCAACGACGACAAAGTGACGTCCGTGTACACCTCTGCTAGGCGATTATCGCTTCGCGAAAAGTTAAAAGGATACTTGGGCAAAGACTTTTACCTTGTTTTCTTCGATTCGCACGGTTTCCTCAGCTTGTTCACGCCCGATATCGCAGCTTTATTAGTCGGCTCCAATATCAAGACAGTTTCGTAATCGACCAGAGCCTGCGTATGAATTATGTATGTTTGTATATTAGTGGTTATTATGGAATTAATCAAATCGATTACATGGAATTATGGAGTGTGATTTATGTAGAATATATAATTATCCCTGCCTGCTGCAGCTTCTCGAGATGTTCCAAGGATAGTGCTCGGCGAAGAAGCGCTTTGACATTTGTGTAATCCATGCTAATTACCATATTGCAGTCGTTGAGCGCGTCCTCATAACGTTGCAGCTTTATATCTGCGTATGTAACACATGCCAACTCGATCTTGTTGCAATGTAGAATTGTGATTGGTATTTCGACAAATATCAGAATTAGAACTTTACAGAATCCGACTTTTTTCACAAGTCCCCGAATTTTAAGATAAATCACGCAACGAATGAATTTTAATCTTTTATGAATTGCGAATAACTTTCCGTACCGTTTAACTTATAAAATATATATGCAATCATAGCCTTCAGAAGAAATTCGGAAAACTTAGACCTGATCCTTTCTTTGAAAAATCTCACGTAATCTTGTTCGAAGTCTATTTGCTAATATCTATTAATATAGAATGAATCTACTCGCATGTCATGGCTCGATTGTTGTAAGCCATTATATTCGAGTCCATCTCAATACTAAAGTTGTAATGTCGAAGTGCCTCTTCATAATCGGTCGCTCTGAAGGCTTCGTTCCCCTTTTCTCTCTCTTGCGTCGCCATCATGTCCAATTCCGTGCCGGTTAACGAACCTAGAGATAGAAAGAAATTGGCAGATTTAGTGCAAGATTTAATTCCACCAAAATTAGTAGTGGCGTATTTGTATACGGTAAGTTAGGGTACACGCGGTACGTGTCCAGAAATCCCACATCGTTGAAGAGAGTGCACGTGAAATAAAGTGCGAGGATTTATATCTGGGACACCACGTTTGATCATGAATCTACTCGGTAGTTCTTCGTTTTCTCAACAGTCGTCGTTAAGCTCGAAAAAGTTACTTCGCGGACTTACGTTTATCGACTGCCGTTTTATGCGCCGTCTTGCTCGTTTTGTCCAGCTCCTTACGCCGTTCCTGGATTCTCTTCATTTCGGCCTGTCGCTGCTCGTCCTGCAGGTCTATCCTGTTTATTTCCGTGTCGGCGTCATATTTATCCCAAGCCGCGTAATCACATGAGGATATTCGTTTGGGCTTAACACGCCTCTTCTCGTTGATCCTGGCCTTTTTGCCCATGAGACGCAAAATTACGAATAAATTTATATCATTTTGCTTGCAACCTTTCGCATGAATAAGAGTTAAATTACGTTTCAGCTTTGTAGTTATTCATAATTATCCGCGTGATTACGATTCCATTATTGGAGATTAATTTGTTTCTACGAGAACACGATATCGTGGCAATGAAATACGAATGTTAGGGGTTTTGAAGTAGATGCATCAACGTCTCGATAAAATATACGTTTGTATACTTTGTCCATTAATCCGACATACCTTCGTGTTCGGTTTAGCCTTTCGAATTCCCGGCTGCGAGGAAAAGTCATCGATGACGAGGGTGGCTTTTTCTTCGTCCATGTCTCTCTCGCGAGATTGCATCTCGCACGTCCAATTGCCGATCTCGTCGTCGATTTCCCGCCGTTTTTCCGGGCTCAGCATGTTCCTTCTCAAAACTGGCTCCTCTTTTCTCAAAATAGCACTCGTCGGCTTAATCCTGGCGAGACGCTCCTCCGCATGCTTCGTCAAATCTGGATATACTCCTTCTTCGCCAGAACTGGTATTAAACCGCAGGTGGAGAAGTTTATGACGAATCGTTAATAAACGTGCCGGAAAATAACGGGTTTAATGGCGCTTTAAGTAGCAAGGTTGCAAATCTCGTTGACGATTAGCACGGGGATTTAAAAATTATCCGTACGCGCTGTAATTATCATAATGTACCGCGCATACATACACTTGGCGGATATATACGCCAAATAGGAAACGTCGGGGATGGAATTAATAATATTGCGCGCTCGCGCGTATGTGCGCTTAAGTTTTTAAGGAAGCAACTTTATAAATATGCCTCAGAGGACGTTAAGGAGACTCCCAACGTCGACGAGCGGGATCAAATAATAATTAGCTTAATTAGCGTTAGCGTGAACGCGTCAAGTTCTTCGTTCCCCCCCTCTGAGTTTCCGATGATATTTTTTTCAAAAGAACTTACCGCAGAACGAGGACGATCCGCTCCAACGTCCTCGCGTTGGAGCACTCCGAGATGAATTCGTACGAGAGATTGTTGACCGGTATGTTGTACCTCTCGAGCAGTGTTTTCTTCTCGGGTTTCGCGGAGCTAATTAGATCTACCTCCTCGTTACCCATAATGACGAAAGCGGAGAACGAAAGCGGAGTGGATTATATACGTCGGCAAGACCGCAGGTTACGTCGACAGTCGACTCGGTCCGTGCGTTTGGCGGAGACAACAGCTGAACAGCAGTTGAGTAGCAATCGAACCGGATTTGTTGGATCTGCCGGCACATGCCAATCACGTTCAATTACTACTCAACGGTTGTCTCTGCGTCTGACGGCCTCTTTAATTCCAAGTTACCAGGGATACGCGAGCTGTTGATTCCCCACGCGACTCGCGCACAAGCTCTCTTTCCTTCACAGCGATCGATAATGCCTGAAATAGAAACTTATCGTTCGTTAATTTTCTATGAGGTGCAGTCCGGAATGATAAATAATTCAAATATGCCGAATGATAAGTCCTCAACGAGAAGCCGAATCGAATTCTCCATTTATGGATAATGAAGATTGCAAAATTAGAAAATAATAACTTTGAACTTTCACGGAGAGAAGTTGAATTGCGAATAATTTGCAGTTACCGTAAAATAATTTGTACTAAGAATTTGCAAATGTGGAAATTTCACATTTGTTGTCATTGCATTTCATACATACACACACACACACACGAAGAGAAAGAGCGACAGAGAGAGAGAGAGAGAGAGAGAGAGAGAGGAACGTTATATTTTTAAATCTTTAAATCCCTCTAACTCATAAAATTAAGACAAATTACTGAAATTCACAAAGAAAAACCAGGTTGTGAATTTAAATCAAATTCTAGTCAAACAATACATTTATAAAAGAAATGAATTCACATCTCGTCTGCCAAAAATGCTACAGTTTGCATCTATAAATTTGCTTAACCTCGCACCTCGCAAAATTAAAAATATTACTAAGAAAGTAAAGAAAATCACTCTGCCAAATTCCCGGAGAGAAATCGAATAATCCGCGGATGATCCGAGCTCGCCGAGTGATTCATTCATGACGAAATTAATCCCACGTTTCCACCTTCGACGACACTGCATCCTCGTGTTTCGAAAAATTCACACGATCCTGTAACACACGCATGCAGTGTGTATAAATTTCTAAAAATTCTACAAAAAAAAAAGAAAGACCAAGATAATCGCGAATATTCCAAGCTCACCGACAATAACACCCAATATCCATTTCGTCTCCCCATGGAAGACGAATTCGCGTCCGCACCTTCGCGACACGGTACGTACGCGTTCGCGAGAGTAGTACCTACCTTTTCCGTCAAGTTACCTCCACCTCCTCCTCGTCCTCTTCCTCCTCCTCCTCCTCCTCCTCCTCCTCCTTCTCCTCCTCCTCCTCTTCCTCGTCGACTACCGTGGACACGCGCTCCGTGCAGCAGGCGCTGCTCCTCGCGCTCGGCTTACCGCGCGCGCTTACCTGTTAACACGGCAGTCGGCTTGTAGCCCTGCGACGCGCCAGTACGCGGACGGAGAAGGCGTGCGTACAAGTCTCGCGATCGGGTCGCCGTGCCGGGGTTCCCGGTGAGCGCAGCCAAGTGCATATTAGACGAGGCGGCCGCGAACGCCGCGCATTCGCCGGCGAGCGCTCGCTGAGACTGGAGAGAGAGAGCGTGCGTGCCGCAACGACGTTCCGCTCCCTCGTGCAAGTGCACTCGTGTGGAGAGAGAGAGAGAGAAAGAGAGAGAGAGAGGGAGAGAGAGAGAGAGAGGGGTATTCCCGCCCGTTCCGTGAAATACGCTCGGCAGCCGTCCTGCCGAAAACGCGACTGCGATCATCTTTGACGAATTCGATTGCTGGAAAGCCGCGTACTCTTCGCCGAAAAGCGCCGTGCCGCCGACCTCGGCCCGTCGTTTGTGCTTGAGCGCCGGTAAACTGTGGCAGTTTCGGCGAGAGATAATTTTGTCGCCGTCTGGAACTAGAAGAGTGTGTGTGTGCTCCGATCCGAGCGATCACGAACAGCGAGCCGCCGGCTGGTTTGTTGATAACACGCGATCTCCTGAGAATTGTAATCGCGTAGACGCGCACAGCGGTGCGCGTCCTGACGCGCCGTCGAAAGCGTGCACGGAAAGTGCTTCTTCTCCACCAGTGCACCGTCGTGAATTTCTAAACGTTTACCGCGGTTCAACGTACCGTGACAACTGAGTTACGATCGCCGGCGCGAGTCACGGTTGTGTCTCGCGCGATCGCCGAATTATATCGCAGCCGTTCCAGATGCTGTAATCGTGAGAGAACGCGTTCAGGTAATTATCACGCTTCACGAGGAGAGAGAGAAAGAGAGAGAGAGAGAGAGAGAGAGAGAGAGCGAGAAACGTTCGCCAAGATACCTCTCGGGCCGTTTTGGCAGCGAGAGAGAAATTAAAGAGCATATGATTGACTCTCTCACAGGCACTTTTCTCGGCAGAAGTTAATTTTTCCTTATTAAAACGCACTGGAATTTAATTAATCCAGCCACGCTGAGACACGCGATTCACCGAGGTGTCTTGGTGAACGTTCGACATGTAGAAATGTGTATTATTTAATCCGCGGCTTGTCGGCCTTCCTCAACGTGCGGCTACTATGCAATTTGCGATTGCTCGCTTAATTATCGAAATTAATTTATGCAAAAACTCGACACACGCATGTACGCGTGCACGCGCCTGAGTCGAAATCAGAGTGTGAGTGTGTGTGTGTGTGTGTGTGTATGTGTACGCGTGTGAATGCTTGTGAATTTCGACACGGATAATGCAATTATTATGAAGCCGACTCACCGTCGAGCGTCGATTAACTCTCGTCGCGATTCAATCGATTTTCGGTCCTTCTCTCTTCACCGGGTCGTAGTACTTAATATTAACGTTGACGGACAATTTAATTGATTACGATTATTGCCGATCGACGTTGATAGACGTGTAATATCAATGTGTATTAACTGATAATCAGGTCCGCGCTGTAGAGAGCCTGGCGAAAGAGGAGTTATACTGCGGATCGAACTGCATGCGCGTATCTATCTTCTTCTTTCGCGCAAACTCTATCGTCGTACTTGAACATGGTCGAGTGTGTGTTTATACGCGACTGCTTGTTTATTCGTGAGAGTCACTCCAAAATGTTCGAAAAACGCGCGGCGATTATTTACACCGTGATTAATCCGCCGTAGGAGATCGGTTTGGTTTTTAAATAAATAAACTGTATATATATCTGTGTGTCATCTAGTATTTGCACACCGCCAAGTGGCTACGCGAGGAAGCCACTTATGCGATTTCCTATTACAACGTTCTGTCGCGAGCAAACGAGTCGATTTTCATTCGCGCGACTGACAAGCGCTAAATAAAACGACGTCACACGCCAAAATTAAAATGGACACGGTCGAATAAAAACATTTGGTTGGTCGCACAGCAATGACCGCACGGATCTGTTATCCGAGCGGATCGTTTCGGCGAAATTATTCTCGTCCTACTGAAAGTATCACTTCTTTCAGATCGACATGATTTGCTTTAATTGACGTTATTTGAGATAATGCAACTTTTTAGGCAATTTAGTTTGACGTGACCTCAAGTGAACCGATTCGATTCGGTCTGCCTTAAGAAGCAAATAAAACGTGGTCTGTATGAACAATCGCGCGAAAGCAAAGAAATTTTTGCATGACGTTTTATACATAATAGAATATAATCCTTCGTAATAAATTATGTTCAACGTTCGTTCGTAGCGTGTCGATAATTTTTGGAGCAAAAAGTCACCTAGTGACCTCATATTTTTTATCTCTTTGAAAAAGCTGACAATTGCGATTTTTTAACAAGTACACTATCGCAATTGCTAAACATTGATATTGCTACACTTACGTGCTGCAACGTGCGTCTTACTGCTTCGGGAAATATGCCGATATCAGTGAGTCTCGAGTAAGAATTTTTCAATTAAAATTCCGATAAATTTGGCGTCCCAAGATAAGAATGCTTTCAGCAGATTCAAAATATACTGCTTAAAAATAGCAGTGAAAGAAAAGATAAACAGTTGAGTGTTATCGAGTTGTCGGTGAAGGTGGAGAAAATTAGCACACGAGTCAATCAAGATCGAAATACTCCAACGATTAATTCAATATTAATATTACTGCGGTACGCGCTATTAATACACGTGATATCAATGTTCTGTTATAATCTCATCCATACCGTGTAGAATTTGGCAAACGGTTATATTGTCGTCGAGTTGTATTATATACACATAGTTGAATTACGTGCGTATCCGTCTTTTTTGTAACCGACACGGAGCGTGTTTACGTGCGGATCGCTGTTTGATCGTTGAAAGTCAGTCGGTCGCGGCACGTCGCACAGTCGATTAAATTCACGTCATACGTCTGCTCATTGATCAAAACTTCGCAGTGTTGCTTCCAAATTCTGCGCAGGATATTCGTGTTTTGTTTTACAGAGCGCTGTAACGTAATTTTACAGTTCTCGTAAATAGAAAGTTATACCACCGTCCGAGGCTTTCATTTTCGGAAAGATAATTTATGCCAATCGTTCAATCGCGGCGGTCATAAATTATCGAGGAGTATCGCAGTTATATCCGATAGAAAATTCATACTGCGATTTTAGGTAAAAATCACGATAGAAAGATGGTTTATCAATGTCGTGAGATATTACGTATGACTATACGATATCGTTGAGGATCGTTGCTTAATTTTAACGGGATTTTATCTTTTATTCGAATTTCTTATCTGGATCTGGAGCGATTTATTTAATTTGCGTACAGCGTGATCGCGCTTTGTTGTCCAACATCGCAATGAACCTCGCGATAAGACCTCTCATTATGAGAATCCGCGTGAATAACAGCGTCATGGTGTGTGCCCAGGAGAGAGATAATGAGGTTTAATTCGCGATACCAAACGCGTTATCTAATCTAAATCATTTAAAGAGCAAGAGAGGCGAGACCGAAAAATAAACGACGACTTCGCGATTTTCGAGGTAAAACTTTGCGGATTCCCGCTATTTTCGCATGTTCTCACATGTGCGTTCGCGCATTAATTACTCTACCGTTATATCTATTATTTCGCCATTACGCCGATTGTTTCTTCATTACGTTAATTACTTCGCTATCCCGTTAATTTCTCTTAGTCGTTCGATCACTTTCCTCCCCTTTGTCATGTTAATTATCGTTTACATCTTACATTTTAATTAAATCTAATGCGAAGTATTCAAACAGTTTTCACCGTGCGACTAAATGGAACAAAGTGTTCCAGTTTCGCGCAGCAAAGTTTCAATCTCGTCGTGAAGTGACTTAATTTTCTCCCCCCCCCCCCGGTTGTTTTCGCCGTTACGAGACCGCGCGACGGTTCGCTCCGCGACCTTCGCGACCTTAATCGGGAAAATGTTTGGCACGGCACAACAAAACAAAAGACTCGCACTTTGTCGCCGCGGGGACATATCCTACTTTTCTCGCGGTCGTCTGAGCAAGTCGCGAACGAACGAACGAACGAACGAGAGCGCATGTACGTACGAACGAGCAAGCGTAAGCGAGTCCGGTGCGTAGAACGAGCGCGGTATACGGCGCGTGTGCGTGTGCGTGTGCGTGTGCGTCGCGTGCGTGTCCGTCTTTTTTTCGTAATCGCCGGCGTGTCGGCGGCGCCAAGCTAGAAGACGCGGAGGAAGGCCGACGACCCGTTATAAATGGAACCAGAGAGACGGCATTTCTCGAATCGCTGCTTGTGTTGTTATTCGCAGCGCGTCGGCCGCAGCGGGACGAACGAGCCGAGCTCGCTGCTCGAGAAAGTCACCCTTCTTTCGAGGCGCGAGAAACGAGAGAACCAGTGAATCAGCCAGTCGTCCCGTCATCGCGAGCTACTGCTATCAGGTTCCGATATCCGGCGCAACAAGGACCAGCTGAAGGAAGACGACAATTTTTCGAGCAAAGTGGACGCTTTCTCGCTGCTCTAGTGTAATAGAGAGAGAGAGAGAGGGAGAGAGAGAGAGAGAAAGGGAGAGAGAGAGAGAGAGAGAGAGAGAAGCAGCGTACAAAGCGCTGAAATATTGACACTCGCTCGAAGAGAGTTGACGCAGCCGCGAGTCAGTCGACATCCTCGTTCTCCATTAATAGAAACAGGTACAACGAACATAAGCGTGAGTCGCGTGTGTGAGTTGCGTAGCGGCTGATGTTTCGTTACGCCGATGGTTCTGTTGCGAGTTTTTTTTTTTTCTCGTAATCACACCGTCCTACATGGTGAAAAACGAGCGTATGTTTATGTGCGGGAATTGTCTCAGTGTTGAAGGAAAATCAGCGGACAGTCGGCAGCGGAGCTCTTCTTAGACGTCGGTTCGTCTATTCGAAAAAGTCGCGAAGTCGAATCGCGAATTTGGAGTAAGTAAAAATATCGTGAAAGATCGCCCCGACCAGCGTCATCGACCCTTCGGAGACAATGCGTCTGGCGCATCCAGTCGACGCGTTTATTAAGTAGCCGACGAGAACAACAGCTCGACGAAGATCCCCCTCGACAACAAAGCCGGCGGGGAAAGGGGAAAAGCGATAAGAGGACGAACGAGACTGCGTCAGGTGGAGCTCCTCGTCATCCACGTACCAGAAAATCGCGATAAGATAGCGTTCGCTCGTAAACAGTCGCGTTCGGTGCGCCGACGACGACGGTTGGCACGTCTTTCGATCCTCAGAAACGCGAAGTGGCAATTGCGGCAACGATCTGTCCGCTTCGGGAAAGGAGTCGTCCCGACTCGAAACAGTTTCGCGTGAGTTTTCAAGCGGATCACCGACAGCGGGAGCGTGTCGCAAGATCGACGCGTCGTCGCGGCTGGAAAAGGGAGCTCTGCTGTTGCATAACTCGCGCGCGCTTTATCGCGCCATTAAGGATCTCGCGAGGAGAGCGAAGAGTCGAGCTGGGCGAACGTGCCGGGCGAACTCGCGTCGTAATCGCGGTTACGTTCGCCGTGGTAGAAAACGACGAAGTGGAGCGCACCACGACGAGAGAGAGAGAGAGAGAGAGAGAGAGAAAGAGGAGAGGCGTCTATTCATCAGCCGCCACGATTTCTTCAAAGTCGCGCGGATATTAATAGGGAAGAAGCTGCCGCACGACTGGACGTTCCGATCGACGTCGCGATTAACAGTTTCGTATCTAAGCGATGACGACGTCGGCCGGTGATATTAATTGATAATCGCGATTAAACAGTCGAGGACTAGGCAGGAAGACACGACACGGGAAGAGTCTGACTGGGATATATCGGACAGGCTGGCGTCTTCCACGCTGGCTTCTTCTGATTCCTCTCGTTTATCTGAAAGAACCGATTCCGAGCCGATGCTCTGCGACTGGAACACTTAGCAATCCTGGGATTCCATCGTCGTGGGAATTAATCAACGTCCATGCCGTTAATTAACCGGTGCAACAATTAAATATCACGGAGCAAAGAGGAGAAGGTGGAGGAGGAGGTGGACGGCGACGACGACGAGAAAAGCGACTATTCGCGTTATTAAGAACGAAACTTAATGAAACGCGTCAGAAATTAATTAGTGATTCGCAATCGCTGCACCTGCGCGGGAGATTGAACTCGGCAATGACTCGGGCCGGTGATTGATCGGTAATTAGTAATAATCGTAAGTGTGTCGCACGAGTGCCCGCGACAAGGACATTCCGCGGCCCTTCCGCGCCGCGCGACTGGGTCAGTGTCCTGCCGAGAAGGACCTGGACATGCGAGGAGAGAGTGCGGTAAAAAGTGCAAAGTGATATAATTAGTGCGCCCGCGGAGGCGATGTGTGATGCCAGCCCGAATGTCACTTAAACCACGCAGCTGATGACAAACGTAAACAGGATCAAGGTGGTCGTCCTCGGCGGCCCCAGAGTCGGCAAATCAGGTGAGCGATCGCTCCAGCGAAATTTTCCCCACGCTTTATCCCCAGTTTGATTCTTATCTCGAAATCGAATGCTTCTTCTTCATTTTTATTATCGCTCCTTGTCGGTGCTGTTCTTAGAATTTTAACAATATAATTATGACCATCTATTGATTAATCTACGGAATGGTCATACTATCTTATTTTCTATGCTCGGAAAGATCTGATCTTTCCTGAGGTCTCAGTAGGAACTCGCAGAAATAATTATTAGGCGTATACATGTCATTTTTGTGGCAGCGAGAGAAATTTCGCGTGTCAGCTCTGTCAGCGGGATTTAACCTGATTATACGAAGCCAAGTCGCAAGGTAGATATGTTTCGGAATGCAAGTGATATTTTTGTTCGTAGCATTGGCAGAACACGTTTTCGTCGTGCGTCGAGAGATTGATATTGATTCGCGCTCGCTCGCTCGCTCGCACGCAGATAATAAATAATAGCCGGTGGAAAAAAGAATGCGCGCGTTGCTCGATTATGGCGCAACGGCGTGAAATATTGAATCACGTCGGAAGGACGTTCATTATGGTGGACGATACTAATATCGCGTCGCGTACAGCGTGTAATTTCTGCGCGTTGTCTAATAGCGCACCGACGCAACGCATTGAATGAAAGTGCCGTTAAGATGGATACGCATAGTCCTCGGAATAATACGTTGCATTAGTTAACCCGACAGTCGCGCGACGCATACAAAGCGAGCAAACGAACGCGATAAGGCGGTTCGCCGACCTCAAATAAATCCTATTAATAACCGCTAGGACCCGGCACCTTAATAAAGCGCATTCTGCGTCTCATTTCTTTCTTTTCCCTCTAATGCCTCCTCCCGTCTTCTCCGTCGGTAGTTTTTGTCTCGCGTCGTTAAGTCACCGAAACGTTGCATCATTCTCGGAAATTTGCAATTTCCAGACGAACGGAGATAAATAAATGATTCCCGATTCCGATATCACTTGTTCGTTGGTCGTTGTTCAATCTTCTCCGATTGTTACATCCTCACGACGACATTACAGTTCGGGACACCCCTCGTCCTCAGTCATCATTATTTTAATAAAGCACGTATAATCGCGCTATCTCGCAGAATTCGGGACGTCACGCGGTGTGTCGGCGCGTTCGTTCCACTTTTTTTGCAATGAAAATGACGACGTTCTCACGCGGCGGCGTCGCAGCCGACGCGAGAAGGGATACTTCGCCGGGAGAGAATCCTTAAAAGTCCTTCCCTCTCTTTCTTTCTCTCTTGTGAGACCCCGCTGGGTATAATAAGGACCTCCGTGGACGTTATCGAATATCCACTGTGCGCGAGCGGAAGGGAGCGAGGGGGTCGCCGTGCCACGAAAAATCCCACACGGTTGCAGCGGCAGGTTGCTGCGAGAGATCTGGACATCCGATACATCCATCCTGTTGGCCGCGTGGCGTTTCCCTTCGCGTTCGACCCTGGATTCCGAGTTTACGCAGTAACATTCCTCCCTTCCTTATCGTATCACCGTCCGATGTATACGCGGTGTGCCGCAAGAAAACGTCGCCGGGCCGATTCTGCCGCGACAAGTTCTGCGCGCGATGAACGATTGTTCGTTTGTGAGTTCAAACATCGATCGTTAACATATCAACCGCCTACTTGTCGTCAGTTTTCCGGTTTCTAATTAAAGTCGCTTTATCGTTAATTGATCGTAATGTAATTACAATTGCAGAGACGCCGCGGTGATACGTCGGCGTCGCACGCGACACTCGCGAGTCTTATATATTTAAATTAAATAAGGCGTTATCTTATGCTTAAAGCAAGATTAAATCGGGAGTCCTTAGCGAGAAGCCTGAATCGTCAACGAGGACTTGGCAAAAACTGCTAATAGCGAGGGATCGTAAAAAGAATCGTAGACTCGCGAGGAACGCAAGATTGTTATCTACAGCCATTTATCTGCGTTAACGCTTATTGAGGAGGCAATTGGACGTTCGCTACTAAGCCGGGACGTGTTCATAAATTCATTTGGTCTAAACGACTTGCTTTATTGCCGTGTCACAAGAAAAGCGGACAGACAGAAAAAGAATAATGGCTCGCGCGAATCGCGTATACGTAAGCGAACTTCTTTCCTAGACGATGAACCCGCGACTTTTTATTGCTCGGGTGAGCCATTTTGGTCGTTCGTACATTTCGACAGCTGTAATCTTAAATAACAACTTCATCATGCACTTTTTACTCGTGTTGTACTTTATCATATACTTTTTATTCGTGTTATATTTCGCACTCTCTTCGCCTAAAGAAAAGTGTTCACCGCTAATAGCATGTAATTATCATTTCCTTTCTTTTTCGAGATAATAAATCAAGAGAAAAAAGGGAAACGCGTTCTTACATACACCGGACTGTGCATGAGAAATATTGTTGAAATTAATCGCGACGATGATTACACTAGAGAAAAGAAGGAGAAAAAAGACAGAGATTAGGCGCGAAAAATAAAGTGCGCTCTGCGTAGCGAAATGCGAGGATTGATTAATCGGTCCCCATTTAGCCGCTTAGCAGTTTCTATGGGCGTTTTAACGCGCTAATATGTGGGTGAGCAGAATTTCTGCCGATAAAAGATCCGCGACGAGTCCTCGGGGCAGAAAGGAAACTTCAACGAGACAAGAGGATGCGCTTGGTTGATCGCGCCGCGCCATCGATCCTTTTTTATCCTCCGTCTGCTCCTTTCTTACTCTCTCCTTCTCTCTCTCTCTCTCTCTCTCTCTCTCTCTCTCTCTCTCTCTTCTTCGTCTCTCCCCCCACTCTCTCTCTCTCTCTCTCTCTCTCACTCACTCACTCACTCACTCACTCACTCACTTTCTGCCCCCTCTTATCCACGGCGATCGTGGCCGTAATTACTATTTTCTTACGTCCACCAGCGACTTATCCTCCAACGATCTATCTATAGAACCCCGCGCTGGCAACCATCGCACGTCGGCGAATGGCACCGCGAATGGCTGCGTTTTGCTCGTACCGTTGCATCTTCCACATAACACACAATTCTCCGCAGGTGACTTAATCGGCAGCCTCCTCTCATTCTTCACCTCTTCGTTCTCCTCTCCTTCCTGCTTGGTCTCTCCTTTTTTTCCTTCCGCCGATCACACCTCGTTTCACGTGGGGCCACTCGCACGATCGCATCGATTGAACGACTCCTTCTTGGTTCGGCAGCTTTTCAGAGTTCCGTCTGCGAGCAATAATCTAGCTTCGACTCATTAATATTCTTATTTGATAGAATTTAATTTCATCCAGAATTCTATAAAATATTCGATATTCGTCTCTGAAACTTTTCTCGCGTGTTTTCGTCGGAGCTTTAATTCACCAAAATCAAGGATCGCTGGAAACGTCTCACGTTTCTCGCTCACCTTGCCTGTTATCTGTTTCATCACGAAAATCCGTGCGAGCGAGTCGCCCGCTGTACTTTCGTCCGTCATAAATACGACGTTGTCGCGCGACGACCGCGCACCGTCACCGCGAGTTTGACCCCCCCCTCCCCCGCGTAGATAAGAACTTTATAAACGCTCTGTATCTCCGACTCGAGTGTCGGGTTTCCCTCGCGTTTGGACTTCGACGTGGATGGAGAGCGTGCTTTCATTAGACCCCACGCTTGGCACAGATCGCCGTTGGGACTATTAGGCATTAGGAGCAACATTCTCGTGTCCACATCAATTACTCCGGTTCGCGCGGCGTGTATAAGATTACGCGTGACGTCACCTCGGTTTGATGACAGTTATCTGTAAGGGAGAGTGTGTCCACTCGATTACGTGGGTAGCTCTCGGCATAGACCGCTAATAATCCGCGATGTCGTTACACGGATCGTTGAAAATTTAACCTTTCAGCGAGGATTCCTATTTTTAATTGATTAAAAATATGACGTGTCATCGGCGGCGCGTAGCGCCCGTGTAGCGTGCATGTGTGTGTGTATGTGACGACGACTTATTTCTTCTTCTCTATATAATAGAGCGTGAATAAAAGTATATAAGGGGAAGGATAAGATCGAACGACGGGGATAACGGGGTGAATTCATGAATCGGAGAATTTCGAGACGACACGCGAACGTGGACTTTTTTTTGTTGGAATCTTTCGACATTCGGGTCGCCTTTTTTGAATAAAACGCAGTGTGCGCGGAATAGCGTACGTTAATTACAATGATATCTTCGTTTACAAATTACAAATAAGAATCCCTTCTTTGAAAGAATGAGATTCCCATTGGCTTTCCGCGTTGAAGCGCTGGTGAAATATCGTCGTCCAGCTGCGCGGAGATATTTCGAAGATATGCACTCTATCTCTCATCTCAGCAAATAGCTCACGAATGAAGTTCTATATTTCGTTTCTGTATTTCGTGTCTGCCTCTCCTCTCCTTTCCTCCCTTCGTAATATTATCCCTCTCTCGTTTTCTCTTTCATCGTCGTCGTCGTCGTCGTCGTCGTCGCCGGGTTGAATCGACAGATTTATAAACGGTGTACCTACGAGTACGGAGCGGCACGAATCTATGTAGTCAATAAGTCTTCGAAGCTCGAACGACGACGAGGGCGACAACGACGACGAGGACGACGACGACGACGACGACGACGACGACGACGACGACGACGGCGAGGACGACACGAGGAGGAACGTCGTCGATATGTTGAATCCTAGACCGCGTTTCGCGCGGTGCAACGAAACGAAATTTATGAAGCAAGAAATTTATCGGCAACCCGCGAGAACCCGTTCCGATATTTATGGTTTCTTTATTAACGGGCGATGGAAGTGAGTTAATGGCGTTTCAACACCTGCGCGCGCAGGGGCGCGTCTTTCAGTTGGAGATGCCGAGGAATAGATACATTTGTCCGACGCGATCCAACTATCAATTCGACACTTAACGCTCGACCGAATTTTTACGCGAGCGAATTACCTCTCGAATTTTCTGACCGATTTTTTTCTTTCTGTTGCAGCCGTCGTTGTGCGGTACCTGACTAGGCGATACATCGGCGAGTACAGCTCGACCAGCGGTGAGTGTTTTTCTTTCGTTATTATCTCCCATCTCGCGCAAAATCTAATTGCCGGCGCGAAATGCGAACAATCGCGAAATGCCCGCTCGCGCGAAACGCGCACAATCGCGATTACTCGCTCCCAATTTCGAAGTATCACGACCTAAATAAATGTCCTATCTAAAGTTCCCTCCTGCCGCGCTATCGACTTATCTCGCGAGAGGGGCGGGCACCGGTTCGCGCGCGCGAGCGCGAGCGCGCGAGCGAAATGCTCACCCTCCCGGCTTGCAAAGGCGAGCGCGAATCTAAATCTTGATCAGTTCCCCTCGCGTGCTCGGCCGCGCCAGCCGGAAAAATCCGCCGTGAAATATTCTCGCGCTTAAAACCGGACTCTAATTCAAGGGTATCCGTGAAAAATCTTAATCATGGCGCCTCGCGAGCGACGTCCCGAGGGCATTCTAGCGGCGGTCACAGAAATACGCGAGATAGAGAGCGAAGGGCTCTCTGTATAAGGAGGGGCGAGCAGCGGGGTTTATAGAGATAGATCAAGAAAGGGAGAGCGAGCGAAAGAAGAAGAGGGAGAGCGAAGGAGGGAGGGAGAAGGGAGGGGGAGAGAGAGAGAGAGAGAGAGAGAGAGAGAGAGCGAGAGAGAAAGAGACGCAACAAACACAGCGCCGGACCTGAGGAGGGCGGAGATTTAAACACTCGATATGAAATAGAGCCTATGGGGAGGTCCGCAGAATGCAGATCTCTCCCATAACTCATGCAGGCTACTTCGCCATAATAATTGCCGTGTACGCCCGCGGACGTGTAAGCTACGACGGCGAGTTTCGCGGATATCCGCCGCCTGGAAAAATTCATCTCCTCCTTCCCCTCTCCCCCCTGTCTGCTTACCTGCCGCCACGCTCACACCCCGGCTGCGTGAAGTATTGTCCCCTTAACCCTGAACCGTCACTCGTATTTTTGTAACACCTGTGTATGATCACACCACGCCGACCGGTCGCGTCCTCGCCTGGCTGTTTAAACGCCGTGCCGCCGCGCCGTTTCTATCGCGATCCTGTCGCGGTTACCGCGGCGTTACGTGAGGATAATTGCGGCGAACCCGAATTAAATGTAATTGCTGGAGAAGTATGTAAATCATTTATGTTTGACTAGGAGAGATCGTTGCTGGTGTTACGTGCGGTGTGTAATGCGGTGTGTCAAGTGCCTGTGTAAACTGCCTTTCGGGGGAAGGGGAGGGGATGAATTTTTTTATTTCTTGTATTAGGCGAATATATCGGCGAAAGTTGTAATATATCGAATATCTCGCTGCACTCACGCGCTCGCCGAAGGCGTAAGCGTTTGATAGTACACGCGACATTTGCGTGTTTTTTCAAGTGAGTCAAGACACTCGACTCACTTGACTTAATTGATCGTTAATCGTTAAGTGAATTTGAAAATGCGCGGCTCAAACGGGAAACACGAGCTTCTCGACTCGAGATTTATAAGTCTGAAGCCGAGTCTCTGCAGGAAGTTTCTCCTCACTTTCCTCGCAACCGCGTCCACGTAACGTGCGGAAAGCTTCCCGGCACAATAGCGCAATCATCGATTTATCGAATTTCTCTCGTGTAACTGGCAGTCGGAATCAATCTTGATCTCGATCGATCTAGCCACGATCGATAATGCCGGACGAAAGTGGAAGGAAGGGCGCCGCGAGTGGTCTGGCCATCGATATTAATTAATTTCCTGGGAAAATGATGGATAATCATCGTTGAACGTAACCAGGAAGCGAATAATCTCTCGCGTGTCCCCTCCTTGCGCGCGCGCGCGCGCGCTCTACGGGGTGAGAGGGGGAGGGATAATCGCTCAATTGATCCTCAAAGACGACGCCGTGGGCGCTACGATCCGATCGAGAGTCGTCCATCGTTGGGGATCGATAAAAAATGATAAGAATGACGACCGATAAAAAGAGCCGCGGCGCAGACACGACAGGTAGTGTGTCCGAGGATATTATATGCAGGCTGCGCCTCGTGTAAAATAAACCTTAAGAAGTACCGGAGGCATAAAACAACATCGAAGCAGGTTGCCTCAATCTAAAGATAAATTATTTCCACCGCATACAGAAATAGATAGAAATCAAAGTATCTCTTTTTTTTTTATAACTTTCTTTACGCTTTCTAAGACACGCGCTTTATCGAGTTGGCGCTCGTAAAATTTGTGGAAATTCATTCTGGCGTCTTTGTTTATTTTAAGACTTCGAGACATCGAGAAATGTTGAAATGTTCGGATTTTCGAATGTTAAGAATTTTGGCGCCTCTCCAAACTTACGAATTGGCTAAGATTGAAATGACATTCACGGTGATCATGATTCATGGCAATGGCACATCTTCTCTCCTTCTACTTATCTCTCTCTCTCTCTCTCTCTCTCTCTCCCTCCCTCTCTGTTTTTCTCTCTTTCTTCCGGTACATCTCGTGTGAAACGAAATTGAAAATACGTCGACACTTCGTGCAGCTCGTGCGGATTATCGCGCACACTTTCGTTCCCGCTCGTTGGAGAATCACTTTTCCGAAGAAAACGCCCTCGAACGGTGAAAGCGGGGCCATTGATTTCCTTCGGCTGGTCCGCGTAGGTGATGTAGCTGGCGAATTGTGAAAAAATCCTACCTAGGTAATAAATTAGTAGAAATTAGTATCTCTTATTAATCTAAAATAAAATTTTCGTAAGTTGATACACGTGTAGGAAAATATTGTTCTAATGGATTAGAAATCGTGTAACCTTAATAAAACATCCGTGAAGAAACGTTCCGCCTCTCTCTCTCTCTCTCTCTCTCTCTCTCTCTCTCTCTCTCTCTCTCTTTCAGAGAGATCCGCTGATGATAAAGCACGAAAAAATATTGCGCGGCGCGGGAATTCGAAAATAAAATCCGGAAGGATCTAAATATAAATATAAAACGCCAAAACGATTCGAGAGTCTAGATTTATAACCCGCTCTACTCTCGCTAGATCCCTGTTAGATCTCCACGAGAAGGAAAAGAAAAAAGGAATGAAAGAACGATAAATCTATAAATCTAGACATCTTCTCCCGACACGATAGCGATTTGAGTTACTTTCGAAACGGCCGCGCGTTATTGGCTCCCATCAGCACGACTTAAATTTGATCTCTCTGAGCAAGATCGAGGATGATCTTCCACGGCGATTCCGATTACAAGGCATTCGTACGTGCGCTACGTTTTGCGGGGCACGAGGATAATCGGTCCTTTTCATCTCTCGCCACGAGATGCAGCCGCGGCGCTTGTTATTATTTCGATCTCGATTAACAATGCAAATCTCTCCTTGCGTGGAATAATTCTAGGCAATGATTTAGAAAGCGAGTCTCGTTGTGCATTGTCGATCCCTCTCGCGAGCGCACGCGGATGGGAACGTTTTGTCCGCGCGGAGAGAAGATTGCATCGTGCATCCCGATCGCTCGATCGGGAGATCCGCGATAGAGCGATAGATCACGTACAGCGGACGGATCTACAGCAAAAGCCGAATCCGCTCGGTGACAGTTATCGTGCTCGATCATACTCGTCGAAAGTGTGTCGCAATTTACTTTTCTCTCTCTCTCTCTCTCTCTCTCTCTCTTTCTTTTCCTTTTCAAGCGGCGCGGGCGATTCGTTCAATTTTCGTCTTCCTAATTTACTTTCGAGCTCTTTTCACTTTTCCTCGGCGTTTCAATTTTCTCTCCTGCGCCCGATTTGATTTCTCGGATCGTCGACGCTTAAATTACAAACCGCTCTCGTGTCTCTTAGATCCGATTCTTTTTTAAAATCGGGGCTATATACTACTCGCACACACTCACTCAGATCGCACGACTTCTTTCCACGCGCATATCTCGCACCTCACGGACCTCGGACCACGTTTTCCTCGCGCTCTCGGAAGCCTTTTTCAGCACGTCGATATTTCTTCCACGAGGATGCAATGAATTTTCCGTCGCAACGCTTGGTCAAATCGTTTCTCCATCAGCATTGTCCGGCAATAAAACTTTCTCGAGCGTAACGGCCGCTAATATAACGAGCATCCTTATTTGCTTGTTTCTGCGCCTTCCCGACACTTCGCAGTCGACTACGAGGTGTTTATGAGTTTATTTATCGTTTATTTATTGCACCTACCCTGTTAGGGCTACTATGTTCGACGCGCTTCCGCGTCTTCTCTCCACCTTCTCGGTGCGCGTGCTCCGAGCGTTTTAATCAGCTTCGAGAAATATGAGCTTTCCTTTTTTCGCTCGCCCTTCCTTTCCCCCCTGCACGAAAATGCGAAGACATAATCGATGCATAAAAAGAAAACCCGGTTCAATTCAAATATTCAAACTCGACGAGCGTAAGAAGCTGAAAATTTGTCAATGCATGTTATTTCGATTTCTAATAAAGATCATAACGATTCAAAGACTTGGATGTTCAAACGTGCAAAGCTTTTTTCTTTCAAGCATTCAAAGCTGGAAGTATACGCGAGAAACGTGAGAAAAAAGGAAGTGAACTATTTAACGGTAGCGAACGATATACGTACAACACGCGTTGGAGTACGCGTAACACGCGATTAAAGAATGTCTCGCCAATTTTTCCGATCGCGAATTTCCACCAGCGAAAGCCACGTGTCATTGTCAACGATCGTAATGACACAGCAACGAGCGTCAGCGTAACTAATTGGAATTGTCGTTACTAACTGCTCCGGCACTTTCGCGCATTAGCCGCGTTTTCTATCCTTGGGAAAATGTCGCGACTAAATCTTTTCAAGGAGATCGAAGTATCTATCGGTCGAAATAACGCCGATTAAGAAAGATTATTTTACCCCGTCGCCGCCTTCGATTTATACTCGGCGGCGTGTCCCGCCAGGCATTTACGGTGATTGTAATTTCGCTGGCAAGCGGTATTAATAGAGGCAGCCGAGTCGAGTTTACGGTTTTTCTTATTTGTTGCAGATTTCCTTTACCGGCACAGCGTCACTATCGACAATGTCACGACGGAAGTCGAGATTCTGGACACCTCCAGGTGCGAGGTGAGTCTAAATAATAATATTAAGTATTTTATCTAAAAAATATAAAATAAAAATTGTGATTATCCAAAATCGCTTGACAAAACAGAATCGAGCTTCAGAGATCGTCGCGTTCTTTTGAACTTTATCGCTCCGGATAGTGATTTATTTAAGATCGCAGATGAAGACTCTCTTCTTGAATCAAAAGATTCTGGAAATTTCGTCGTGTTCGAAATGGCAAAAAAGCCTTCGCGTATCCTTCGTCGCACTTTCGCGAGGGACCAAAGTCCCCCTCCCCCCTCCATCCATTAAAAGCGAGCTCATTTGACAGATTGATTTACTTATCTGAATTTACGTTCGGTTGCGTGCGTTCGCGCGGATAATAAATAATGCATCGACGCAACGGTATCCTGCGCATCTGTCCTTTCGTGAGTCTTTCATCCTTGCGGTCTGAGAGGGGTCCTGCGTGCGCTCTCGAGACGAATCCTCCTCGCGACGCGTCCTGACCAGGCAGTATCTCTCAAAGGGCCCCGTCTAAATATATCTTCTTCAGACGGGTCCCCGGAGGGCCCACGAAACCCACGTTAAGACCCACGTCCGTCATACACCGGTGAAATAACGAGCGACTTGCGAATTACGAAGGAGATATCCTCCCGTATCCTCGTAAGACAATTTTGGAATTCTTAACGCGCGCTCGCGCTGACAATTCGGCCATTCGTTACGAGTTTCGCTTGACGATTTAAATAAATAAAAACTCTACGGAACTCTCTTGGCGACAGCAGGATCAGGTGTGATTTTCGGTTGATTGTATGACACATCACATTCAGAGCGCTCGGTTTCGAGCGTATTCATATTGATTTCTCTGCGCAGTGAAATATTAGCTCAATATACTTTCTATTTTTTATACGTTAAGAGATATACTTTCTAGATTTTATATGTACACAATATGATGTACACGCGTATACTTTTTACTTTCGACACATGCGATACTTTCTCCGATAGAAAAAGGAAGGAAAGATCGTTAAATCGAATCCGTGCGCGGACGATCGGCTTCGGATCGATCGTCGCTGCCTGACCTTTCCTAACCCGATTCTTCTAGAACACGGTAACGAACGTCGAGGCGGAAATCCTGCGAGCTGCTGGCCCGTTAGTCGCGTATTTGAATTGAATAACGATCGTCTTTAAATTCGAATCTAGGCGACTGCGATCGCGACCGTGCACGAACAACACGTGGGTTCACCTGTCGCAGCTAGCCGCTAGTCGCAGGAATTCCAGCGGGGTCGCGTTGGATTATGTCGGATGAGGCATTGTTCTCCTTTTTCGAGGAATCACCATAGATAGACGCGAATGTGCAAGCTGCGGGAACTCGCGCGATGATAAATGTACCTTGCTCTTTGACTTCTAAATGTTGCATCCAAGTCTCAGAGATTTAAAGAATGTCTGTCTGTGAAAATGTTGCGGTTTCCACCACCAAGTTTCTCGAAATTTCAGCGACAGGTTCTCTGAAATCTTGCAGATTTTGCAAGTTTTTCTATGATATTTTCGGATAGTCAGAGTGTGCGAAGTATTACCAATGTTTCCAAAGTGTAAAATTTCAGAGTCGCGATATGTTGCAATTTTCAAGTCTCCAAATTTTGACTGCCCGAAGATTCCGCGATATCGTGAGTTTTAAATTTCCGAGGATTCAAAGCCAACGTTCTCACCCAGCGGAGCTCTTCGACTTGTTGCACCTCGAAACTTGGGCAATGGTCTCGTAATTTGATAATAGCATGGATGGAGCATTACGCAGCGAGGAAACGAGTCGCGAGTTTATTTTTGTCGGGCCCGCTGCGGCTCCGGTTCGTTTTGGCATTTAACCGTATCCTTCCCCTCGATGAGCGGTGAGAAAGTTCATTCATAGAAAGTATTTCCTGCATAAGTTCAAGTATTGCGACTCTCTGGCGCCTTTTCGACGTAGCAGAACGACTGCGTGCGTTTATTACTTTAGAGTTAAACGCGGACGTGCACTAAGGAACAAGCTTTCAATATCGCGTAATTTCACCGTCACGTTTCCATCAACTCACGCTTTAATATCGTGTCGGAAAGTAATCGTACACGTAAGCGATTAAAATATTAAAGAGATCGATATTTTCTTCGCTAAGAAATAAAAGCGAGAGAGAGAGAGAGAGAGAGAGAGAGATTTATGCTGTGAAATTATATTCCACAAAGATTCTCGCTCTTGATGAAGGTCCGGATGAATTTTTAAGATAAGATTTGTCCTTTTCGTAGTCGGTTAAACGCACAATCCCCCGCGCGATAGGAATATTTTAAGAGACGATTTTAAGAGATTTTAAGAGAGTTTCGAAACGGATTTTCAAAAGTCGCTTCTCTCTCACGAGCTACTTACGCGCACGTTGCCACACCGACACCCGTTGGTTATTCGGTAGCCCCGCAACGAGACTCGATCTGGGCCCGGGTTGTTTTTAGCAAACTGGTTCTTCTACCCGGGGCTCACAATTACCGGCTTCCTTTTTTGTGCTGCTCCCCAAATGTTTGCACCTGTCGCTTAAAAGGCCGCGAACCGTGATCCGCAGGATGGCATGCTAGACATGGATCCTCAAATTCCAGGATCCTTAGCAGCATCCCTCGATTCACTTCCTAGATATCGAATCATTAAGTCGATTAGATCGATCCACACCATTCTTGAGCTTTCAAATTTGTATCTCTTGGACATTCCAATTTTTCGGTTTCGGCAGCTCTAATTTTCCGAGTTAAAATATTAAAATTCTCAAATCTTTGCTACGATGAAAATGGCTCTTTTTATTTCTCGTTCTCGATCATTGTGACCTTTGAAGTCGCGAATCTTTATTTGCTCGAATTTTTGTCTTGTTCACTATGAATAGCGAATATTTCCGACACCACTGCGCCATTAACCGGCGCTACACGACTCGCTGGCAAACAATGCTTGTCCATTTAGAGAACCTTGTACGTAGAACGCGTAAGGATGCATGCACCGTTACCGTCTGGATACAATAAATAATCTGGTACAGGAAGCGCGACGCTAGCGATTTGTACGTACGCGCATAAAATTACATTTTAAACGCTTCCTTGCGCGCCAACAACGTTGGAACTTTAAAAAATATTTCAACGAATAGTTGACGAAGATTCAAGAGAGACACCATGTACCACGAAAATTCGAATTAAGCGATAAACTCGATCCGCGAAACCGCGATCCTCGCGAAATCGCGCTACTAACTTCATCATATTTAAAAGTTCTACATACATAAAACAGCGTCAAGTTTCCGCTGCGGAAATTTCTTCTTTCGTGCGAATAAAGAGATTGTGCCAGATAAATAATGATATTGTAAAAAGCGACAACCTTTTGCTGAGGAAAAGGAACTTTTAGAAGATTTTCGAGACAGATATATCCCTATATTTTACTACACTATTACCTCGTGTGTAAAGCCATAGACTCCTTCGTCCTTTTCGATTTCGAAGCTCTCTCTTGGGATTTTTCGATTGTCGACATGAGAATAGAAACATCTCTGAAATTCTGTTATCTCGATTGCCAAGGAAAGGACGGTGGGAATGGGTTGTTGCGGAACAGGATCTAGGAAGATCGATATCGATGTGGATCAGTGTGGCAGTGGTGCAGGAAGTCTCGGCGTGGCTCCGGTAAAAGAAGCGGATCGTTAAATAAATACGCCATCACGCACACAGCGCGGACACTTCTCTAACTCCCCTGTACCGATATATCACGGCCGCAGATGCGAGATTCCATTGTGAAGCGAGACTTTTAGGTCGATCCCCTTTACACTCCCGGTAAATCTCCGCGAAACTCCTTGGCGCGCAACAGGATTAATCAATCCTGGACGACGCGCTGTTTATCTTGAGTGCAACATTTACGAGCGGCGTATCGTTTTCATCTCGGCATTTTTCTTATCAGGTTGCATCGACTATCAGTCACGTTCAACTTGAGCGGATCCGAAAGTGCGCAAGTAACTGGAATTTTCAGTACGTCGGCACTTGCGACCTTTTTTCGAAGATAATCTGCAATTTTCTTTTCATTCGCGGACTCTCGAAAATTTCACTTGATTTCGTGGCCGATCGAGTGTGTCTGGATTCCCCTGCGATTCGAGCTCTCGAGTTCTCGCAAGTTCCCAAGCTCGCGCGCGCGCGCGCGAGAGAGAGAGAGAGAGAGAGAGAGAGTTCGGATTACCAAAGCTCCTAAATTACCGAGGCACCGAGTTCTCAGGTTCCCCGCTGGACCCAGCGGAGAGACCCAGATACTGACTGTCTGAACTATCTGAAAGTCGTGCAACGGGTATTAGAACAAATAGCCGATAATTCGTCGCTAAGCTAAGACCGCGGCAGCGCCACTAAAATGTACAACGCATCGGACGTTCGCGCGGTGTAATCTTTCCAATTATCCCCAACATTCCTCTCACTTTTGCCGATATCTAAGCGCGATATTACGCTCGCCGGTGCATATTTAATGCCACGAGGGGGGGAAGCGGCGTATAAATTTACAAGCATATCTCGTAATTCGACCGCAGGCACGATACGCTGAATATTATCGAGACAGCGCCGCCTCGTGCTTAAACGCGCATCTCGCTGCGCGTTGGAATCGCGATGCGTCTCATCCTCTCGCGTTAAAATATTTACGATTTTATCCTCCCCGCATAATGCGCTTGCGTGGGAAAATATTTGTTTTTTATATAAAATTACGGATTTGTTCACAGTGTGCGCTACTTGATTAAAGATACAAGGCGGCGCGCCAGACGCGCGCTTCGATATCTGTATTTTCTCTGCAATTATTATTCCAGTATTTTTCAGTCGATGCATCGAAACGATTTTAACCTTTTTTTCTTTTTTTTCCAACACCCAAATTCAACACTCCGATTTATAGCGCGGATCGCACCTTCTCGTCTAATCGTGCCCGACGACGTCCGCGATCTCTGCGAAATGCGAATAATTTTGGACGCGCACGCACCCCGATGAGATTTGCCGGTCCGAAGGCACGTAAATCGGCCGGATTTTCTCGT